CACGTGCACGTTATTTGCCTTCCCAAAAATTTTGCGTAAGCATTGTTTTCAATTTCTCTTGGGACGGCTGTAATACCCAGGAGAAATGAAAAACAAAGGTTATACAAAACCTTGGAGGGCAAATAAGGTGCATTATGGGAGATGTGCAAGAGGCGAATAGACCTTTTTACCGATACGGCGGCCATATTGAATTAATTCGATTTAAGGAGTATTATAGGATACCCAGGGGGCATGAGCGCATTTCGTTTGTATTTTCGAGCGCTTTTCGGGACATTTTTTCTTAAAGTTTTCTTAGAATAAGATTGTAATGGGAATAAAGTTCCTTGTGCCGTGTTTGGATGTAATAATGATCGCCTTTTTCTAGTTTAGTATTAGAAATATGGTCTTTCACTGTATATTTCTCGGGAAAAGGGCGATCATTATATACATCAAAACACAGCACAAGGATCTTTTTTCCCAGGTTTAGTGGTAGTTCATTGTTAATTAACTTTTCTATTGGTTAAATCATATCAATAAAACGGAGGTAAATGTCAAATTCACATTGATAATGTAAGATCCATGAATAACAAATATTATTATAGTACACCACTATTAATACATCTGTTTACCCTATACTAGCTAATATTTAAATGCATTTTGCCCGTTCAGTATTGTGAAAAATAATTGTTCTGTACTGTCAGGAAATCTTGAAATTTTTGCAATATATATATCTTCAGTGCCTGAATTTGTTTTGTTTTGTGGAAGAAAGGATGGGATAGGTGATGTTTGGTGATGCACGTACAGAGATGTTAATTGTTTTGCTAATTAAACACTATCGATTTTTGACTTTCTCGTTGTCGACGTCACAACGACGTTCAAAGATTTTTCCTTTTTAAAACTGATATTCATAAGGTAACTCTGATTTGATAAAAGCACTTTAACAAAACAAAAATTGTCTCGCCTTGATTGAGTTGACCTGTCTAGGCGAGATAACACGTTTACATGTATATGGACAAAAGTTGGCCTGGCTTGGTGGGTTACCCAACTATCTAAAAAACGGTGACCCGTTTCTAGCCAAGCCAACTTTTTGTTTCTCGTGTAAACGATTTCCAAAGTTTAATAAGGAAATTTAGGAAACGTTGGCTCGTCCAGGGTAGCTCGGGTTGGCGAGTCACCCCTCTGGTTACCCAGGAAAAGTTTTCCCATAGGAGAACAAAATTAAAAAATTCAAAATAGTAATAATAATGAAGGGTAATTAAAGCACAAAATTTAAAACATTCTATAATCATTTCTAATTCCTGCAGCATTTCTTGTGACAAGGAGTTGAGCCTAATTGAGTACAAATATCTGGAAACAAGCCGTGGGAATGCCCCCATTTTCCGCTTCCTCATTTTCTAGGAAAGTAAGAAAAGGCTAGGCACAAATAATAATGCCAAAACGATTTCTTTTCTTAATCACAAGTTTTTGACGTCCACTGGTTTAAATTTTTCGTGCCCAAACTGAATTTTAGACAAATGAGACTGACAGATGAGTCCTCCGTTTCCAAACAAGCGTGGCTTTTCACTAAAGTGTATAAAGTAATTTGACAGTGTTGGTAAAGGAATAAACTTTGAGAGTGAATATGACAACCAGTCAGTGACACAGGCAGCTTGGAAGAAATAATCCGAATACTCCGTCTATTAAGAGTCGAAGAACCTATGACCTTTTGCAGGTTACAAGTCCAGATACTCTACCACAAAGGTACAAGAAATTCGTAGGAGCTAAAGCCACTAAGCTGTGGGCAGCCTGTGTCACTGACTGAAAATATACTCCGACATTTCTCCATGTCAAAAGAGGAGGGGTTGTTGGGTAGCAGGGTACTTGATGATGGTAGGAGTACAGGCTGCTGACTCTCATTTCAGTCCAAAGGTGTCCACCTTCCTGAGATTAGGCAACAAAGGTGACTGAGGAACAGCATGGACCAACGATCGTGTCCAGTTTTATCAGGGGCGTTAGTTAAACCGGAACGACAACAACAACAACAACAGACAAATACTTTACCACAAACCAGTTTTATTCAAGGCTAAATTTTCAGTTTGTGAACTATCTTGAACAAGTATTAAATCAACCTAGATGATTCTAAAATAATCAAACACAAACATTTTTGCATAAAACGAAAGCTCGACACCGTATACGTCTACTTAAGACCTCTAGTCTTCACACTGGCGAGGAAACGTATCCCTTTATTAACTCTAAGCCACAAAATTGAAACCTTACATTTCTTAAAAGCTAAAGGTTACCTTAAAATCATAACTCAACGCCTGTCAAGCACACAAAAAAGTTCGAGCTGAGTTCGATCGTTAAAATTCTCACTCAAAACTTACTTGACAATCTTACTGCATTATTGAAAAGTGCGTTTAACAGGGACCTTTGCAGGTTTTAAGAGCTGTAACAGTGATATAATCGATAGAAACGTTTTTGCACCGGTTGATACTTTCTCTCTCTTGTGGCTCCCTACGTTTCATAACCTTCCTACACACTTGTGTCCATGAGGCGAGAAGCGAAGCCGCCGGTGATGAATGTGTCACCTCTCTCTTGAAACAGAAGACTGTGCCCGCGACGCATTACTACAGCAGTAGTCACACACTGCACCATATTATCACCATGGAAACTAGCGCCTTCTACAGAAACAAAAAATAAAAGTCGGCAAATACTTTCTGTTTCGATACAAATGTGGTATGTGGTCTGAAATTGGTATATGCACGGATCAATAGTAGAGACGTGTACTCAGAAGACAGAATCAGAGATGGGGGTGGGGTGGGAGGTTCCCGCTGCAAATAGGCAGATTTTTCAAAGGCAACACACCGACAAGTGCGCGGCAAGGACTGAACCCGACTTCCGGTAGTCATGTTCAATTTTGCTGCTCTGCCATTAATCAAGTCGGCTTTTTGATCTCCGTGCGCCGTCGTCACTGTCGTCGCGACCTACCTAATGCACCATGTATTAGCCTGCGTAGCAAGCGTTTCCATTTGGTTTCGGAGCAAAGAAAGACCGGTTTTGGCCGCGCTAGAAATGAAATGAGAGCCAAAAAATGTAAGAGGGGCGAGGGGGAGGGGAAGGAAGGAAAGGTTAGGGTTAGGGTTTCCTCCCCACCCCATCTCCGCTCTTTTACTTGTGCCATTTTTCGCGCGGTCTTTGACTCTCGTTCCTTGTTCTTTGCTCCTAAACCGCACGGAAAAGCTTGCTACGCAGGCTAACCATGTATCTATAACATAAGTACGAAACAGTTTGATTTCCCTTCACAGTTTCAGCCTTTTTCGAGCAGTTACGTAACAAATACGTTGCGTACAAACTTGCCCTGAATAAAAAATAAGTAGTTATTTTTTTTACCTCGTTAAATTAGCAAACACAAGGTTGGTGTCACTTCCCTCTTGCATGCGTCGCTTGTTGGCCGGGCGGTGGTGAGGCCTTGAAGTCTGGGGCTCGGAAACACTCTGCCGTTGCTGGGCCAGCATTTCTACATTAAATACAACAAAATGAAACAAAAAGTTTTTCAGTGCATCATCCTGACCCACGTCAAGATAAAACTTGTTTTCTAAAAAGCCAAAGAATAGTGAACAAGTCTGCTACTGATACCGTTGTAAATTTCCTCTTCCTGTCTCTGGTTGTAATTCAGAACCAATCTCTTAACTTCCTCTTGTTCCTGTTGCTCAGCTATTTGTCTGTTCCGGATGTTGGCCGCCAGTCCTGAGCTTAGAGGAATCTGCAGGTCTAACCAATAAAACAGCCATGAGCTGAAATCTGATCATCCTTTTTTTTTAAAATATCCAATTCATTTGTGAATGGTAGAACAACAACTGGACGCTAGTCTGCCCCTCCAGAAAAGAGCATGACTGGAGTGAATAGTCCAAGATACCTAGGCAGATGGGGAGTGGGTAGAGTCCGTGAATTATTGGAGTCGCAGAATCGAGCAAACGGCTCGCTTCGATAAGCGCCAATTGCTTGTCTTGCAATGGATCATTTATATAGACAGGAAAACTATAGTTACTGAGGTAGGAAGGAAATGTAAAGTAGTCAAAATGTAATGTGTCTCCTACTCAAAATGTTACAGATTTTCTAAACTGGACACTAGTTCCTCAATAAAGGTAAGTTCATAATGAGATAGAACTTGATTACCTTTAAAATGCTGTTTATTGCCTTTCTTCAACATAACAACAAAGTTAAGACTTTCATTTTCTTCAGTTAAACTGTTGTGACGCGCTCTTTGACCTTTGAGATGCATTGGAACTGCCACATCCAGGCTGGGAACCTGAAAAATAGTCAGGCTCTATAGGCTTTGATATGCCCTAAATTATCTGAAGGGTAACTATACAAACCTGAGTATACACCGATGAGATAGACGGACACAAATAACTCAAAAAGTTAAAACCAGTTGATGACCTTAGCGGTTACTTAAAATTCGTCATCTCATCCTCAAGCCAAGACACAAGAAACAGTACTACTTTGTAAAATAGCATGTTGTAACAGAGAAAAGGGCCACGCTTTCATCAGCACTGGTGCAATTCAGCCTGGGAGTGATTCCAGTTTTTCAGTATGTAATCAAGAATCTTAAATACGACCATCCAAACATATAAGAATTTTGGCAGCAGTGATGAGCTAAAGATGTTACACTATACCTTAGGGTTTTCTTCACGACGATTCTGAGTGTCATCCAAAATCAGTTTATCAAAGGCCGCAAGGAATGCCTTGTCCTCCACGGTTGGTTCCGCCTTAGGAGGGCTGAGAACTTTGACCTATAAGACAGGTAACATGGCAATACCCGGCTACATTATACAGGATACATGATAGTATAGTAAAGAAAAATAGTAAAGGTAAAGATCTTTTTAGTTAACCTTTTATCACAGGGGAATTTAAATTATACAGGCAAAGTAGTTAAAAATTAATCAATTAGATCTGAGCCTGGTAGCTAATATGTTTGAGTCGATGGCAACTCAAGCTTGCCGACGTCTTCCACTTTGGAACTTTTATATTATTTTACATTAAATGGTCATACTCGAGTGCAAATTGAGAAACAGAACAAGAGACCTTGTTCATATCCACGTCACTCATATCAACTTCAGTAACCGCCTCAGCATCAGATTCCACACCGCCAGGGACTGGACCCTCGTCATCATCCTCGCCACCGCTCTCCCCAGTATCACTCAGTTCATCCTCCTCGCGCAGCATAGGAGACTGGCATGGAGAGGGTGCGAGTGATGCAGCTGGAGAGCTGGAGACGACATGATTGTGGGAAGTATTGGTCATGGGGAAAGTCTGTGTGCCGCTGGCTGAACTGTTTGTGTCCTGATCTTGAGGAGCTGCTTTATCTGAAATTGAACACATCACAATAAAAGTGGTACTGCCTATAATAAAATTTAGCCTGTTTTGTGTAGTTAATTGGCAGAGTACGAAGCTCCATTTTCGTGGGAAATTCTTTGCCTTTAAAGATGCAACAGAAAATTAGATCTGATGACGATGCTTAAATTGTATCTTTCCATTATAGCTACCTTAACATTACAGTGGAACCTCTCCTGCCTTTACGACACCTCTAATCAAGGAACAATTCAGCTAGCAAAGCAAAATTTGGTCCCGCAAAAATGTCCACGTAGTCTTTGTATCTATAATTTACCTCTCTTGAAGTGACACCTCTATGCAGAGGAAAGGGACACTTTTTCTGGTTCTCGAGACCCGGGTTTAAGACCTCCACACAGGGGACACCAGTTTTTGCAAAACGCGAACTACCTCTCTATAACTTGCATGTGGGGATTCCACACACAATATTGCAGAGATAAGTCAATAATGATTTTTTATACATTATCTAGCTGCTTGAAACAATGACTGCAGTAGATTCTGAGGCAAAATAAAAGAAAGACTTTTTATTTGTTGGTTAATTATTAACAAATCCCAGCCCAACCTCAACTCAGGGGACATTTAATAGAGGTTCCAACCGTGTATGCAAAAAATATATATTTTTTCCAGAGAGCAGGGAAGCAAAATCCAACCTATCTGCTCTTTATGTTCCTTGTTCAACTTGTTGAGACTCTCCATAGCTTCTTCCAGGTTTGTAAACACGGTGAGTTTAGGACGAAGGGACTCTAGCGTGTCTGTCACCATGTAATCAACATCACGGGGATATGGGTGTCCTTCATGCCAGATGGGATCAGCTTTCTTCTTCAACACGTAGCACTTCAGGGTAAAACAAATAAAGCTGTTCTTCTTTACATAAAGAATTCTATTTTATACACTCATAAGGATACTAGGCTTTGTTTTGCCTTTAGGATATGTTCTTTTGATGGCCGAGTGAACTCAACATCACTGCTATTGAACGAGGAAAGGTGTTTTATGGCATTTATTAGAGTATCCAAAGATTAACTCCCAGGATTAACCATAAACTGAACATACAACAACCTTAAAAAAGATTGACAAAATTATGACGAGAACTAGACAAGCACACAGTTCAAGAAGAATTTATCATCACAAAGCTAAGACATCCACAGGGTTGTAGTTTCGGAAAAGGAAAAAAATTGTGAAGACTCCCTGTCACTTCTACATATAATATTAAGGGCCGTAGAGGGTGTACCTTTTAAACTATTGTAGTCATGAGAATGTACAAGTGACAAGAAAGCAAAGTTGCAAAAACCCATTTTTAAGAAAGCACAATTGTAGATTTGGACTACTTAACTGAAAACTCACCTGAAAGTAAATTAGAAAGCAGTCAAGTTTCTTCTTGTAGTTACCATGATCAAAGTACTGTCCGCAAGTGTCCAGTAATGTACATATCATACGAATACGAAACAAGTGTCCAGGAGGGTCCAGAACGGATGGAATTCCTATCAAAAGAGCACAAGTCTGCTCTGTGAGTATACTGCTTCTGGTAACCGGAATTAATCAAAGTTAATGTAAACGAGCCTTGTCCTGAATCACATAAAGGGGGATTAAAACATTGATAGTTAGACAAGAGGCATAAACGGGTGTGCAAACGACCACTAAAAAGCCATAAACGGTAACACAACAAACAATTAAGGTCATGAAGGGTGTAAGTGGTGTTAGTGAGTCAGTAAGTCAGAATATGACAGAAAGAAAGAAGAAATCAGTACAATATGCTTATAATGACCTTTCATACAGCGAGCAGGTCTACTGAATACTAACCTTCGTTATTGTTGCCAAAGGTAATGAAGGAATACATAATGCTGAAGATGACACGTGACTCCACTTGTCTGTAATTGTACAGCTCACCTAAGAACTTGATGCAACTTAAACGCCGCTGATTCATCTTCTGAAGGTTTGTCTACACAACAAAAGAAAGAATTAAAGTAAATAATGAATGATTGATACTTTTCACAGTGAAACCTAAACATAACGATTAGCTACTCTCCTACCTTTAGTGGTTATTTTAAAGTAGAACAAAATTTCATAACTGTGCCTCAGAGTTTAAGCCAGATAATATTGCCTCCAAAGATATATCAGTCATCTAAAAAAACACTCTCAGTTGGGTTGGTATAAAATGATATAGAACTCTTGTAATCTTCATTTGGTTCATAAGAGAAAAGCCAGGCCCAGTTAAACGTGTAAAAGGAATTAAGTTTGACTGCAGGCTTAAATCAATAACCTACAGCTGAATAAAGGTGATCGACTCTCACCTACCCTTGTGATTGGCTGCCGAATGCCTTTGGTTGACCCGCCTTGTTTAATGGCTAATAGCTAAGAACAGTTTTTGACCTCCTTTAATCTGTATTGACAAATTTATGTACAATTTCTGACGTACTTTGGTCTGAAAAAGGGATTAACACACTGCGTGATTCCCCTCAACCTTAACATGCCTTCCTTTTCACAATTATATAGCAATTTCATACCTCCATTCCAAGGCGGATTTCTTCCAAAATGCCGTCTACAACATATAGACCAACATCTTCCTGTAACAAAAGTTCAACAAAGTGTAATTAAGTCATAGTACTACTTCAAAAATAAGATCAAACTCAGAGAAAAGATTGGTTACTCACATGATACTGTACCAGTCCCGCCAATAGATTAGCAGCACAGTGGATACTGTTGTACTTGATGTTCCATACACGAACTAAACACTTGATCACATACAGGGCAACCTGCAATAAAGTTATCATTGTCGGAAAATTGCTCACACCCCTCTTGGTAAAATTAAGGAGTCTCCCAAGGTTTGATTTTGTTCGGCTCAAGAAAAATGAGCCCAGGAACTTGCTTTATCAGATAGGTATTTGAAGTGTTGATTAGCTTGTTGGTTTCAACACTATTAAATAGATGTCCATATTTTCCTGAAAATTCATGACATTACTATAAAATACACAGCCAATCAGAAACAATCAAGCTAATCCTTAAATTTTAAATCTAGCTCCAAATGGTACAGTCTGATGATCATTTGGTGTGTGCAATTCATTATTTGTATTTCACTCTGTATGTATTTGTGTCAAGCACTAGCACTCCCGTGACTTAGTGAAACAATCTTATTACCTCTTTATTTATGTCAATACCACTGATATTTAGATTTCTGACAACCTATACCTGTGGATCATCCCAAGGAAGCTTCCTGATCTGCCGCAGAACCTGCAGGTCAACAAAAACAGTCAAAACAGTATTACACACCAAGGTTCATATACACTTTCAAAAGCCCAGATTACTTCTGATTACTTACAGGTTGCTACAGTTATTTTTGTAACCAACAGATACGTTTTTTGAATTAAACCCTTATTCACTTTACACAGCTGTACATGTGGGAAATTACAGACTGGTTTTCTAACAAAACCCATACACATGATCTACTCAGTATTTTGGAACCTGCTCCAGAGAGAGATAATGAAGGTTCATAGATGATAATTGACTGTTACTTTTGAGAACTGGGAAAATTTGGCACTATGATGAACTTTACTAGTCTATGACTAAAAAGCTACTTGTTGCAAGCAGTAGATGGACTTTAAGTTCAATGATACCTTCTCAGTAGTTGTCTTGGCTAAGTCTCTATACAGTAGTTTACGGACATACTCGTGCAAAGGAGGCCGCACCTTCTGAACAACCTGTAAGAAGCAACAGCAACAATGCCAGCAAAATTATATAGAATTGCAACTACAGTTAAGAGTAAAAGCAATTTGATTCTTGCAATGATTTTTTTCTTCTACATTTTTGGTTTGGCAAAATCACACAGAGAACACTGTTTATGTTGCTTGAGCACATGCACACAAATCTACCTTCTGTCTTTCAGGTGGGTTACAGTAGAAGAATGCATTCTCAATTAGTGTCATTTGACGACTGTCCAAATTCTGCACAGCTTTCTTTCTCATCATTAGTTCCTGCAATAAAAAGCAAAAGAAACTTACTGCAGAGGTTGGATAAAAGTAAGTCACTATCGGTAACAACCCTAGTCATGTTTACACACACTATAGGACAATCAAATACATACCAACAAGTTTTTTGTCCTGATGTGTGAATCTGGTGATCGGTACAGAAATCGACCACACACTTCTAGTAAATTACATGCCATCTCAATGTTGTGGTGGGTGAAATCTTCCAACAGCATCTAAGATTTGTAATACAATGAACAAAATACGTCGTTCACTATTGAGTACTAGCTATAGCAGATATAAGGAGTTAAAGAATGAGAACAATATCAGTTACTACGTTATAAGGTTTTGTGCATAAACTAACTTTTGGCATAGCTTGATGGGCTTCATTGACATGGTTCATTTTCTTGTGGCGTGAAGTTTCAAGCCGTTAGTACTCTTTTACATCCCAGTTTTATAACATTTTGATGGTTGTAGATTAGTTGCCTGTTTACAACTAAAAATGTAATAGCCCTGAGTGATAGGGGGCGAGAAACATTTTCATGTACATTGCTGGCTGGCTGACCGTTTGTCACTTCATATATATTCATAACCAACCATAGTCCTTACTGCGATCAGTTCAAGCAACTTATTTTGATGTCAGACCTATCTGACAGTCGCGTTATGTACCTTTAAACAGTGTAATGCTTCACCCTTTGGGAACATGTGGAACTTGGTCAGCTCACCTACCAAAATAATAAATGATTGACACAGTTTAGGGAGTAAGCATAATCTGACAAAAAAGAAATGTGGTAGAATGTATTTTAACAAGTCTCAGTAAAGCAAGGTGAAGGGTTTCTTTTGCTATTGTAAAATTACATCTCACCTATAAACCGCACTGCCTTTATCTTGGATTCCAAATTAATTTGATCCTTCTTACGAACCTAAATACAGGGAGTCATCACTTAGGAGAAAGCATCCACTCATTAAATACTCCCAAACAGGGTAGACACATCCACGTTGTATACTCAGTAGTAATACAGTACTACAGAACGCTGGGGCTGCATTGTTATTTCTATTGATTATAGGGTACACATATCTATACATCATGTAGGAATACAGAAATACAGCAACTTGTTGGAACAGGACTCTTTCCCTTAAATGTAGGGTACACATATCTAAAGGAAAACATGAGGAGTATTATGATACACATACCAAGATGAAATGTAAAACAGAGGGATACAGAGACCGTGAACACTGTGTTCTTTGACCTGGTGAACTGATACAAATTCTTAATCTCATAATAATTTGTTCAAACCTTTGACAACCATCTTTTTTATCCACAATCTCTCTTACATGTACAGCTGGAGGATACTCCAATGAAAAACCAGTTGCATTCACAGTCTCGAGTCAGCCAACAGACAAAAATAATACCCACTGAAACAGAAACTCCAGTACCAATAATATTGCCTATTTTAATATACTTAGGCTATGGACTACTGAGCCTTTGTATACCTACCCTAAATCTGAATTCTCCTTTGAGTTGCTGCACTAGCTCAGGAGCAAGATCAGGAGCACAAGGATCAAGAGTTGCCACAAGGCGAGCATACATTGGTAACAAATCAAGTCTGCAATGAAATCAAACCTTTAAAATACGTCTTGCTCTTGACAAGGATTTTTTACTGTATACATGGCAGGATATTGGCCAGTGACGGAAATCACTGAACGCACATGCTTTACCTACCTTGTTCTTGGAACAGCAAGAATGGCTCGACAGAGTTTTTTTCTGTTTCCCTTTGTGTTGCATGTTTGCATGAATTCTGTTGCTACCTACAAACAAAAAGATAACTTCTTGTATGTTTATTTTTTATTTGGTCGCCTAACAACAACATAACAAATTGACATTAAGAATTTAATTGAATAAATGATAATTGAAATATAAATAATTGTATTTACCAAAGAAAAAAAGGACTCAAAAAATCTGTAAACATTTTAATTTTTGAAGATTATTATTTGGCACTTTGCTATAACTGTTGATTATAAAAATTTATTTCTAAGTGGCTTGATGACTGTTCATCAAGATAAACAGTACCTCATCGATAAAATCCTTATTAACACATGTTGGCAACCTCTGCAGGATAGCCTCAAGAGCAAGAGCAGTAGAGGAGATTGATGTTTCACCAGATGATGAGTTGTCATCATCTTCTACAAGAGAGGGAGGAAATATTCTATATCATGGTCACGTTGATTTGATACTTTTAGACCCTCTTTGCCCTAAAAACTGCATAATACAAACTGAGAGGACTTTCGACGCTCTGAAATTAACCACAATGAAAATATTCAACATTCTTGTAGATTCTGTTGCCCTAGACTGACTAGCTTAGTAGGTCACTTTGTAAGCTTTTAAGCTCACGCAACCACCTCAACAGCAAAGTTTCACAAAGCTTTGAAAGGAGTCATTTAAGTACCACCACTAATGCATCACTGTGCATCAAATAGATGAACAAGAAAGTAGTCAAATGATCAAAGGGCAGATAACAGCAAATTACTGAAAAGTTCCTTTGCTTTATTAATAACCACTGTTTGCTAAAGACCTAGCTTCCTTTACTATTACAAGGTCACTTAAAGTACAGCAAACAACTTTGGCAAGCACGATTTATGTCCTCATAAGTGATTCAAGCCCTTGCCATTGATTAATGCAATGTGTAAAAGACATTCATTATAAATCATTATTTGAATAATTTTTTGTTCAAGTTAATATTCACAATCATACAGTAATCAGTACCTTCTTCACTTTCCTTCTCATTGTATTCCTCATCACCAAAATAATCATCCATTTCTTCATAATCCTCCTCTGCGACTGAACAAGGAAAAATGTTAAACACCTGACCATCAGCCAATGCTCACTTTCCAGTTTTGATGAGTAGAGTAAAATTAATAAAAATACCTAACTGGGGACAAAATTAAATACTTATTATACTACATGTATATCAGGGTCAGTAACATAATACCCAATGGATAATTCTCTATCCAGTGGCTAACAAAATTAAGCATCTCCTACCATACACTGGAATGTAGGTATTTATCCAGCATATAGTGCTACCCAACTGATTGTCTGGAAATACAGCATGGTATAGCTGATTTATTTTATTAAGTTTATATATCAGTTGTTTTCAATTTGCACTTAACAACATACTTTCCAACTTGTCTGACATCTTCTCATCACTCTCAGCATTACTTGCAACTTCTCCTTCTTCCTTCCATTCATCTTTGTACAAAATCTGGTAACAAATTATCAGGAAAAACAGAGATAATGTCCCTTATGCATGTTTACAGCTAGACAGAAGTACATTGGACTGGCTACTGTTTTGAAAATTGTGTATGCTAGTTAACGTTATAACCGACCAGTCTAGCAGCCAATGTTAACAACTTACTTCTGACATGCTTGTGAAGACTGGCTAAATTAGCTACAGCTGTACATGTATACTCACTAAAGTGCACACAGCAGATTATATGCTTTTACGTTTCTTGATTCACAAAAAAGGATTGCCTCAGAACATTAAACATTCAACAGCTCATTACTAGATAATCAAAAATTACCCCTGGTAGAAAAGCTTTGAGATCTCTGATGTTTTCATAAAAGATTCGCGTTTCTTCATCTTCCCAAAGTCCAGTGCTGCCATCATACTAAACAAAAAGAGTTAATCAATTGTTGATTAAACAGCACACAAGAGTACTTTAATACAACTTAAATGACAAATGATTGAACTTGACTAGTAATTTTGAATTCCTTTTCAAAGTTCCTCTGAGGCTTTATTAAAATGATAAACAAGAATATTAGAACTCTCAGAACAATCAGAATTTTCACCTTTATTGCAAGATTTCCCTGATTGCCAAAAACCATTATTATTGATTACACGTAGAATATGTTATCAAACTTATGCATCTTACCTCTGAATGTTTGAATGGGTTGAAAACATCAATAGAGTTAGATCCAGCATCTTCTTGAACAATCTCTATGATATGAAGCACATACATAGCATTGACAATCCCTAAAATACTACTAACAGCCCAAAAACACTACTGAGTGCCACCTTTTTAATTTTAAGGCAGTTAAAAATTTAGAGAATGGATTGAATGGATAAGTGTACATGTAAGAGTAAAAAGGAAAAAAAAAACATGGCTGTCAAACAGGATTAAAAAACATTCAAAAGGAAAAAATATGACAATATAAACACTGGACCCAAGATCAGTCATAGAATCAACAGGTGTCAAGTACTTTAAACTACATACCAGATACTGGCAAATCAGGCATATCTACATCAAGTATGTCCTGCAATTTACAAAAGCCCATTAAAAGACCATAATCGTTATGGCATTTATGGTAAACATTAAAATGCATTATTCTATTAAAAATATTGCCTTGAGGATTGATTGTTTACTTACAGCTAAAGAAGCTGTGTTGCCTAGTAGTTTTTCATAAGCCTTCTGTGCCTTCTCAAATGCTTCCTTCCTCTCAGGGTGTAATTCACCTTTGGTCTGTCAGAAAATAAAATCATCCCACAAAATAACAACAATATTAATGATATTGTTGGTTATTTCTCTCCCCTACCTATGGCTCATGCTCTGAATGAACCATTCAGTCTTTTTAAATATTGAGTCACTAACTAGCCTGCGAACAGCAGACGCATTTCCGGTCGTCGCTTCTCTCCCTCTGAAAAATAGCGTCTGCGAACCCAAGCGACAAAACGATTTCCGTGACATAAAACCTTTTTAGCCAATCACGGTTTAGCTCTTAAAATCAAGGAACTAACTCGCGAGACTTCTCACAGGATCGTGCGCGATGGATATGTTTTCAAGTCGAAATTGAAAGGACGATGTGGCTCGTGTACAGCCGTCCTTTTTTCTCAGAACGACGCGTTTACAAAAGCTAATTTGCCAGGATTGTGGGACTGATTGACAAGACACTTCAGCGCGCGAGGTCGCGAGGAGTCACTCGAGCTGTATTCTATCCTTTGATCTGATTGGCCTACATCAAAACAAGAGGTTTTACGTCACCGAAATCGTTTTGCCGCTCGGGTTCGCAGACGCTATTTTTTGGAGGGAGAGAAGCGACGACCGGAAATGCGTCTGCGGTTCGCAGGCTAGTCACTAACATGGTGGCAAGTATTTTAGTGAAGGTAAACGGAATGAAAAATCACCAACTACAGCCTTGCACCATGTCATCACTCCTTCAACCTGTTAAGTTACATTATGCATAGCAGAGAGTAGTAGTAGTATTATAAGCTGTACCATTAATGTTTGCCTGTTTTGCTTCTCTCTATTCTGAAGATCCTTGTGTGCTTTAACTAAGTGGCTTGCCAGTGACTTGTAGTATGTGTGCAATAGTTGATACAAGGCAGCTTGATCATCAGCAGATACAATGCAACACTTTGGAAATGTCACTCCATGCTTCTCAGCTAGCAGCCTTTGCTTCCGAGATGTGAAACCAGCAAAGTCCTCACCACAGTGACGCGCAAAGCTGATAATGACTTGAACATAAACATGGTTTTCCTTGTCACAGTTCAGTATGTTACTCAGGATGGTATTGAGTATTTTAATGCCCTCTGATAGCTTGGGAAAAATTCCAGCAATGATGAGCTCTCCTAGAAGTCTTAAGGTGACACGGTACTTGCCCACATTTGCTATCTGTGGTTAAGGTAAAAAGTCAATAAAAAGTGTGGTTCTTCTCTAGCTGAAGAATGAAAGAAGAGAAAAACGTTTTTTTCTCACACTGCTGGGAGTATGGGTTTGGGCGTGTGTGGGGTTTTCATGTCACAAGGCATTTCAGACAGGGGTGTAGCCTGCCCATAGACCTGTACGCCTGGGCCTACAAATTTTTGGTTTGATCACTCTACTGCTTGTAATAAATTATATGTTGTTGGGGTGAGTTTAAAAGCTTAAGAGCTCAAACTGTTGGTGAGGTCAATGCGTACTAGTCATGCGTGCAGTTTTCAGGATATTTGGAAACGAAAGTTAGCCAGGCCTACAACGATAGTCGAAAAGCTGGCTATGCCCCTGTCAGAGTTCAGTTCTTTTTGTTGCTATCCACTATGGCCTGACCTTCCCTATCCACCCACCCTTTGAGTGTTTTTTGGCTTATTGTTTTTATTTTTAGGATTTAATAGAGTGCCTTAGTTCTGATTATTCTTGTATCTAGTCTTAGCCTTTTTGTTAGCTCTCTTTTTGCACTGTAATTTGTGGTGATCATATTAAAAATCAGGCTACATGGTTGGCTTGGCATGGCTCCAAGTTGAGTATGAGAAAAGGAGAAAGATTTGACTGTATGCCACAATTTGATCTATAACTAGTGTACATTGTCTAAGATTTCATGACAGATGATTCTACAATGCAAACATCAGTTATTGCGAGCAGTGAGAATTATACAATTGGAACAAAGTAGCTTACCTAACCTACTCTTGTGCAAAAGTAAATATACAAAATTTCAGACTATAATTGACCATGGGAAAAAGTATTGATTGTGTGTTAATGAAACAAACCTTGTCCTCTTCCTTGCCACCATAGGAATCAAACATCTTCACGAGTCCCTTCTTTAAAGGCTCATTAAAGTCAGCATAGTGTTGATTTATCAAACCACAAATATGAGCCACACATTTCACATCTGCAAGCTGTCAGATAAAGTACCTTACTCAAATAATAGTAAAAATAAAATTCACTTGACTCAAAGCAAAGTGAACTCCAGCAAAGTTGTAAATAAGGGCGTGCTGCTGTGGTTCAGGAAGAACTTAAAAGGCACTGATCTTTAAACAGACATCCTTAAACTGCTCATCGTTATTTATTTACATTGATAATAAAAGGACCCAAGTAATAATATTCTGTACACTGCAATGTTAACACCATAGTTTTTAGTGGTTTATTCCTAGGTAAAAAGTACCTTCAGCTTTGGCAGACCATCTAGTACCGCAGCAACCTGTAAAACAACAACACCACCACCCTCAATAAATGAAGCCTGCAGTTGATTGTAACATTAAAATAATACTCCACTACTAAAAACCTTGGTGTACTGAAAAGTTGTTGATGATGAAATTAATTTTTTTTGTAGGACTGAACAGGTGAGGTGCTTCCTGTACTACTTACAGCTTCTGGAACATATCTTGACAGATTCAAACCAGTAAACTCCTGCTCTAACGATTCACGCTGGGATTCTGTGATGGTCCTCTAAAAATAATATAAAAGTAGCATTTAATATCAAGTGCTCATGCAGTTTCAAATACTCTATTGGCTCCTAACATATTTTGTTAGTGCTTAGAGCAGGTTTATAGATAAATAATTTAACTATCTGTAAGTGTTTTCAAACAAACACACCAAAGAAGTATACTTACCAATTTTTTGATGAATGCAGAGTTCTTCTTGACAGATGAGTCGCGTCCTTTAAAAAAAGATTCTTCAGGCCGCTGGCCTGCAAAAAGACAACTAGTTTAGTTTTAAACCCTACATGAAGTGGGATACTGAGAAATGTTACTAACCTACAGCTTTCAAATTTTTTTCTCTAACTGCAAGCTTCTGTTCAAGCTGGTCTTTTGCATCCTCCAAAGCTTGTTGCTACAACAATTAAGAGAGCAGTTTAACATAACAATTTTGACAAGAAAAATTCCCTGTGAACAACCTGACTAACACTAAGGTCAGTGCCCACTCTAATCACATGTCAGGGCTGACATAGAGAGGCGGTGGCCAGGGATTTCCCCCAGCAACTAAGAATGTGGCAACTGGCTACTTTTAAAGGAAAATAGAAGAAAAATAGAACCAAAAGAAATCTCTAGCTGTTTGATTGCCCGCCTACTTGTTGTATTTACCCGGCAAATTGAAATCTTAGCAACAGTCCTCACATGTCTTGATCTAGAGTTCACACTATTGGTCGTACTAATATATAAATCCTTTTCTAAACACGTTTTTCTTCTCCGTGGTCAACTTATAAGCAATATACAGCAAGGATTTTTTTTAATCAAAACTATAAGTTTGCTGTTCCAACAAGATTGCTGCTCCAATTAAGACATTTAAATGTTGTTTATGATAAAAGTTTACCACTTCTTCTTCTTCTTTCCTCAGTTCTTCTTCATCACCTGGCTCTTCCTTTGCTTTGTTACCACCATTATCATTCTCTACCTGGAAAATTATTGTAGTTATACAGTCATGATATGCTTTAATTCACTGACCTTGCAGATTGAACTTTAAATATTTGCACCTCAGAAGTACCTCATAAGTACAGGTTGTGAAAATAGATTTATTTCAGCAATAAAAAAGTACACAACTTTGTAATGTGTACAGAATTAATAATCTCCTGATTTGATTTTCTGAAGTAAGTTGATGTTCTATCTGTACAAAATACATAATTAAATATAAGGAAAAAACTCAAAAAATTGTAGTGTTTCTACAATATTTAATTAAAAATTTGTAGAATTATTTGGAATTAAATCTTACCTCAGCTTTTTCTTGCTTGTCTTCAGTAGCTATCATATCGCCTTTGTTACTAATTAAAAATAAATACAAAAGGAAAGAAGACAGCATTCGGTTAAGTGAAAATGGGAGTCTTAACAAGACGAAAGCTTATTATTAAATTTATTCTCTGGCCCTCAAATTATTCTCCTGTCAAAAAAAAGTATGAGAACAAGAGATGTATATAACACTAAACTTATCTGTGCATCAATGGTTTTGTTTTGCATGTGTACATGGTTGATTCATAAGGTTAACATTTTTTACATGATTCAATTTGATCTGTTACCATCCCCCCATCCTTCCCCGATCAATCGCCCGGGACAAGTCCGGCACTTTGTGCCCCGGAGTGGGGAATTGTTTGAAGTGGTCCTGTCACGCAGGTTGGGGACGGGGTAAATCAAAAGTAACTTCTCTTTGATTTTGCGAAGTATGTGTTGTTTCTCACCTGGTTTACACGGAGCAGTGGAACTCAGGTTAAGTATTTTCAACAGAAAAAGTAGGAATTTGTTGGAGAGTGGTTGGAGAGGAAAAGCCTTTCATAATTTAAGTCTGTATTTGAAGGGATGTTTTGAAATACCAAACAATTGTGTGTATGATGCATATTTAAATGTATTTTTTTTGCAAATGAAACAAAGAAATATTTCTTCAGCCTAGTTTAATAATAAGACAACTTAAATAGACTGTAAATAAAAATGAATACAAGGCATTTGACATATCTATGATAGACAAAGATTCAATCCAGTGTTCTCATGAGGTGTTCTATCAGGGTCAAAAAAGGTGCTTAAGAGTTTTGTTCACGTTCTGACTACATTTTACATGTATTCTCTGAGCAAATAAGATGTACCCCCCCCCCAAAAAAACGGGTATATGAGGTTGATCAGAACAGAAGAAAATTGCCACTCCCTGGGGGTATGCCCGGGGGGGGCATGGTAACAAGTCAAATTGAACCATGCATTGTTTTATTTTTATTCTTCTTGACAGTAATTTATTTAACTGCAGAGCAGTTACTGTTTAATCACTCAATTTTTTGTAAACCCTTAATCCCTTGCATTTCAATGCACTTCACTATATTATGCAGTGCTATTTATAGTGAACGTTTTGGATAGAACTCAACTAAGTCTCAGTTTATTATATGTAAACAAAATTAGATTCAATATCAAACGAAACACTTAGACTCCCTAACATAAAATTGTATGTAGTTTTTTTGAGAGCTCATTTACATGTACCCTGAACGTGACGGTTTTAAATTGTACAATAATAATTTCAAATGACAAACGATTTTAAAATGGGGTGTTAAACTGTGGCAAGATGAAATCATATTCTTTTTTATCCACGAAACAGAAAAGCAGCATGATCATGTATGTAAAGTTAGAAACATGTAAGCTTATATCTGCAGTGCCTTGTTGTAACTTACAGTGTGCCTAACATGATTTAAGAGCATAACAGTTAGCAAGTATAAAATACCTTTCACTTCCCTCTGCGTTTGCAGAAAATTCATTATCTGAAGCGGTTGAGCTCTTAGGATCTGTTGCTTTCTCATCCTTTATTTTGCCTCCAGTATGTGTCGATTCGCTTCTACCACTTTGGCTGCCACAAACACTCTCCTCTTCCCCGCATGCTGTCTTCCTTTTTTCTTCATTCATGGAATATGAGTAAAACTTCGTTCTCTTCCCATATGGAAGGGAAAAATATAAAGTTTATTCCGCCATCTTTTTCAGACGCCTCCGCAAAGACGAATTCCCGTGAGTTGAATCCAGCTTGCGTGACCTGGTGCCGTGTTTAGGTACCAGTTTGTCTCGGCTTTTCGAGAAGCTTGGGAAACAAAATGGCGGCCAACCCTAACTCTTCTTGGCAGCATTATAACTTTCCATTCTTCGGGCAAGTGAATACGTCACAGTCTTCCATTGATTACGGTAGCACCTCGGTATTAAATATAGATTTGGATAGCCAGGGTCAAAGGCTGGTTGTACATTCAAAACAGTCGCATGATTCGCGATACCAACGACAACTACTTGTCTCGAGGCAGCCCTACAGCTTGCCTTTTCTGGAGCCAAATCCAAAGCCTTGTCTATTCCAGCATTCATTGGCGGATTTTCATTTAAGCAGCTCTCTGCGTAGAAAAGAGCTAAATTTTGAGGCATATTCAGTCCTCGTGGATACTTTTTCAGCTGATCATCCTGATATCATGTATGGAACTGCTGCTGATCTGTTAAAAGAAGAAATGAATCGCCCACCGTTTAGCACTTGTTCAAACAATAAGAACAAGCTGGACTTTTATTTTCCTTGGAAGCGCAGAGAGGATTGTTGTAAACTCTGCTCGAAAATTCGTTACGCTTCTTTGAACAAGGAGAGCAATCCTGGCCAAATGTTGAAACAATTAGGAACGACTTTACCAGACATTTCGCCGAGGTTACTAGAGAATTTGCTCCAAGAAAGTAACGCCCTCGACACTTGCAGATTACATTTTGACACCTTTCTGGGCAATAGCTTGTCTTGTTACGCTTTGGACACAGAACAACAAGCCCTTCTTTTATTTCCAAGTGGCCCTGGCTTGGACGTTTTAAACTTTACACATGTGCCTTGTTCAACTGAACAAAACACTCATTTTCATCCATTGCTCTCAAAGCAACAGTTTGCCATTCATGGTCAAATAAGACAAATTGACTTTTCCTCTTATTCCCACAAGAATGTTGTCGCTGGAATCAGATCACAGTACAACTGTGCATTCTTTCAAAGTTGCCCTTCCATCTCTAATAAAGACAATTCTGTAAGTGGTAGTAAACATGAATCACAAAGTTGATGATAGCCTGTGTCACAGACGTAATCTGACTGCAGTTAGTAATGTCTGGGAAGCAGTAACGATATCCTTGTTCTGGGTTCTCAATGGACTAAACAAATTACAGGAAATGTGTTCCCTACTTCCCTTCAACCTTACTGGCAAATCAACAATGGTATTTTCAAAAGACCAATTGTGGCATATATTAAAACCTGTACACAGCTGGGGGACCAGAAACAGGATTTCGGCACTGTTTCACAGATGGACTTAAACAGAAGTTTAGTTATGTCTATGACGCAGGCTAAGTTGATGACTAGCTTTCCTAAAAGTTTTTTTAAAACAAAATTTTGCACTGCCAAAGATATTGTGGTCAACTTGTCACCAAAGACTTACATAGAAGTGCTATACTTTTGTAGTCTGACAGTTTTTCCTCAAGAGAATGGAAGAAATTACTGCTTGCCAACTATTCATGGAAGGTTTGTGGGAAGAAATTGGTAAGCAAGTTTGGTAACAGAGGATGTTACAGTAAGGTACCTTTAACATTGGGAACCATAGGTTATTGCTGTCTCCTTTAGTTAATTGAAATTAGCAGAATGTTAGCAAGGATAAAAATTGGATGCATCAGGGGAAAAAACCTTGTGGTGTGTACAAGTGAGGAGCAAACAGTAACATTTGCCTGTTTTTCTTTCCTCTTAAGCCACCTCTAAAGCTTCTTGAGACTGTAGCCCTTACTAAACAAGCAATGTGCATTGCTGTCAGCCCGTATATTCCAGGCGAAAGTGTCATTGTGAATGAAACGGGTCAAGCATACATTTGGACATGTGACCATGCTCTGAGAATGGTGTGTAACCAGTATCAAGGTAGCCAAGATTCTCCATGGTTCCAATGTGTTTTTGCCGATAATCCTCGCTGCATTGCAATGGCTGATGTTAAAGGGATGGATTTGCTGGATTTCAGGGTAAGTTAAGACATAAATGACTAAACTATTAATGAGTAATATAGATAACGTAGACATCAACAAGAAAGTTAGGCCTTTTAAGGGCACCTGAACTTCTTTACTACCACTTCTGTCAGCACCCCCCCCCCAAAAAAAAAATAATAATTTTTTTTTTTGGGGGGGTGCTAACAATTTAGTAATTTGGGTAATAAAGCATGTCCAGTGAAAATGTTACATGTGTGGTGTACATTTTGCTTTAATTAACTCTTATGTAGTGTAATGTAAGTTTTCTGGATATCCAGTTTTGTAAGCCAGGCAAATATGGTGTTGGTTTCCTTTTGTTTAAACTATTTGGAAAAATACTTCATGAGTAGACATACAGTTTTGCATTTTACTCCTGACAATGTTTCGACCCAGAAAAGCAACACTAATAATAATTCTAAATCAGATTCAGAATCATTGTTTTAGTGGAAAGAAAGATCTTCAATATTATTATCTAGAGTGGTTTTACAATATCTTTTTCTCACAGGCAGACTCATTATTTAAAAGGTTTTTCTTTTCCATCCCATCGGATCAAGTGGATTCTTTTGAACGTGTTTCTGCAATTCAGCGTCACCCTAAAAATCTACATCATTATGTGCTGGCCACAGATCAATCACTCATGATACTAGATGATCGGTTTCTTCAACATCCAGTTCTTACGTGGAGGCATCATAATGATGACCCCATTCAGTTCATCAATGTTACTTATGATGCAATTCCACATTGTGATGATTCAGTTGTGATGATATCTGGCTCACGTCATGGACAGACACACTGCTTCCAGTACTCTGATCGTAGCCAAGTGACCAGGTTGCCTGTAACAGCTTCTAAATACCTACCACCCCAATCAGTATCCTCACCATGGAAGGTAAACTAAGTTATAAGGCCATGAAGAATACATAAAGGGTTTTCTGAATACATTACACAGGTGATTTAATATTAACAACAAGATTCTCTTCCCAAACTGTCTGTGAAACAGGGGGGTGGGGGTGGGGTTGGAGATTACGCACTCTGTCAGTTATATTGTGTTACAAGTCTTCAAGTCAGTTTCTTGTAATTTCAGTCTCCAAAGTGGTTACTGTTCATATGGTAGTCTTCACATGTGATAGACCTTTATTCAAAGACATACAAGCTCTACATTGAATTTGATGATGGTAATGATTTACAAATTTGATGTTCTGCACTTTAAAAGTGTGTTGTGATTTTGTCACCAGTTGAGGGTAGTTCTACAATTTAGTTTTAATATCAAATGCCTTGCAAGAATGATTCCATCCAAATGTCCTTCCAAACAATAAGCTTAATTAATAATTGGCTCAGAGGCTGAGGGGATAAAATTAAAGTAATGACATTGAGATACAGACTTGAATGATTTCTTTTGTTTTATTCCCCAGAGGCTCAGAGCCAAGTATGAATTTTAAGAATTTAAAACTGGTGTATTCTATTTAGAACTCTACTCCTCACAAGTGTTTTATGTCACATGTTGTCTTAACCTTGACTAATCAGTCTGACATGTGTTTTTGTTTTTAGGTGTCACCTTGTAATGAATGGCACTATACTGGCCTTTGCAGTGACCAGCTCACTTACGCTCCAATAATTGCTTCACGACTGTCTCAACCTCTTATTGGTGTCTGCACCATGCCGCACACCTCCCACCCCCAAAAGGGTTTCACTGTGTTTCAAATGACTGAAGCAGGTGACTTATTTTACCAGCAATTTATCTCTCAGGAATGTAGTGATTCTGAAAAATATCCTTGGATTACAGACAGCAGTGAGCAAAGGAGAAAAGAACTTGGAAAAGAAGCTCAGATTTTGTGTCACAAGTGGGTAGAAATGATAGAAAACCAGGAAAGTGTTTCAGTAGAACCTGTCACTTTTCAAGTGGATTATGTAGAGATCGATAAAAAGAGATTCTGTCAGGATTTGTTATTGTTACCAAAGGCTCATTCAAACTGTGCATTGTGCAATGGTGGACAAACTAAGAGCAGCTTAGAAAAGGAGCAAGAAACAGGTGAATTGACTATCTGTAGAAGGTGCAATTTGGATACAAATTACAGTTCTAAGCTAGTGGAGGGTCAGAAAAACAGCACAGTCCTTACAAAGAGCAGTTTGTCCATTCATCATGAAGTGAAAGACCTTCCGATTTCTCTAGATTTCAGCAAGGCAACTGATCCTCTTAGTAAAAGTCTCTGGTTGAACTGGAACAGTGATGAACCAATTCCAGTGTTCAGTGACGAGGAGCCAATAAGTGCACATGTCGGTCAACAAATTTTCAAAAATACCTACAGCAATAGATCAGCTTCACTGGATACCTCAAAACAAGATTCTATAAAGCATCAGGTTCCTGCAGCATTCTCATCTAGAGAACAACAAGCAGCAAATCAGATTGATAATATTGGCATAAAGACAAAATCTGATGATCTGCCTTCACAGGATACAGCGACATCTGTGGTGATACCACCAGCTAGGCCAAGGCAAATGCACTGGGCACCCAGTGATGGTGAAGTTAATTATTCACCTTCTATGCAGGGTGTGGCCTCATCATCACCATTGAAACCTCTGGGAAACTCACCAAAGAAATCAAAGGTAGTAAAAAGAAAATCTGGCCACATCATGGGTTTTTAGCTTAATATTAACTCCACAAAAACACAAATAATGAAAATAATAATAAAATAAGGTTATATGATCCCATAGCTATATTTCTGTGTGAATGTACTGAACAGTGTTTTACTGAAGAGGAAAATTATAATAATTGCTATTTTTGAATCAGCTATGTGACTGAAGCTTATTCTGGTACATGCCATGTGATTTTTCCCATAGCAACAAAAAACCTTCAATTAAAATATTATTGACAGGTGACCTTTTTGGTGAGACTCTCCAAAACCTACCTTACTTGTTAGAATAACATCCATGGGGTTTGTCATGGGGCCTCTTGAGGTCCCAGTTGGGACATTTCACATGCGAGACATCTGCACCTCAATTATGACAGAGATGCCATACTGATGATGTAAATCAATGTTTACATAATCTGGTATTCATGGGGATACAGATGTACATTTGTCATATGTTTCTCCTGGTCTGTTACATTATCATTAAGTTTTGAGCTCCTCCGTGAATGAGAGGCCGCAAAACTCAAATGCTCCTTGCGAAGAATACATTCCAACTGCAGTAGATTCATTGTGTTTACATTTGATTTTTGCGACCTTTTTTATTTGTTGGCCAATCAGAGCTTCTGACCAGATTCTGGACAGAGCTCATGTCATCAGCTGTGTGGCATCTCTGTTGTTGAGATGCAAACATCTCTCCTACAAAATATCTCTTGCAGCAAGGAGTGAGAAGAGACAACTCTATTAACAGGCGAACAGGCTATGCAAGGTTCTTCTGGTTTGTGTCAACCTGAGATCATCTCTTCTTACCAGAAAGGAAACAAAATAAACCATCAAATTTCAAGGCCTAATGAAATATGTAGGAATACAATTTTATTGAATATTTATTATGTGAAGTGTTACCATAAAACCAAACTGTATAAAGAATAATATTATTTTTCCAGTAAAAAAAGGAAACATAACAATGTAACACATCCATATTAAATATATTCACACACAAAAGTAAGCAACAAAAAAGACATGTGACGTCACAGAAATGGTCAACTCAAAGTTGGCTTTTCTGCATTGGAGCTGTTCCCTGTAATCTGTATGGGTTCAGCTGCAGCACCTTCTAAGTCACTCTGTAAACTATCTCTTGGTTCAAACAATTCTTTAGTTTCCGTTCCATTGTTAGTGGCCATTGAATTTTCTAACAGATCGTCCTTCGATTCTTCGTCGCCATCAAGAGCTAGATCGTCATCTTTTCCGTAAATTTCAGGATATTTAACGAAACATTCCTGCATGTCACGGAACTGAGGAATACAGTCCGATCCTTTGGGATCCGCTTCGCTATAATGAAAACAAGAAAACGCCGCCTTAAATTGTTCTCCACAAGGACCGTAAGCCATTCCTTGTAAACAAGGACAATCCCAGTTTATTTCGCCGTTCGCTTTGATCAAACCTTCCATTTCATCATCTTCTTCTTCTCCAAGTATCACTGTGCTTGGAGTAGAATGGTCCTCTTCGGTTACGAAGATCAGTTTGTCCTTACCTGTGATTGGAAAACTAGGTTAGGAAAAAGACATAAATGGGACAAATGGGAATAAAAGAATTTGAAACTACCTTCTTCCCTACAATATGACATAATTTTAGCTTTTCAAGCCGGCTATCTTGGCACCAACAAATTTTACAAGACAGTGCACCATGTGCAAATTTGGTAAGAGACTGGCACTAATCCCAAGTTATCGAGGAGGACTGGCACGAAAATAGACTGATCCTGCAACATTAATACAACATGGCGGAAGAACGTAAAATTGGCGTTTCTTTTTCTTTTTCTAAGAGGAAGCCTGCTATTAAGTCTTACAGCTCTGAAAAGAATGCTCTTAGTATTGATGAAGATAAAGTGAAAGATGATGAAAAAGATTACATCCATTCCGCCGAGGAGGTATAAAAGAGTTGAAAAGACGGGAATGGTCGGAAATTTTATTTTTCTAAAGGAGACCAATCTTGTGGCTTAACCAAATTTTGACCCCGGGCTAAAAAACACACATATGCAATGAGTTTTTTAATTCAATAATGCTTTTATTAAATGATTGGTTTGGACCCTGGGCTTAAAATATTTTTAGTACCAAAATCCAAAATTTACACCCCTAAGCGAGACGACGAGCATCCCCGTCTGTTTCATATGGGAGTCCCCCCCCAGGCTTGTAGCATGGCAATTTAATTCAATAATATTAAATGATTGGTTTGGACTGGGTTTTAGTGTTAACGTAAGGACGTTGTATAGAATTATGACTCAGAAGGTAGGTTAAAACTAAATCCTTTTAGCTTATTAACTGAACAATAAATTGACACTTATTCAGATATTCCAAAGGTATCACAAAAAAGTAGTGTTGATGTGCTGCATTTTCTTTTTTACTACCTTATTATAGGAAATTAACGCTCCATGAAATTAAGGTATTGGAAATTAACACAACTTAAATTAACGCGAATTTAATGGGAAACGACTTTCGAATAAAGAAAATTAATGCAAAGGAGGAGGTAGAATTTCATAATAAAGGAAATTAACGCGATTAATTACGCGAAATCAAAGGAGAAGATATTGACATCACTTCTGACAGCGACAACGATGAACATGAACTCGAAATATTGTAAACCTTCGCCTTAGCTTTTGTGAAAGATGAAAAATAAAGGGTAAATGGAAAGAAAGAAAGCTTGTAGTTAATGTTTTTTAGGTGTCAAGAATGTCTGGACAGGTTCCAAAATTGGGGTTAAAATACTGGAAATTAAGAGTGCGGAAATGAACGCTGCACTTAATTAACGTCGCGGAAATTAAAGCAAAACAAAATTAACACGACTTAAATTAACGCAAATTTTAATGATGCGCGTTAATTTGGTGGTGCGCTAATTTCCTATAATAAGGTAGATGCTCTGCCTGACAAATGTGAGAACTGGTTTAAATAAATACTTATTGTGTCAACATAATAACTAACAATGTATTCCTCATCTGCTTGTAACTGTTTGTCACTTTACTGCCAGCTCAGATCAGGGGAGGTACTCCTATACGGGCTATACAAGTATATGCTGCTAAAGAGGGTATGCTTTTGCCTCTCTTGCTCATGAACAGGACATAAAAATCACCCTTTATCTCTGGAAGAGAGCTATATTTTGCTTCATTTGACTCTAGAGCATGGTTGATTTTCCCGCACAATTCCTAATTATTCTCAATCAAGCTTAGGTGCAAAATTTGCCCTTTCCTCCTTGTTGTATAACTGAGCCAGTCATAGGAAAAGGATTCCTATTTTTGTAACTGTTGCAAATTCGTCTCTTTTTGTCTGTCCACAGTCTCAAAGAATCAGTGGTACACCCCCATAGTAAGTTTAAGGAAGTACCCACTTCCCGCCGGGCAAACTCCGTATTTGCCTCATTTCCCTGTAAGCTGTTTGTAACAGGCTTTCTTTGTGCAAAAGTCCTGCTTGTGAGTTGCACTCACAGTAATTATTTTTTCATGAATGAAAATAATTAAGTTTATCTTTTTCTGTTTCCAGTGTTAAAGGAGAAAATAAGCAGAAAGAAAAAGTGATTCCTTGTCTGGCTAAGAATCGTTGGATTCTACCTCCTGATTCTAACTTTTGCTACAGTTTAGACAGGCAGGCGGCTGAGGAGTTGATGAAAGGTGAGCTTTATGAACCAACACCTTTACAGGTGGGGATTCCTGTACCTTATTTTTGCCTTTTAATGAAGTTTATTTCACTGGCTTAAATAGGCTCAGGGATATGGCACACTAGGGCAAAGTGAAGGATTACTTGATGGGAATAACCTCAAGATTATTTTTCAGTAATTGCCTCACATTTTGTGGCTGATACAGTGTTATTTATTTTAAATTTTTTTGGTACAAAGATATTTCAGAAGGTGATAAAGCAGACAATGAAAATGAGAATGTTTCAATTCCACTGCTTTTGAGAAATGCTTTGCCTGATGTTGAGGGATTTGATAAGGATGAAAAGCTGGATATTGCAATGAGGCCAGATCAGGTGAGTTAGCCAGGGATGTGACACAGGAAAAAATAACGGATTCCCTTTTTTGGATATTTTAGGGTATTTAAATAGTACCCATAAAAATCCCAAATTTGGCAAAGTGACACAAGTCCCAACCAGGGAATTCCCAACCAAGTTCCCTGATTGGGACTTGTCTCACTCTTCCAAATTTGGGATTTTTGTGGGTATTCTTTAAATTCCCTAAAATATCCAAAAATGGAAATCGGTTATTTTTTCCTATGTGAGTAGTACAGCTGTCGTTTTTATTGTCAAAAGTAACTTGCATCTCTGCCAATGCTTTTGCCAGCTAATTAAAGCAGCTCGATCATGATAAGGTTTTGCACTGTAATGCGCCATAAGGTCACGTGTCTTATGTAAGCTGAAAAATGTCTGAGCTGATGTGAAACATGCTAAAACGTTGTCTGCATTTACATTATTCAACCTTTTCACAACAACGAAGAATAATGCCATGAGTTAATACTTAGAGCTCAATGGAAGACTATCAAGATATGCCTGTGACATCATTTGGTGCAGCCATGTTGCGAGGAATGGGATGGAAAAAAGGAGAAACCATTGGAGGAACCAACAAAGGGTATGACAATAATCTTATTGTTGTAGTGTTTTATTGGAGATGTTGTTGGTTCACTTGACAATTCATTAGTAATTTTACATGAGATAATACCCTCAGTTGCATCTAAGCGTGTACACATGACCAAAAAACATGTTCTAATTGGGTGAAAACGTGACATGTTTTGCCACCAAACTGTGTGAGTCCCTGGAGGAAATGAAACCTCCTCTTTCATAATAAGGTAGGAAGCATACAAAGCATCATCATAAGCTGGGCTAAAATGCAGAGGTTGGGTGGTAAGCAATAATTATTATATTGATTTCACAAAGTACTTGCAGTTGTAACATTTACAGTGTAATGTATCAAGACATTGCAAATGTCTTGGTTTGCTATCAGTATTCTTATTGTGGGAACCAAAGGAATATCATGGCTCATAGTTGCATCGTTGCAACCCTACTCTTTCTCATATGTTAGTTAACTTTCCCAGGTGCTTGAACACCTCAGTCCAAGAGAAGTTCTCTGTTTTCCAATCAGATTGTATTCTTTAGCCTTGCAGAGCCAATAGAGTACATTCCAAGATCCAAGGGATTGGGTTTAGGAGCACAAAGGAGACCGCCTGCAGATGAAAATAGACTTGGAAAGAAACGAAAACCAGGCGACACAGCTTCAAGCAATGTAAGGTCAAGGATTTAAGATTTTTTTTCTTCGTAGCTTATTGACTTCAATATCAGAGGTTTGTCCTCTAGGGAATGACCAAATCTGTTGACACTTTTGAAACATTTTTAAAGATGCATCTGTTTCGTAAAGCTTTTCATTCTTAGTTAGGTTTACTTAATACCTATACACAATTATGTAATTTTTATTTATGTTTAGCAAAACTTTTAAAGACATACCTTTTCGTAAGGCTTTTTATTGTTAGTTAGGTTTTTTGATATTATACACAACACATGATGTAATTCTTATTTATCATGTAGTTATTTTTATTCTATTTATTGTTGTAATGTGCAGTTGATCATCTCGTCATGAAAACTGTACACTGTAAATTCTTAATTCTTCTTCTTCTTCTTCTTCTTCTTATTATTATTATTATTATTTGTTATTAACAATGCTGTTTGTGTTAATATTTTCTGTGCAAAGGGTATGGTTAGTTATTGTGTGAATTAATCTTATTTTGTTTTCTGTTTGCAGATGTCAGGCCCTATCAAGGAAGGAAGTGGTCGGGTTAGACACTATAAAGGTGTAGGAGAGCAAGTCCAACAAGAAACATCATTGGGTAAATCCAGCTAGGTTTAACTTTGTTCTTATTGAAATATTCTCCCATTCTGTCAACAGAGCCAGAAAACAGGAAAAGTTATTTTAGAGAGATCTTTTTGAGTGATAGTGAATTTTATTTTAGATTATAGACCAGGAGTAGGAGTGATTATTGAAAAAGGACCTCACAAGAATATCTGTGGAAAAGTAAGTATCTTCTTCAAGTGCACTCATTGTTGCCAGTCCCATGTTGATAAATTTATTCCATTCCTCATTTTGACTAGTTAGAGCTGTGTTTTTTTTTACAGATAGTGGCTGTAGACATAGATACATCAAGAATTACTGTTCAACTCCATCTTAGTAAAGAGGTTTGAGAGAAGGAATGCATGTTATGATGAAATATTATTGCATTGATTGCTGTAAATGTACCTTGTGTCTACAGTTATTACACACATAATACAATCAAAAGGGTTCAATCCAGTACAAAGTTTTTTAATAATTTATTTACTTTTGGGAATTGTATTGTTAGTAATAAATGGTTAATGAAATAAGGATCTTTGATACATGTCCTGCAATCAACGCAAAAAAAATTGAAAGTTGTCCTAGTTGGAGTGAATCTTATTGTATGCTTCATGTAAAAGAAGTCCTTTTTTGAGAGATATTGGAAAACTAAAAGCGTCTGATACCAAGAATTCCTTGGTATGATACTTTTGTTTGAAATACATGTTCAGTCCACTTTCATCTCTTCTCTGCAGTCCAATAACATTACCCCTTGATGTTTTCTTATTAAATACAGCATTTTTTCCTTACAAGTTTTAAACTTGTTGTTTCCTCTAGAATGTTGCAATACATCAATGTAATGCAAGACTCTTAGATGACTTTGAATACAAGACACTTCTATCAAGAAAAGGTAAAGATTTTATAAAAATGGGAAGAAAAGGACCAGTAAATTCTGAGTGTGGTACACGAAATAACAAGTTGATTGTGTGATGAGTTAATAGAAGCATCAGAGTTGCCAACAGAAATACTAGTCACGCAATGGTTAGTGGATGAGGGTTACGATACATGGCTGGATGTATGTCTTATTTAAGACCAGGGGCAAACGTCGAATCTTAGTCAAACTTGATTTGTTGAACGTATTAATTTTGAAATAGGCACATTAATAAGTGCAACTTTTGCCACAATTAAGTGCGACTCAAATTAATTGGTTGGACTCCAGCGTAAGTTTGACTTGCCAAGTTGGATAATGTGACAGTGGGCTGGGGTTCCAGTAAACGCCATTCTAAACTTGGGCTGAACTCAATTCATAAATCATGCAAATTACAAAAATAATTCAAATGACTCCCCCATCTGCCAAACTCTATTTCCCCCCTGACGAGCATGCGCTATACAAAGACAATTTCGCCTGGGAATGACAAGCTATCGAAAGTCATTGCTGACATTGCACAACATGCTGAAAATGTGTTTTTTATGTTTCATGAACACTAAATATAAGTGCTTGAGATGCGAATTGCCTATTTGCAATAAATGCTCAAATTGCTATTTGCTCTTCCGGGGAGATAAACTCTTCAGTGATGGTGTCTTTTTCATTTGCATTACGAATTAGACCCAGTACAAACATAAATGTAGATCTAGATGGCCTGAAAGTCTCTTTAAACTGTTTCTCGCTGTAAGTGGACCATACGTTGGTAAACCAACCGACATTGCAGGTTGGAAGCGGTGGCAAGACTGACCCAAGACCGCAAGACACAAATGATAGATTCTGAATTGACATTTTTTATCCCAGGACATAGTGCTGTATCCTTCAGGTTCACTTTCATGGTTTTACAGTCGCCTCTTATAAGGATAAACTTTCCTCCCTTTTTTAAATAATAGATCTGTTTTAAAAATGATTTAAGATAATGCAAAGAAGAAGGACAGTAGGACAGGAAAGGAACAAATACGACTGAAAACGGATGGTGAAAATCATACAAAGTAAGCTTTAAACTCTCTTTACTGCGTTGTCATCAATCAGTATTATTTATGCCTAAAAATTTATGTTAGCAATGCCAAAACTGCATTTCAACCTCTGGAAGGCAGTCAGGCATGTCTGTTTGAGAATGAATTTTGTCTTGATGGATGCAAGTTGTCCTTTAGAGAGATTTGATGAACCATTTTTACCCAACTTTTGTTGGTAGAATGGAGAACTATGGGGAGCCCTGCATGACTAACCTTAATCCAATGTACTCACGACACACTGAAGTAGTTCTACTTTTTTACATTAATTTTGAAAGGGTTTTGGAAACTTTGTGGAAATGTTAGAAGCTAAGGATTGGCACATGACTACTTTAAGACTGGCATCTTTCTTTGTAGAGAAGCGCACCATGAGGCAAGCAAATATCCCAAGAAGGATAAGGATAGCTCTATGAGCAAATCTGGGAACTCAAATGACCACCATAGGAAAAAAGTCAAATGCTGGTTATTTCCACAAACAAGGGTGAGGATCATCAGTAAGGATTATGAGAAAGGCAAATATTACAACAAAAAGGTAAAAATGAGTAAAAAATAGAGGATATTACATGGCCGCGCGGAGATACGAAATTTCTCTTCGAGTGTTGAAAAATATTTCACAAGTGAGCGCAGCGAACAAGTGAAATATTTTCAACACGAGAAGAGAAATTTCGTATCTCCAAGTGGCCATGTAATGTTCTATTTATTATATAAACACCAATGAAATACCAAACCATTTCAATGAAACAGTTTTTTCCTGCGAAAGGCGCGATTTATTACGTAGCCATCGCAATGGCGATATTTTCACATGTGAAAATAACATGTTATTTTCACTTGTGAAGATATCATGTTTTCGCGCGAAAGCTCACCTGGTATTTCATTGGTGTTTATATAATAAAAATTAATATTATAATAAATTATACCATTGGTTTGGATTTTCCATTATTATCACTCTGAATATTTTAAAAGAAGTTGGAGTTAAAACCATACAGAAAAAAAATCAAGGATTCCTCCATGTCTTTGCAAAGGTTCAAATAGTTGATGTGGTCAGCACAGAAAGGTGTGTGTGTCAAACTGATGAGGGAAGGTTTCTTGAAGGTAAGAGCAGGATATAAGCATGTAAACTTTTTTGTAACATAGTAAACAAGCAAGATTAAAATAATGAAATAAAAACACAATGTTCAGGGTACAATTTTTGGGGTGGCTGGGTGAGGACTAGGACAAGATATCGCAAAAATGCAATAATGAACCTAAAATGACAGTGCACATTAAAGAAGCTCTTTTGGTTTGTCTCGTTGCTAAAGTAACTGGCATATTGTGACAGCCATTGAGCAAGAAACAACAGTAAGAGCGTAGTTAGCAACTGGAATTTTTTTTGGTATTCATGCGTTGGTCATTGCAATAAAGACCCAGAAACCCCCAAACGAGTTGTGTATTTATACAATTGACAAAATGTGATTACACAGTTTAACATGCAATATACATGACAATGCTTTCATGGCAGCATCACATAAAAGTAAAACCCAATTAAGCTATTCCACCTCTCTTTATTTTTGAAAAAATCTGTTGATTTGTCTGTAGTTTCTTCGGTTTTGACTCTTTGTTTTGCTGTCTTTGTTTAGACATACCACAATCAGCATTGGAGACAGTTGTACCCAAAACACTGGATTCCTATGTCAGAGTAGTCAAGGGTGATCACAAAGGACAGGTTAGCAACTTCTGTTTTACTTTCTGAAGCTAAAGATGCTAACAGTAAGAGTAAAATAATTATGAGAAATACCAGGCTCCTGATGTGCACACTTATGCAGCTACTTGTGATGCTAAACATTTTGTCTGAAATCAGACTTTAGGGAAAAATAATTTATTTTGGGATGCAATCTCCGCTATTTCCAAATTTCTTCCAAAGAATACTGTCACAATAGTAATAAAAATATTAATTGCACTGAAGTACTTCTGAAGTGGGTCATCATCATCATTATTATTATTATTATTAGCTTGACATACAGACCTGTTCATTTCATTGGCAGCTAGCAGTGTTACTTAAGAGAGACACATCCGAGTTCAGTGCTGTAATACAACTTACGCTGGATAAGAACGTTGTTACTGTGGACTATGATGACATATGTGAGCATATTGGGGATGCAAATGAATACTGAAGTTTCAGCTGTTGTCTTGTACCACTGACAGGAGCGAGACAACTGATCAAAGCATATGCAGACAAGATTGTCAAAGAAGATCCTGTCCTGTGTCTCTCTTAAACTTAAGCTATCAAATGTACTTTCTAGCCTGTGAGCAATTAAGCTGTCTGGTGTCAGAACTCCGGCGATGGGATGTGCAAACTTTGCAAACCCTATTCTGCTGGTCAGTTTCAATATCATTATTTTATTACGTGTAATGCTACAATCAAGTGGGACAATGACAGCTGAAAGTGAGAAGATGTATTAAAATTTAGCACCAGGATGTTGTCTGAAAGAAAACATTATGTAGAAAGAGAGTGACTGTCCTCAGAACCTCTTGAGGGTGGGGAGTCATGGAAAAGATCCCCTTCACTGGAGAGAAAAGGATGTTTCTAGATCTACTCATTAAGACTCTAAGTCTTTCCCATACCGGGATTATATGAAGATGAAGGGGTCAGTAATCCATCACCCATAACAAGATAGTGCATGAAAGGAAAAAATCTCCTGTATGTTACCCATGGGCACCATTGTTTTCCTTTTGAACGTAGAAACGCAGCTATTTTTACCCAACGTCACTTATTTTTAAATGTAGAATAATGAATAATGATAAATAAACTTGTTATTGCTCTTTGGGGGTGGGGGAGGGGAAGTGCTTGTTTGTGTAGTACAAGTGGTATGACAGGCAAAGCTCCAGTAATATAAAGGGTCTACTACCAGCCATTTTGTTTGCCATAAAATATCGAATATGCGAGCGTGTGGTTGTTAGCAGTCCCTTACTGAGACTGGAATGTGGACTGTTGTGCTTAAGTTAGACGTTCTAAAAGTCTTTTTTAGCTGGTTGCTCGGTCAAGATGGAAAACGCGATTTTTTCGCGTTTCTTGCTTGTTCACGCGGCTCAAAGAAGTAGACTTGGGGGCGTGTGTATGCCTCAGTCACATTCAGCCGCTGTGAAGCTTTGGATCAAGTTATTTATTTGGATAGCTGAACTGAAAATAAAAAGCATCGTGCTCCCCGGACCAGTAAAATAGACTTTACACGAACCTGTTTAAAACCTCGCTACCCACTTTCTATTAGGATGGGCTCATCGTCAATCCTCAACTCCACGGCTCAAAACATGACACTCAACATACGATACGAAGTACTCGATTATCTTCTTCCCTTATGTGATTTTTCAAGAATAATTAAATAAATAACTGAAACGGAACATAACAAGCTATTTCCCATGTTATAATGGTGTTAAAAAAGGTACAATTGATAAAAAGTTATGCACAACGACAATAATAACTCGCGCACAAAACAAATTCCAATCCCACCCTTTCAGCTTTCAAGAACAAGTGGTCCGCCCACAGTTTCAAAAGCCTAATTTATTAGCAATTTCTGAGTTGCCTCTATTTACTCCTGACCGCAACGCGTGACGAACCCCTAAAAACGTCTGCGTGGGAGGCTACTCTTGGCCTCCTTGTTTGGTCTTTACCTTGGGTTGTGACTTTAGCGGGGATTTGCGTCGAAAAATAGAGTGAAACCCCTAAAACGAGATCAACCTGCGATCAACCTAACCCTAACCCTAAACCTAAAACCTGGCGAAATTTAAGCACAGGTACGCCCCCCTCCCCCCAATTTTTTAGGACAATCCTTTGCTTTGTATCTTTAGTTTACAATTGATATTTTTTTCAGAACAGCCGTTTTACGGAAATTATTCGACATTAGATTCTCATACAAACACGGTAATTTTTCACGCGTTACGTGCAAACAAAGAATACGAGAAAAATAAGACGCGAACTTTCCGTATAAACGGCACATTTCGTCTAAAATAAGACGCGACTTAGCGAAGACGCGTCTTATTTTATAACGGCCCTTAACATCTGTTCTTAGATACGACGCGTCTCGGCTAAGACTAGAAAACTCCGTATAAAATGACCTTCGCGTCTTACTTAAGACGCGAACGCATAGTACGCATGCTTTAATTTTTGGCGGGAAAATTATCGCTTGCCCAGCGGCGGACTGGCGCAGGCTACTGGCGGCGAAAAGTTGTTTACAAATACAACGCGTTTTCGTTGTCTTGTCTATTTTGCTTTATTTTTTTCTTCGCTCAATTACAAAGAGCTCGCCGTTAAAGGCAAAATGAAACACTTGGTCCATCGCGGAGGAAAAGTATTTCTTGTTATTATGTAAGGAGAAGGCGATAGCAGACCTCCTGGACAAGTGCGTGACATCTGCTGGTGTGAGTAGATCCTTTTAACTTTAAACTATCACAATTTATATTAATTAATCAAATTGCTATCTTCGTATTATAAACTTACACTTAAAAAGTAAGTTCAGGTCATTCACACGAAAACGAGTCAAGGACAGAAATAAGACGCGAACCACTTATACGAGCTGTTTTCGTCTTAGATAAGACTTGCTCGTATAAATGGTCCAGTTCGCGTCTTATGTAACACGCGTCTTATTTTTCCTCTCGGTGGCGAGAAGATATGAATTTTATGTTCAAGTGGCAAGAACAATATCTCACGAGTGAGCGCAGCGAACGAGTGAGATATTGCTCTTGCCACGAGAACATAAACTTCATATCTTCGAGCTAACGTGTAATATTCTTTTGATTATATAAACATACTGATGACGGCGTTTTTGATGATTTTCCGAAGATTTCCGACCACCTTCCGAAGATTTTTCAAATTGTCCCGAAGACCAGACGAACGTTCCCGAACATTTTCCGAAGATTGCCGAGCACTTTCGAGGAAGACCCGAAGATGTTTCGATGATACACCAACGAATTTAAGTACAATTTAAGAGACAAACCTGATGTCAGTGAAATTATCGATATCTTCACATGTAAAAATATCGTATTTTTACGTGTGTTCAGATACCACATTTCTCGGTGGTAGAAATCCTTGTAAAACACTGCAGTTTATATAATAAATGGCGCTATTAGCTTTCGTCCCGAAAACCGTGAATGAGATCAAAATCCGAAATTTACACGTTCTGCGCGCGACGCGTCTCCGGAATTTTCCGGAACTTAAATAACTTTATTAAAAGCAATGAAATACATTAAAGGTCAAATGAACCAAAAAATTGAAATATTTTCTTTTGTCACTTTACCTTCACCAAACACTAAAAGAAACATCCTAAGTGAGATTTGGGTAAAAATTTTTCTTCCCAAGCCTTTATAGAAAGATAAAAGATCAAAATCCGAGCATTTCCGAAGACTTCATAGTATGTTTATTTGGTTCATATTAAACACATTTCACTAGAATTGAACTAAAATAAAAATACAAAAATTCGACATTTTTAAAATGTCGAATTTTTGGTTCATTTGACCTTTAAAGATACACAACACCTACATTTAGTTAAAGCCATTGGAAGCAGGCAGTGTGGGTTCTCTACATAAGTGAACTGATACATTCTAAGACATTTTACAAGCAAAACAAAAGAGATTTACATCATGAAGGAAAAAGAGGTTAACAAAAATAGTAATACGAATGAATAAATATGTAAATAAAGGTTACAATACAATATATATGACTGGGGAGTCTAGCAACTTAGACTTCGATACCTTTGACATAGTTGCTTGAAAAATGGTGAGTAGTCTGGTCTCTCACCCTCCATTCAGACTTAGCGCCCAGTACCAAACGGTCCAAACCCCGGTTAACTCAAGGTTAACTCTAAGGTTAGCTCCTGAGAACGGAGATTAATTTGGTCGAGAGGGACTAGGAAGCACTGCAAATTGCGTGCAGGGTCGAGGAGGGCCCGGGTCAGCTGTCAATATCAGGTTTGGCAACGGGCGACTCAACGACAGCTATTTACTGCGCTCCTCAAAAACACGCGAATTCTGAGGTTCAAAACCCAACTGACGTTTGAGTTTTTCGCTGCTGTCAATCATCTTAGCGGACCTCTCAGGAAACAGAACTTTAGTTTAACGGGTTCAAAAGGTCATGGCTTGTGATTGGTGGATTTCGATCCCTTTTTTGCTTTTCAAGGTTTGTTACTTGTGATCGTTAAAATATGATTGAAGGCGGTGAAAAACTCAATTTTTAAGGCGGCTCTTTGAACTTTGCAGTTCGCGTAGTTTTGAAAAGTGCATTAAAAGGGGCATTTGGTTAAGGAGGGCAACAGAGAAAGGCCCGGGTCAGCTGTCACTTTCAGCATTGGCCTCATGGGGCTAGGACCCACTGCGAAAGTTGCAGCGGAGAACCTACAATTGTAGGTTGCCCGTCAGTCGCGGGAGACTGGAACTAGACTGAAAGAGGGATTTGGCCGATAGGAGATGGGACAATTTCCTCTGCCTTTCCTGGGTCACTTGTCATCACTGTCAGTTACTATGCACTAAGTGGCCGAGAGAGAGAGTCTTAATTTATGGAGCACTTGCCTCTCACTAAATGTTGCCCTGGTTAAAGTTCCATTCCATTTGATCTGGAAAGTGTTTCCTGTTGGTTGGTGCCCCTGTACTACCATGAAGGTTTATTATTTATTATACTTGTCACGTGTCAGCCTTCTTTTTGGTTTGTTTTGAGTCTAGTCAGCGACATAAGAACTCGTACTACTTTTTTGCCTCCTATATTTCAGGCCGCCATTCAAAAATATTTGCGTCTACCACCGTAAAATTCGTTTTACCCTCAAAACAGTAACTTTTCGCGATGTTCAATCGTCTCGCTAATAGCCACCCACCACCCACCGCTGCCCATTTTACAGGGTACCCAACCTAGGGTCTCCCCAAGATGATCATTCCCATGTATGAAAGATTAACAACATCGTATTTAAAAATTTATTTTTAATAACATATTTTTGTGTTTTTATTTAATAATATAGGATTTAGCATGTATGTAGTGAATCTGTACCTTGTTTTATTTTGTTAATCACCTAATTAGATATAGCAATAAATACATTTTCGTTGTGCAGGGTCAGAAAATTGACCAAAAACGAAGGTGGGGAAGCGAACCGGTATGACTCAATGCCAAACTTGTCACTACCTTCAGACATTATTGGATGTTGTAAGTCTTAACAATAGGGATTTTTTTGGGACAATCACAATACACTCTCAGTGTTGAATTTTCTTTCCACAATACAGAGTAGAGTAGACAGTGGAACCACACTAAATGGCCATAGAGCACTCGCCTCTTACAGTATAAAGGACGCTCCGTGAATATATCATCTACTTTAAGAAAATAACTTATGGTTACTTTAAGGTGCTGTATTCGTGCCCAGCCTGGAGATGGGACATAGGATATCCCTGAACTCATACATTGTGGATTGGTACTGAATGAGATCATTTGGTGCCTCCTGTAATCAATGAGTTTCACAGTATTTAGGGTGTAAATATATGCAGAATGACTGAGAACTTCGACCTATTTACATATTTAACAAATAACTATTTATAATATATTACTAAATCCTCTTTCAAATGGCCTGTCAAAACTAACAAACTCTCGCAAATTGACATCTAATGCTTAAGTTTTAAAAAAACATGACTTGAACAGGAGCACAATAGTTTTAGAGCCGCCATCTCTTCTCGGGCTTAAATGAAAAGTTGAACCCTCTTTAAGCACTTTCCGCGGTTCTTATTGACCGACAGAAACTTGCAAGTTAGCCCGGCACTCATTTTTAACGTTTTGACCAAGGGATTTCAGAGAAGTTATGCAATTATTGCGAGATTTGACCATGATTGAAGGCTGGCCGCGCTAGCAATAAGCGTAGTGCCGTAGGACAGCAAAGACACTTGCAGAGATCTGAAATCACACTCGGTATTTTTCTCGTGTGGTGCGCGATTTTCATGAGCTGGTGAAAACCAGCCTTCAAATATCCTTCTTTACACGAAGTGTTAGAGGGAGCAGGTGGAGATTTAACATGCATAAAAGACGCGTGACGCTATGTTTCCACTGAAGAGGAGTCTACTACTCCATTTGTGACGCAAGAAGTGTCCGAGTTCGTTAAGGGATAAACTGTCACACACATGTCGTCCCTATTGACCGCCTCCGGCGAAATTTCGTTTGTTAATAACGGTCTCTTTGATAAACAAGACTGTTCGTCACAATGAGTGTTATCAGTAATATCAAGTTTGATTTCACAAACACCTCCGCCTGGATCTTCGCCATGCGAACTGTGTCTCCTACACGTGACAGAAGGTTTTTGTTTTTCTGAGTCACTATCTGACACGTGAATCTCCGCTGAGGTTACAACTTGCTGGTAACTTGGATGGCAAGCATCGGAAGTACATGAAGATGTCAAAGAACTATGACTCCCTTTCAGTGAGTTCTCTGAAGAAACGTTATCAGCTGTCGTGGACTTCTCTTCTGTGCCTGACGCCGCGTTTTCTGTGCTAGAGCCAAGAGTGCGGACTATACAAGGCCCTTGGGCTGATTCCGAAGACGTCAGAAAGGTAGCAGTGGAGCGCGGTGATTCACGGCTAGTTTGAGTACTACTTGAGCTTGATACCTTTAAAGGAATGTAACTTATGTCTTCGTGTTGAAACGCTTTAGATTCGTCTGTACAATCAGCGTCAAATGGTGAAGGAAACTGACTCCGCCTCTTGGGTGCCCTCTTTTTACCACACGAGAGGGTATTGTATTGAATGAACAACCACACCAATGACGTCACCACAATACAAGACACTACCACCACAACTATGATCCCTAAAAATGTCTTTTTATCGTATTTCACGTACTTCGACTTGTTCACTTTTTCAGATACTGAAACACCGGTACATTCTTCTGCAAGAAAACAGCAAAAAATACAATCAAACAGTGAGTATAAAATGAGGACGATAATCCCCTCCAGCAATGAAAGTACGCTTCCAATAAAGGAAAAAGTAATAATAGTAAGCAGGTGTAGCTGTGTGGCCGGTAGTATTTACTCTGTGTTTTTCCTTAAGTGACTGGTTTTGACTGTTTGATTCACTGTAGGGAGCTGCACAGCGAAAAATGGCCGGGAAAGACAAACGAAGGCTCTTCAAGTGCGTTTTACATCTCGATCCATTTCTCTGCCGTTTAAGTAAGTTTGTTGGACAGTTAACAGGATCTTATGAGTTTGCATTTAATAAAAGAGAACGCAAACGTGACCGCAATAAGCCTGCTTCTCAATTTGTACCGGCTAACGATTTTTGAGCAGCATACCTGTTATTATAGTCAGCTGAACAGTATGACTATCCCTTCCCTGGGAATTTGTAGCAACACAAGTGTAACTGCCCTCATCATTCTCTGTCGACTGACGTATTACAAGCAGCTGTCCCGACTCTGCACTGATAATATTACTGCCTGTCATTAATCTTGTATCATCTTTAAACCACGAGATAACTGGCTTTGGAGCACCACTGGCATAACATTCAAAGACAGCACTGTCACCCACTGCCGCTGTTATCTCGCTTCTCGTTCTTCGATACAAATGAGGTTTATCTGCAGAGAAAGAAAAGCCCGGCTATTAAAACAACACTTAAAGGACCTGTGTCACGAAATTCAGCCAAATTAGGAAATTACAAAATGCCCGTTAAATTAAGAGAAACATAAAAATAATCGCTTAAAACTTTAAAGGAAGGTTAAAATAACATAACAGAAACAACAGATGCCACGGATGGGCAAAACTGAAGAAGATTGAAACGGACTGAAATTAGGGTTTTTGAAAACTGTTCAGCCTAACAGTTTTTCATAGTTAATCCCTGCTGCTTGCAGCCTCAAAAATAATGATGAGGAGACATATTTGTTTGTCACGGATCTCTGATTTTGTCATTTACATGTAATTTCTTTGCTTACTTTAAGTTCTATAGCGATTGAGGGCGAGTAATTGGCAAAATTAAACAAAATGAACTGGACTGCCGTGACACAGCCCCTTTAAAACTTATTTCTCAGCTCAATGTATCTTAGGTTACCTTACCTAGCACAGTAACAAATGCAGAGGCATTCACTGAACCAGCCTCGTTAGAGGCAATGCAAGTATATTTTCCACTGTCACTGGCTGTAGCGTTCTGGATAACAATAACTTTGTCAGCTTGTACAAGTCCTATCCTTCTATCCATGCCCATTCGTTCTAAGCCCTGCCATTTTATCTGTGGTTCTGGGTGTCCCTGTGCTCTACACTGAAGTCGAAAGTCCTGGCCAACCTCAACTGTTACATCGGACGGTTTCACTGTCAGTTTGGGGAACACTGGCAATAAAAATAAATAAATATATATATATAAACATGTGCATGTTAGTTAAGTGATAAAAAATACACAAAAATACGTACATTTACACAAAAGCATTATGATGGCTTTCTTTTCTCTTAATTCTACCTATGGACAGCCTTCACAAACTGTCTCGTCCCCAGGTGTCCATTGCACGGACAACAGGCAGCGCAGGGCGTTATGGGAAGGAGACCGTCCTTCCCAGGGCACAACACGTGCCGCGTTAGAGTAAAGAGGGAGGGACGCTTCAGCTCTACACGTCTAAGCAAAACGTGTTGCAACATAAAGATAATAAGCAAGACACGTTATATCAGTAATAGACCGTCTGCATACTGTGTGATGGATTTCAAACTACCTACCACTCAAGAGTTTTCCGTTTCTGTTTATAATTCTCATATAACCATGAACAGACTAACCTAGCACTGTGATCCGCGCCATCTTGGAGGGGACAGAGTTAAACTGATGCGAGGCCTTACACTGGTAATACCCATCGTCTTTTTCCGTCACGGCCACCAGACGCAGCTCGCTAGAATAAGTCGCCAAGCTGCCATCCTTGGACTGCTCAGAAAGAACAAAACGAAAAGGTGCGATATAGTTAAGTTATAGTGGGATAAGCCAGCCGGCACAGTGGCTTAGTAGTTACGTAATCAGTACACGTGTTGTAGAATAGCGAAGCTGTCAAGTCACGTGATATCTCTAGGTAAGTGCTGTCGAGCATTGGTTTTTGGTATCCTGTTGCTTCTCTGGACGATAAACGTAATCCTCCCATCAACTATCACCCCATGACGAAGGACAACAACATGTTTTCCATTGGTTAGGTTATGTTATTGTGGTGGTAGCCAGTCACAGTAAGTCAACTTTACCTGGACGCGGTTTGTGACTTTGACTCCACTGAGCGGTTTGTTGTCTTTAGTCCACACTATGACTGTACGGTTTTTGTGTGTAACAACGCACCGCAAGGTCACGTTCTTACCCAACAGAACTTTTTGATCTTCGGGATGTTGTATTATCGCCGGTTGGGAGTCATTTATATCTATGAAAGATAAAGCGAGTAAGTCAAAGTCGAGATCTAACTTTATCAAGTGGTTTTCCCTTCACCTAGAGCGGTCACCTTACTATGGAAGTCTTACTTTACCGGACCGATCGAGGCCGGGGTAGGGGCCTGACAAAGAACAAACCCTCCTTTTGCAGGCTTAGAAGCAAAGTGACAAACCCTTTTTCTCAACTGAGAAACCTTGCATAACAGCCAGGAAAAGCGATCGCACCTTATATTAGATGGACAAGCAATAGAAACGCTCGACAGCTGACTAAACCACTGGTGACTTCCGGGAAATAACTTTAAGGAGAAAAGTGCGATGAAGAAAGAGATGCTTGTTGGATTCATGGGATCACATGAAAAAACGCGGCGGAACGTGAGAGTTGAAGCGGGGGTTGGTAAGGCCTTATGTGCGGCCGAATAGGAAGTAAAGGAGATGTTACACGAGACGACTCGCAACGACGCAACACAGTGTAGCAATGTTGGAACAATGTTGCAACCATTCGAAACAATGTCGCAACAATGTTGTAATGCTGCGTTGCGCTAAAAATCGTCGCTGCAAATCGTCCCGCGTAACATCACCTTAACAAGATAAAGAGGAAGTAATCTTATTACGAAGTTAAATTAACCTGAACAGCAGAACTGGTAATATTTCTTACCACAGATAAAGTCTGAAGACGTAAGGTTAAAAATGCTTCTTCTCTCTAGATGTGTTGGATGTAAACACACAGCATGGACGTAATCTTTGAATTCCTGACCAACAAGCCATGCAGGAAGCCAACTGAGTTTACAGTTACATACAAGTTGAGTTGTGTTAAGATAACTGAAAAAAGGAATGACAAAATCACGATAAATCACCTCTAAAAAGAGTGTGTGAAAAACAAACTTCACTGCCAGCAACATTTCCAGCTTGTCTAACATGATAAAGATCTTAAGCATTCTTAGTTTTCTTAAAATATCAAAAAAGCGCCACTACTCATGATGTAACAGGTCAAAATCCTACTTACAGATATTTAAGTTCGGTCATCGTCATGAACGCATTCTCTTCAATAGATGTGATTATATTTGCAGACAGGTTTCTATCAAAGCAACAAAGCAATTTTTTTAGAATTTAACATGCGACGTATTTGCGTGTTGACGATAATTCTTACCCTACCTGAGAGGATGGAGGATTATACTTTACATAAACCTTTTACTACAATAAATACTGTAAAGAAACTTTTGTCTACCCAGAGTATGGTCATTTCAATTGGCGAGGAAATATAACTTTTACTTGAGAAAGCCGGTAGAAATTTCATTTCCATTAATTGTACACAAAAAGAGTGACAAGTGAACGTATATTATAAGCAGGAACATTCAAAACTTCAGTGAACTCAGATTGCTTGTTTGATTCTGTTTTCAACACATTTTTCATTTTCTTCAAATTCTTTAAACTGGCTCATACACAACACAGTTAGGATTGGGATCACCTTTCCGTAGAAGGACGTTTGCTACTTAACGGACTGCTCGTTTAAGTAAAAAAATCTTCTAGTATTCCTTGCTTTTAGCTATCAATATACTTACAAACTTGTGACTGCATTAAGACCAGTAAATGCGTTTTTAGCTATCCACGTGATACGATTACCATCTAGTCTCCTAAAGAAAGAAAATATACTGCTTTTAACTTTCAGCCAAAAAAATTCGTCTTTTATTTCCCACACGGTTCGCACTTTTTTGAGTTTTCAAATTCCATGACTTTTTCCATGAACTTTTCAAGTTTTCGTCGACCTCAAATTTCGCTGTCACCTAAGAAAGTTTCAAAACTATCCTTGTCTTCCGGTATTTTTTCCCCTAACTCGGTTCAACAGACACAAACTCTGATGTCCACCAACACGCGTGCCGTTCGATCGTGCTGTTTAATTACTTGTCTCTATTGTACTTTGTCCTCGCATTGACATCTGCACTTACTTATCTACCAAACATAAGTTCAATTTTTCATAACTTTCCATTACCAGCAATTAAATGTCATTCCGCCTCCCCACCCAGGTTAACCTGGATGTGTAAAAATGACGTTACTCCATCTAATACTTACAGCATAATTAATTTGGCTAGTCCAGAGAACACGCCATTTGTTCCCTCCAATGTTGATGAAAGCGCATTATTACTCAGGTCTCTGACAATAAAAAAACAACGCCGCACATGTTAAGGTTATTCCATTGGAAGGGATCTTAAAAGTTGCCGTTAAATGCTAAACCAACTGATCCCTACACTTAACGCAAATTTTCAAGCCGTGGTGTTTGGACAAAAAGAACCAAAACTTTCCACAGCTTTAATTGTAACTCGCGAACTAACCTGATTTTGTGTACAGTTAAAAAAATAACAACCTCTTGTTCTCGTGCACGCGCACAAAGCGAGCGAGAACAGAGAAAGTTTTCAATTTTATTTTTCTTCCCGCTGTTGGACGTGCGCCACCCTTTTCTTCCATTGTTCACTCATTTGTTTTTCGCTTTTCGCTGGGCTTTAAATAGACGAGATTTCATTCAAAATAGTCAGTCATTGAATTTCCGTCTTTAGCCCAATTGACAGAATCGCACTCATTTGGGACCTTGCAAAACAAAACAAACAAGTTCCCGGTCTATTTCCTTCGTAAATGACGTCATCCTCAGGAGAAATGACACAGTGTCACACAGGTGACAAGAGAACGATTCTGGAAACGAGGTTACTTCCAACGTCAGCAGTGATTTAGTTTTTAAGAAAGCTGCGGTATGAAGCTACGCCCAGATAGACCAATTAATTTACTGATTCTCGAGCAGCTGGTAAACTGCATGTTCTTTGCGTTGGGTTGAATTTCAAGTGCGGTCCGGTTAGACTAAAGGTGTTACAATTAGGATAAGAGATAAGCTACAGGATACACACCTACAATTATTCACCGTTATCTGCCTCAACGAACAAGGACAATATATATCGCAAAACAAAAATATCACAACTCACAGCATCTCAAGTGAATTCAAGTCAGAAAATGCTCCCTCTGCCATATGATAAATACTGTTGCTGCCAAGGTAACTGCAAACACAATACAAGATAAATGAGTGTACACAGTAAATGAATCTTGAATATAAGACGGGGCTGTTTTTTGTGCGTGTCAAAAATACTTATTTATGTGGAATGTTTTTACGCAGTTGAGAAATATTTGGGAAATTTGGAGAGATTCGAGACATTCAAAGGGACGGATATCTGATGGGGAATTTCTGTCACAAGTAACAAAACTTAACGAAAGACTTGGTGATGGCATAAATAAAGTATTTAACGTTTATCATTCAGATAGTACTCACAGCCTCTGCAAGTTTGACAGATGCGCGAATGTGGTTGAATCAATGAGAGAAAGCTCATTCTTGGCCAGATTACTGTAACAAAGGATAAAAAAACGACAAATAAGAAGGTGAAGCTTTGGAAAAGTGCTAAGTACTTTTAAACATGTACAATGCAACTACGGACTTAACTAATGCGAATACATTTACGTCACACATGAAATTCTGAGCATAATAACATGGTGATTGAATTAACAAAGTTTTTGGGAAAGAAAATAACTAAGGGCTACTGAGTTTAGGCGAAAGTACAATAAGCCTTCTTATTGTCCTATTAACGAAGTGGTTGTATTCAGGGTAGTACTTAAACCTGTGTTCTTAAAAAGGAAAAGTAATTATCAAGCGTTTTTAATAAGCACGTGGGCTTACACACTTGAGTAACTGAAATTTCTATTAGTGGCTTTTGCAACATTGTTGTTGCCTCCTGGTTATTATTCCACAAAAAAGATGAATTGGGATTAAAAACTTGACTGTAATATTAATTGAGATTAAAAAAGAAATCCGGAACAAATTCCTTACAGGTCCACAAGCCTTAGAACAAGTCTCCAGTCCAAAGCTGCTTGGTGGATGATAATCTTATTGATACGATTGTTGTTTAGAGATCTGAAACATATAACAAGTGATTGAATAATAAAAAAAAATTATACAAATATAATAAGCAAGCAAGCATTTATCAAATCCAACATCAGCTGAGCATACTTACAGCTTTTGAAGATTTGAAACTCCAAAGAACCATGATGTTGAGACAGATGTTAAATTGTTGTTGTCCAGATAGCTAAGAGAATATGAATTTAGAAAATCACAGCAAGTTAGCACTAGCTAAACAAACAACAATTTAAAAGATGAAGTCTGTGAGCACTCTCCCCTGAGTTTATGGAGCTAATGCTTGCAGGCTACAAGAGGTGAGAATCTCCCCTCACTCAGTTGAGAGGAAAACAGGTTGAAACAGTTAACATTGGGTTAGTTTATTAAAAGCTATAAGGTACTAATGATCGTTTCTGTATGTCAGAAAGTAGAACTTCGAAAACCATACAACAATAAAAATATATATTTGCAAAATCCAACTAGTGGTCTATGGTCTATTATCAATGCTGCGTTCTGATTGGTTGAGCTACTACTAGGCTATATGTTATAGCCCACTAGTAGCGAAAAGTGCCGGCTTTGAAAACCAAAACAATGGCCGCTAAAACACGTTTTGCTAGCTCAAGTTGTTTTGTCGCGATATTTATGACCAACTAGTTGGATTTTACTAAAACAATTATTACTCTCGCCCTCATGGCCCCTGAGTCAATAGCCCATGAGGCCGAATTGACTCAGAGCCCATTTGGGCTCGAGGAATATTTTTGTTAAATAATTACTCTAGGATTCAACAATAGAACTGAAGAAATAACAAATGCAAACAAACAAGTATGGGATGTACACTGAAAAGGGAGACCGGGTGTTTTCTTTTACTTTTGAAAAGTGAGCAATGCAGTTAACTTTGCATGACAATAATGGCCATATAAAGGCATTGACGCTACAATGGGCTCAATACTCAAACCTTCTCCTGAAATGTAAATCAGTGCTCCAAGCTCAATTTTTTTCAAAGTCGCCTTGTGGCCACTTAAAGTTTTAAAATGGCTGCCAGACATAAAATATTGATCGCCATTAAAAATAAAAAATGATGCTTGGTAAAATTTTACACGAAAGGTTATACCGCTGACTACATTAATTACTGGTACTTCATTTTTGTGTGTTTTGCATAAAGCTTTTCCACGTACATGACCGCCAACCACAGGTTGCTAAATTGACGTCTTTTGCTGCAAGTATAGTCGCCAATATATTTTTTTACTCGCCATGGTGACCAAACTGGTCGCAGCTTGGAGCACTGTAAATGAGTTGTTCTTTAACTATTGTATGCTGTTATGCCTCACTTCCATGTGGCTACAGTCTACTGTACAGTTATCGTTAACATTCTTTTTGGAGATAATTACTTTTCCAGCTTTACTCACAGTTCTCGAAGATTGCCCATTCCCCAGAAGGCATGCTGATTGACTGTTCTGATTTTATTCTTTGAAAGCTTTCTGTAACAAGAATGTACATCCACCTACTGAGTTTACAGTTGTAAGTTGTGGAACATGGGTTGTTCACTATAACAAGCATACTCATCCTTGAAAAAAGATGCCTCTAAACTCTTCAACTGACACACAGCTTCTATGTCCAAGGTATGTAACATTAACTTTACATTAAGGCACTATTTTGATTCTAAGAACAGTGGGTGAACTGAAAGAAAAAATTTCCAAATCCTCCAAATTTGCAATCAGTTTTTTTCTACCTCAAGAAAAAAAAACCCTTTTGGAACTATGACTTGAAAAGGTATACAAGTCATTCCATCATCAAAATGATTGGTTTTTTCTGAAAATTCAGATAATTCTGTAGCCAAATCCTTTGTCCTTTGACTATTACTAAGCAACTGCATGATTAAGCTACAAGTAACACTTAAAGCTGCAACCCTGCGTTTCTTGCAATAAATCATGAGGCCGACTTGTTAATAACACAGAGAGCTAATTCTCAAAACAAAGTATTACACTTTTAAAAGTTTCATGTTCGTGTATCGAAACTATTGATGACAATAAATAAATTGGCTCAGGAGAGAAAAAATAAAACAAAATGGCATCAGCAATAATAAAATATCAACTTACAGTATTAAAACAGACTTTAGATTCTTCAGAGGAGGTTGGGAGCTGATGACCCTGATTAAATTTTTTGTTAGATCCCTGTGTAAACAAAACAATCACCTGTCACATGCTTTATTCTAAGAGCAAATGTATGGATGAGATAGGGGCATAAAATAAACCATAACTGGCTTAAATAAGTCTCTTTCAAAGCTACTTACAGTTTTTTTAAGAAGGTCAAATGGCTTAATGCATCAACAGGAACAGATGTTAGCCGGTTCCTACTCAGCTTCCTGACACAAAACAAACAGGAAACACATTGCTCGAAAAATCTACTACAATTAAACTAAGGGATATTACACTGTATTTCTTCAGTAAACATGCAGTGGGCAGAGTTTTCTGTTCCCAAAAATTTGTTTCAGCATCCTTCCTTCCTGGCGATAAGTCAATATTTGCATAAGACAGAGAACATGAAAAGTTTTGGTAACTTCCAAGAAGCTGTAATATTGGGCTAGTTTGACCATAGGGCAGAACACTTAAAAAACTGACTGCAGTTTGAACTATAGACATTCTATTGGTAATTAAACAACATTTATTCATTCTATGAATTACACTATGAATACCCGCACTAGCTACAATTTCAGGCAGTTCTAGTAACAAAGTAACTTACAAAGTATGGATTGAAGTAAGACCAGCAAAAGCATTTTCTCCAATGCTTGAAATGCGATTGCTGTTTAAAAGCCTGAAAGTTGAGGAAAATAAAATATGATAAGTGTACTCATTCAAGGGAGCAATAAAACCATGTGCATGTTTCACAAGATTAGAATACTTACAGGTACTGAAGTGACATTGGTTTTGTGACATTTGCCGAGGGGATGGAAGTGATTTTATTGTGATGCCTGCAAAAACAGTGAAAAAAATTGCATAAGTTTGGGCACACATTCTTTTTAAGGGAGGAGCCCATAATCTGGAGCATGCAACTCCCATACTTGGCTTTTTCACAAATCAGTTTATTTTAAGCATCATTTTGGAGCAATTTTCCAGTGAAAAAGGAAGCAATGCTCTTTATTTATGCACATCTCTAGTATGATATATGGGAAAAAGAAAGAAAGCAAATGTCATTAAAACATGAGAGATATTATTTCCCGGTCCCACGATTCATGACTGACTGATTTGTAAGTCTTATTTTGATAGTCAAAATGTGGTAAAATTGATCTAAAATATACTGGTCTGTGAAATGTCATTGCTGGAGCACAAGTGAGTTACTTGTCCCAGGTTAGGGGCTTCTGAATTGTGTTGAGCTTCTAAGTATTTTTTACCCAGTTCCTCTCTTTCTTGATTTATGTGAAAGACAAACCAGACAAACCTGCATGTATTAGGCTAGCTAAATAATGATAGTAGGAAAACAGTAATTCATGTAGAAAAGTTTCACAAGGTTTGCTTCCACAGTTAAAAAAATTAGAAATATTAATGGGTATTTAATTGCACAAATTACTTTGCTTAAAGGTAGATACCTACAAAAAATAGAAACAACAACAACAACAACAACACTATTTGTTCTGAAAAAAGCTAAATACTTCATGAAGGTTTTAAAATATGAAAACACAAATTGAAAGACTGATTAATGGCAATTAATGGAAATTAACTATGACACACAACATGCTGCTGGAAGAAACTCCTACCATGAATTTGTGAAAATGAATGTATGAATAAATTTTAGTATGTCAACTGCAAATGAAATGAAGCAAATATGTGATTTCTCACTTACTTTTTCAGTATGTAACAGAGTTAAAGCTAATATTACTTACAAAGACAACCGAGTCAGTGACGAGGAAAGAGACTGCCAAGGGGGTACTGCCACAAGCTGATTTTCATGTAGTAGACTGAAAGACATAAAAAATTATAGCAGTCAGGCAAACTGAGTTACAAATCTGTGAAAAAAACATCCTTAAGAATATACTTTACAGGTCTCTTTGTATTTCTTGTGGTTCAAACTTGTCTTTTAGTTCATCACCTGGTTAATATTGGATTGCAGACACTGCAATATAAAAAGGCCTCTAATCCACCAACCTCACATGTATTTTGATAGTCCAAGTCCCACAAAACATTTTCACAGACATCTTGCATTCAGATAGAATGCAACCATGGTTTCAAAGTAATAGTGGGTTTAATGATTCTTGGATTGAAGAAACTCAGTTTCTGTTACTATGGACAGTAGGAATATATCCCCCCAATAATTCACCAAGAAGGTTGTAAATAGTACGCAGGGGACTTATTAAAAGATATTTTAGAAGTGAGGGATTTGAGATACAGACCCAGTGATTTTCTTACAAATAGTTATGGTGAGTTCCAGGACTAGGACACGATTCCAAGTCCATAACCAGTGAAAAAGTTTAAAAAAAAGCAGGAGTCATGCTTGGGCCTTTATCTAACCAGACAGTTAATCTGGAGACAGATGCCAAAACTCTTTATTACAGTTAACTGAAATTAAAATACAGTCCTTCTACATATTTAAAGCACAAAAAAGACTAAAATAAATATGCATCTTTAAACAACAGCCACAGAAGTCACACAAACAGGTTATTCTACCAAAAAAACTAGTTCAAATTGATCAATCTTTGCGTCCTGTGGGACACATGCTATGAACTATTTTATGTCTTTGGGGATCTTTATGCATCAGGGACACAGGACGCAGTGGTAACAAAACCACTGGACTATATGCAAGTTTCCAGATAACTGTCGTCTAGTGTACTTACAGTTCTTGGAGATTTGTAAGTCTTGACAGTTTTGCCACATCCAAAGTACTCAATTCATTATTGCTTAGATCTCTGGTGAATGGAAAACAAGAAAAGTTGAAAACACTACTAACATATCCATATCAAACTGTCACTTTTAAGGAATGACTACATTGTAGCCACTGCTAAGGATGAAACATATCAAAACTCTCATCAGATCTAATGTGTTTTATTAACAGTAGAACATGTACAATAACCTCTACTAACAATACATGTGTTATTGATTTTTATTTCCATTCAAAATTGCTTCATAAATATGTGAATTCAAAAATGAAGACTGAATCATTAAAATGAACGTACTTTTATGACCAAAGTAGTAACTCGATAACTGCATTATTGAAATTCTTTTTTATGAATTGACCAGCAAGAGGTGTCAAATGGCAGAGTGCAGGGTTGACAGCACAGGACTCTCCTAGAGTCTCGCTGAGTTTTTCAAATATGTGGCTACTACATGTATGTTACATCATCATTATTTTTATTCCTATTATTATTATTATCATTATTTTCAAACAATTTTTGGCAAAGATTCAGGATTATGAGGGCAGGTGAAATTGAATGAGAGTCTCTGAGAGTACTTAAGAATAATGAGGCCAAAAAAATAGTAAGAGCTTGAACTCTAGCCAATTCTTGGTAAATTAATCTTAGTCTTGTTCAGTGTAACTGAAGTCCAGTTTATACTAAATTTCAACACTACATTCGAAAGAAAATCACGTCAGTAAAACAAGTTTTCATAAGATCTGTTTTTAAAGAAAGAACTGTGTGTTTTTGAAGTCAAAAATTGAGCCAACAGCCTTTGTGTCTTCCCCAACGTGGCATAAATATAATAATAGAAAAACCCAAGGCATTTTTATCTTTAATTAAGTTCACTGATTTAAGGGTTAAATAATAGAGAAAAGCATGCACATACACATTTGTGTGAGTCAGAGCTTTTCTTTTCCAGTATATGTGCACGTTTTGCAGTTGGACTTGCTATACATTAAAATTAATATATTTGAAAATAACAGAGAATTCGATGAATGATATTGTTCTTAGCCACTGTTGAACAATAAAGCCTTAGGAACAGTGTATTTAAAAAAGTGTTTCTCATATTATGAGATCAAGTCCTTCATTTTCATCACATGATTTCTTTCACTTTCTTGAACCTTACTTTCCCCTGTGCAACTTAACATTTACCAAAACTCAAGAACACATTTCCTGTCTGTTTCTCACAAAAGTATTCAAACTTAAAATAAAAAACCAACTAAGTTTCCAAAAAGAAACATTCCTCCAAACTGTTTTCAAAAGAAGAAAAAAAACAAACAATACCACAGTAAAGTATTGGTCATCATGCCAGAAACTTGCATTTGACAGGTTACAGCACCTAATTTGATTGTGCAGAGCCTCAAACTAAGAAGCCTCTTCTACAGCAGCCTAATCATAAGCACAATGCTTAAGTACTGCTTCAAATTAAAATGTGGAGTACATTTCTTTGGCAGCTAAATGGTAAGGGGGTTACATGGATTTAACGCTTGCATTGATTATCTGCTTTGTGTTATTCAACCATTCTATGCTAAGTTATATTAAATGTACAAGTTCTTTTGAAATAATTACATTACAAAAATAATGTAAATATTACAGTGGTAGAGCATGATATTAGACTGGGAATACACCTAACCACCAGAGACACAGAGTATACCATGAGTCCAAAAATTATGGCACCCTGGGCAGTAGGCTTCATTACCAGCTATTTTATTTGTGCACCCTCTCACTGGGAGGAGAATCAATGCACATTAAACTCCCTCAACCCTACCCTGTACCTCTGATCCAACCTGTTAGTTAAAGCTGGTGCTAGTTAAAACTATTTCATCATACACTGTCCATTAAGTATGTTGCATATGTACCAACTATAAATATTGACAAACTGAATATTAGACATTTTCTCTTTAATCTAGAACTGCTTATATGACAAACGTTTAATATTTCCACCAAATCTAACAGAATTTACGTGTATAATACTAGTGATGTTAATAAAATGAGAAGCGCTCCTGACTTTCTGTAGCTTTTATAATGTTACATCTACAGCTACATGTAGTTTAATTGTAGAATAATAAAACACTCATCCGATACTACCACAAACAAAATAATTTCATTTGCTATTTTCTGGATATCACCACCTATGTTAAAATAAATTAATGACAGGCTTGGTGACAAAATTGTTTATGACTGTTTTTCTAATTCATTTTTGTTTTATGGCACTCAGGTTACTCTTTCTAAACAGTCTGTACAAAATAGGGCTTAAGCTTGGGGTTCATGAAGAAGCCAAATAAATATTGAGAAGCATTACAACTGACAAAAAACTGAAGCTGTCAAATCTAACAAACAAGGCTTGACTTGTCATAAAGTTGGTTCAAGAGGCACGGCATGTATCACAATCTGAAATGTGTCCATTTACAAACTCTTCTGTCTGTTTACTTGGTGCGAATGAACAATTCGCAACAGCATATTAATGTTACGCTGTAGGCAAGTGGAAATGTAGGGAATGTTTTCACATTTGTGCATTGGCACGCTTAGGATGCAAAGGATTATGTGAAAAGCTTGTTTAATCTTGATCCACCCAAGGAAAATAAGAGCATTATTTTATAGTATCACATGACAATAATGCCTTGCCCATAAGCCTGCAAACTGAGAAATTACTGCATAAAAGTGCTTGTGGCAGAGTCTTATGAGACAAATATCTGATTGATTACAATTTGACAAACATCGTGCATGTCAACCTCTTTCATAGTGAGCAATTACTTTAAATGTGTGTGACCAATCATTTTGGGCAAATATCAAAATAAATATCTCTCAACTTCTAAGAGAAAAAAACAGCTGATGTAAAAATGACAAGGCAAAACAGTTTTCTTTGATTATATTAGAAAATTCATTTAGTTTTGGAGATAAAAACCTTCATCGCATTAAATCTCCTCTCGAAATCAAAACATGACAATCATATATACAACGCAAAACAGAAACATTGTTACTAGGAGTTTAGTTGATAGATCACAGACAAAAACTTAGCAGAAACAGTTGATTACAAATACAAGTCTTTGCCAAGAATTACATGTTCTCAAATTCGCACAAAATCTTCAATGCACAACCTTGTATTTCATTTCTATCCTTACGTTTTCAGGTTTCTTAAGTTAATTAACAACACATGGAATTAAAATTCCTAAAATCTCATAAAAAAGATAAGGAGTCAATGTTCTTGAACCGTGCAAGAGAGCTAATCTCTTAGTTTTTTCCTGGTTAAAGATACCTGATTCACGAAGCATAAAGCATAAAGCATATTTTTTGATAAAATTTCTTTGCGTTTAAAATTATTGCCAGTGGAAAACATAATAATTGTGAAAAGCGCTGCTCGCCAATTCATCAGTAGGGGGTGAAAACGTTCATATTAGTATTAGCATATGTTGTTTTCTTGCCTCGGGGTAAAAGAAACCTTTCTTTTCATTTTAATCCTCCGCTATAATTATCCACTGGACTCTCATATTTTTTGTAAACAGAAGATTTAGAAAAATAACCTTAGAATCGCGTAACACCAGTCCTTGAAATATAACTCGCTTCGAATCGCGTGCAGTTGGCGCGCGACAAAAATTACCCAAATCAGAATTTCTTTTCAAAATGCAGTTTGAATAAATACAACAGCGGGGGACTTAGTTAAATAGCCAAAAAAATGCAAACGTAGGAAATTAATAAAAGACCTTTAGTTGCCACCCGGCCGAAATCGAAAAACACATTAAACGTTCTACCTTATTTGTTTTAAAAATTAAAGCGGACGTCTGAGGAGTTTTAAAACCTAATTGTCAAGTGAATTTTGCACGCAAAAAAAGAACAATACGGCAGCCACGAATAGCGTTCTTAGGCCAAACAAAAACAATGCAAAGCGTACAAAAACAAAAGAACTAATTTAATAAATTTGTTTCAGGCTAAATAATTGTGTGCTTGGCAGGTTTCAGAACAATTCCTTTCGACATGTTCGGAAGCTCTACCTTGATCACCAACTGAACCATGAACATACTGAGCCAATCTAAAAAAAGCGCATTTATTTTCGGCATGAACCTTCACCAAAAAGCAAAGCATACATCTTCGTTTCGGATTGATAATTTCCAGGCTCAACTAGATAAACCAAAAGGTAAACGAGGGAACACGGAGTTTACGGTTTGAATATCAAAGAAAAGGATTCTCACGACCACCACCGGCTGAAAGAGAGCACGCTACTTGTAGTGACTGCCTAGTAACTGGAAAAAAAAAAGACACGAAAACTCTTTGCAGAATACACATTTTCTTATGTCAATATGCCGCGAAATAATGCAAACAAGGATTCCTTTCCTCCCCAAGCTATGTGCATAAAATAAACTTCTTCGAATGTGCGAAACCATAATTTATTTTGCACGTACTGAAAGAAATATCAAATTCACAGTTCGTTAAGGGTCTGGTTATTTGTTTAGCAAAGAAAACATCACTAAAGAGGAAAACCAATTCAAGAAATGCCATGGTTGACACATAAGCGTGTGGAAGAGCATATCGTGAGTAATTCGCTGGCAATATGTGACTTGTTTACACTATTAAAGCGCCAGGAAAGGAATCATTTCGCCTTCAAAACTGACAACTAAACCTCTTTTGCAGATGCTTAGCGTGTTTTTAACTAGAGAGCAGCTCACATTCAGCATTACCACCAAAAACTTGTCGCATTATTCAACATGACGTGAGTATATAAACATGAGTGTTGAATTTCGCTCCAAGTCTCGTTCGAATTGCGAAGCAATTGATCTTTTTAGCTAATTGTAAAGAATATAAACCCTCAATGCAACCGACGTTTAAGCCCTTTCTTTATGATCACATGAGTTTGATTGTTATACGGCTGGAATTAAAAGCCAGTTTCGTTCGGCGTGAATGTTGGTTGTAAGGTGACACCGGTAGATCTCAGTGGATCTCAGTTCAAAAAGTGCCATTTGTAGATGAGTATTCACCTTTTAGATAAAGGGTTCCCCGAAATATCTTATCAAAACCGATAAACACGAGATCTCTAAAGAAACATTCGTTAGGAGTGACTACGTATTTACAAAAGTGACAAGTGGGAGAACAGTCTGTCTAACTATTCAGAGAACATCATAAAAGTATGAATACTCACAATACAGTAGTCCCCAATGGAATCCCCTGAGGTATTGAACGAAGTTGGCGATTTTTGCAAATCACTCGTGTCCCAGAACAAATACATTGCTTGTCAAAGGCACATGCTCGACTGTTTGATTCCTGTCCTTGTCCAAGTGTCGCTCCGTATAAAGCCAAAAACATTGCAACCAAAGCATTCGCAATATAAACGGACGCCATGTTTGATTAGCAGCACTTTCAGATGAACATCTCTGTCCCTTGCAAAAATGTTCTTTAACCTCGGCACAAACACGCACTCACGAACATCTATCGTGAACTGAAGGCTTCCTTTGCCTGGCAGGGTGCCCCTTTACAGAATATGTACTTTCACGCAAAGTTTTTATAAAGCTTCAAAGAGGAAACCATCACATTCACTTCGATTGAAATCCAATGCCAATTTCACGACATGAAACTGACCACCCACGAACGTCAGGACAACAATAGCGCGCAATGTGATTGGCTGACTGTCATGAAATGTCGGTGAAATAACAAGGCGTTGAGCCGCGGGATATTACTCAAATAAAATTTGCTCTAGTTCGCTCTGATTCATCCAAGAGTCTCAGATTTCAGCCTCCATTGGGCTTGATTGACAGACTATCAATTTGAAATGAAACAAGACTTGCTAAAAGAGCCAATTGAATTCCCAGATGGTAATTTCATTGCTTGTGCAAACATCTGCGTATCGACTTCACACTCAACCCAATCGCGGAGCACGCGCGGAAGATCAGGCAGATAAACGTTGCTAACTATGTTTTACTTACGAAGCACTCGAATTTTCCGCGTATTGATCCTTCTCTGTGCACTTTTAACTGCCTTTCAATACTGCGAAAACAAGAGCGTTGTGAAGGGCTGTAAGCGGCGTTTTCCGGCAAGTAATAATAATAGACAAATGACACAAATGAGATTTTACAAAGAACTTCACATAATTAGAGACACATCTATCAAACGTACCGCCTGTGGTCCTCTCAAATAAACAAATTCCTTTCACGGAAGAAAAACATACTCAGTAAAGGATCGGATACGAGGGCAAAAAGATGCTGTGACCATGTAGAACTGATGAATGGTTGTTGCCGCGAGATTTTGTCAGTTTGTTCTTCAACTTGTCTTCATTTTTTTTCTCCAAGAATAATTCAAAGCCAAACGCTCCTTACCCTTTGTAATTCATGACCCTCCGGTGTATAGATTCGCCTTGATTTCACAAAAACGGTCAGTTGCATTTATTCCAGGAAAATCCCTCCCATAAGTAACACCTCCAATCTTTTAATGTCAGTGTTTAACTTATTTTTTTGTTAACTAAGGAGAGAGCTTTTCGCAAGTCACTGGTTTTGGAAGCAGTTGGTCTTTCATGTCTCGTTAACACAATACGTGGTGTTGATCAAAGAAATGTACTCATTGACAGCATCCGACATTGTGGCTACGGTATATATAATAATTAAACACTTAAAAAAACTGAGTAATTAAGTAACTTAATTTTCACACAATCGTCCAAACGCTAAGAATGTTGAAGTTTTTAAATTTTAACAAAGGAGTAATTAACTTGATTACAGAGATAGAAATCGCGATATTAGGGTGATCATAACGACCCATAACGCCTAATAGTAAGATGAACTTCGTTTAGGAGACAACACAAGGTCATCACGGATTTGTACAGAGCTTGTTCGATGAGATTTATATCACCATCTGTGGACCAATAACACAGAATAAATTACAATGTGCGCACACAAATCTATCTGAACTGAAACAATTGGTCTTTTCCGAGGAACGATATTTCAGTTACCAGTAAAGTCGGAAGAGTACTTCAGCAAAAAACCTTGTTTTTACTCCAAATACTTATTCGAATTCATTAGATCCTGATGCGAGGCAATATTGGAACCAGTAACAACGCGGCCATTTCAAATACATTGTTGCAATTCCCACATTGGCCGGGAATGGTAAATTTATTATATTTCATATTCTCATTGTTAGTCAGAGCTTTCACTTTCAATTTCACCTGCTTATGATTTGATTGTTCTTATTTGATACGAAAAAAATACCCCCACCGCAATAAGCTGAGCCAGGATGCGTGGGCAATGAAGAATGACGTCAGAGACTGAGTTCAAAATAAACCCTTTTGAACCAATATACAGCTGCTATGTGGTCGTCATATTTTAGAGTTGAACAGCATTTTGTTCTTTTGCGATTGTATTAGCTTTTCCATTTGATTTGTATAGAAATCGTCTTGATCTTGTGAATAAAACTGCTGCATTCCCAACATTAGGTTACAGTAAAGAGTTCTTTCTGTGAAGTTTCACCGGAATAAGTTGACGTTGAACTTGACTGAATATGCCCCAAACAATAAAATTCTTGTATGATTTCGCTTTAGCTAAAGACATTGTACTACAACCGGGTTTTTTTTTCTGCTATTACTAACTTCAAGTTAAGGTTTCAGATATGCAAATGAAATTTCAAATTATCTGTTAAAAGGACGCGCCATTCAGAAATATTTGCTCTGCGAAAAACATCTCCAATATAAAGAATTAGTATGACGGAAAAATATTTAGTTTTTTTCATTGCCTGGATTTTTGCAGGTTTCCAGTCGATTTTAATTCAAAGAAGCATATGTAGGTAATACACGGATTTTGTCAACAACTCAGTTGAAACTGACCTGACACTGAAGCGGGTTATAGATTAATACACAGTTAGTGACCGGGTCTCAGTAAATCCCGGCGTTCAAGTTATTTCTCCCGTCTTAGTTTTTTGCAAATGAAGTAATGAGTTATGGAAAAAAGTCCATATGTATATCCGCCGTTATTTTTTTTTAAATAACGACGGTATTCCTTTCAAGGCATATACTGATTTGGTTGGACGACGAATTGTAATCAGCACTGTTCTTTTTAGTATTGCATATAAAGGAAATTCCAGAGAAGTAACTAAAGACACAAAGGAAATAATTTGAGGTATCTTGAACAGGAAAGAGTATATTAATGCCATACCGCAAGTTGCGTCAGTTAATTGAATGGGCGGGCCTACTGTCTGTATCGGCGTTGATATATTGCCTTTACTGAGCACTATCACCCGATCGTATCGTGTGATAATTGTGATAAGTGCCTCGCGGTCCGCCGCTCCTCAGTGTTACTTGCCGATGTCCCTAAATTGATGGATACCGGCGATCAATGACCAAAAGTGGAGCCTCTATTCAGGGGACACCCTCGGGACCAAGGTAAGCGTCCCCTGAATAGAGGTGTCCCCGAATGGAGGTTCAGGTTGAGGGTTAGGCAGTCATTATTTCAAGCAGCTAGATAATGTTAAAAAAATCATGATTAACTTATCTCTGCAAGGTTTTGTGCTGAATTACAGTTCTTGTGACTAGTGTGCATTTCAATTTATCAACAATTTTTGTGGTCAGTCACAATTTTAACTGTAAGGTGTCCCCAGGACCCAGAAAGTGTCCCTTTCCCCTGAATAGAGGTGTCCCTTCAATAGAGGTAGCAAATACAAAGATCATGTCAACATTTTCTGGGACCAGATTTTGTGTCCCCTGAACAGAGGTATCCCCTAAACAGAGGTGTCCCCTGAACACAGGTGTCCCAAAGGCAGGAGAGATTGTACTGTACGTGTAGCTGTTAGTTTGTCTGTTGTTAACCTTATCCATCGATTTCATCCACTGTAACTTAGAGCAGTCGCCCATTTTCACTTAGAATGCGTTTTCGCGTTCTTTCTTGCGAGGGCTCACAGATTACTCACCAAATACAAATAGCCCCCTTAAGGCAACTAATGTGGCGAAAAGGCGAGTACATAGCCGTTCCTTACGCATGCGCACAGCCATGTTACCCAGGTGCTAGCAGCCAAGCCTGATAAGCATTTCAAGATTAATCTTCACATAAAAAGGCAACTGCAACCATAATCATTGTTTATTTAAAAACTTTTATTTGCCCAAAACGTTCGCCTAAGACCAACAAACGTAAGCTTGGAACGGAGAACTCACGACAGCGGTGAGAAGTCTTTAAGACACGTGACTCTGTACGAGCTTTGAAACATTTTAGACACAACATACGACCAGCACTACCATAGAACTTAATTTTCATCTGCGACAAAACTTTTAGAAGACGGCATCCTTTGGTTTTTTGACAGACACAGAAAGGATAAGCAAAGAAATTTCGTTTCTTTGCCTCACGTGCACGGTACTCGATACCCTGTGACAAGGAGGGTTTTCTGGACTGTCAGAATTTTAAACATATAAAAGGAGCGGGGAAATAGAGATCAATTTATGTACAAATTCCGTCCAGGCTTTTCATCAAGTTGCTACGCATCCTGAAATCGTGACCTCGCCTGTAAAGAACAACACAAACAAAAGAATAGGTAGACGTGATCGTCACAATCGCACAAACATTTACTTAACTTTCATTTATATACATACATATGATTTATTTTATGTAGCTGTTGTCATGAAGAGTAACAAACTTTGCTTTAGCTCAAGTCTGTTTTTCAGCTACAGTACCGGTCGTAATCGGCTTTTGCAATTGCATGAGTAGTGATTTCAAGCTTATATAAAATCATCACTGAACTTTCGGAGCCACCCCTTAAATCTTCGATAATTTATGTAGCTCTGAACCCCCACCTACAACTTTTTGGTAAAACTCAGTGAAAAGCTGCCAAGGCCTTCATCCGAAAACAGTTTTCCATTGTCAGCAGATCTTTTTTCAAGTTATAACTTAAAAGAACAAACATAAAAATTGTGAATAAATACACTATTTATACATACCAGCTTTTTGAGCTTGTCTTTGTAGCTGTCAGACGAAGAGGCGCCATAACTGCTTCCTTTTAACCCTAGGCCGGCATTTTGGCTTCGCATTCGAGCCTGAAATGAGCGATGTAAGAGGAAATAAGTGCGCAATTGGTCCATGCACGCGCGGGAAATACCATGGCCAGCCTGGTCCCACAGATACAAGTTACAAGACTAGTATGCCTTCAGAAAGACACTGGTATCGGCTTTAGAGTTTAGCCCTGTCCTCATTTAAATATCGCCACGCACAAAAACGCTTATGTTTGAGGTTTAACGTTATTCCTAACAAGGACATACTTAAAATCAACCTAAGCTGATATGTAACACATGACTACCACTTTTCCGCCATTTTCTACGTCCCCTCGGTCTTTCACTAGAAGAATACTTCAAGCCAAGAGTCTTAAAATCTTAACAAACCACACCTTTTAAAGTAAGCTCAGAGTTAAATTTAACAATTGAAAGTAGTTTTCTCACATCTCATTTCTTTTGTGAGGTAACGTGAAGTTTTTGGAACACTTTTCGCGCACTTCACTGCAGTTTACAAACGGAATCTTCGCGTGTCTTGTTTCTAATAATTCAACTCCAAAAAGTAAGTAATTGTTTTTATGTCTGAGCCCCTTCATCAAAAAGAAGATGTGCACCACTTACCTCAATGGGATCAACAATGCCTTGACCTTCTCTTCCCAAGCCACTCCCCTCTGTCCAGCCCATAGCCTATAACATGGCAAATGACTTAAAATGCATTCGTAGACATCTATCTATTCTAACAAACAAAGCAAACAAACAAGCCTGTCCTCCGTTGTGAAACTGGCAAATTATAGCATAAATCTTTCACTCAATTGTTTGGTTTGGTATTTCTTGGCTTGCGATAGCGGCCCTCTACCAAAACGACGTCGAAGCAGAAGAAAACATGCGCCATTATTTTTAGTTAGTATGCATTGAAAATCATAGAGAAGTGCTCTCAGAAATTACCTTCAACATCTGGTTGCCGATATTTTCGTCGCCAATTCGCTCCACGGGAGCTTGTTGGTAGGTCCTGTAATTAAGGAGAAATTAATACTTAATCATGACTGAGTAAAGTGCGTGTTGACAGCCTGACAGCCTTTATAGCTGTTTATAAAAAGTGGTTGACTCATGGGTAGCTCAAACCAAAGGTGATTGTTCCAAGGAAATATCTTGTTCCTACAACATTTGCCAAAATGTGAGCAAAGGTGTTTTTGTGAGATACGTTGGGTATTCTTTTTACTCAGATATCGTATCGATTGCGGAGTCTTCGTGTTAACGGTCTGCTGCGGTGCACACCCTTCAATTGCCCCATTCCTAAAGTTTATGTTGGCGTTTGTTGCAGTACTCAGCGTGAGATATCTGCTCGATATTCAGGCCAAGTTACACTATATATAACAACCAATAGCTTAGAAACTGTACAATCAACCCTTTAACAATTATGTTCGTTGAATCTGTCATCCTCATCTCTCTACTATCAATATCCATCCTTCACTAATGCGATTGGACCACACCTTGGATGACGACCCAACTAAGCTACATAAATATTACTGTTACACTTACATGGCGGCAGGTCCACCCCTTCGTTTGGAAGGTAATCTTATTTTCTGGGCTTCTGGTTGACCGTACTTTTCTCTCCTCTCCTTTGCTCTGTCACGATACTTGTTCTGTGAATAAGAAACATACTCTTTAAGAGCTTCTTCAATGACAGTCTTGTGGAAAGCCAAAATACATGTTAGGGCATTCAAAATTTAACTACGTTGACTACAGTGGAGACGATTGTTTTCAACAACAAATTGTTGTCCACCTACCTCGCGTTCCTGCCTTTCATAAGCTTCAAGTTGTTCATCTGTCATTCCCATCTTTTTATGAATCTCCAAGTTTTGCTAAATGTAAAGAAAATTTTATCTGTGAAAAAATGTGACTGTCTGCTAATTTAAATAGGGTATCAGCAGAAAAGATAATAAAAAAAAAATCAATGTAATTAATTGCTCGGTTATAGATAACAAAGCAAGATTAAAGGATTTGTTCGGTCATTCAATGTTTGGTAAGAGAGTTTGATTGTTCAGTCAGAGTCTCCCGCCACGACTATGGCGAATCACGGTGTTTGGGAGGATATCTCCCTCAATGTCTCGTCCACTCCAGTGGTCGAAGGATGATGATGATGATGACGTGTGCAGCCGTTTTTGTTTCATGGTCACGTAACACTCATCCTCTAGAAGGATGGGAAGAAGTTACTGTTACGTGATAAGACAAAAACGGCTGCACACGTGAGAGACTAACTGCACACCAAAGAACACAAATACCGAAACCGGTTTCTTAAAAATAAATCTTCAACACAGAGTATACTGAAGAGTTAACCACACCTTCATTAATTACCTTGTGTAAATCGGATAATTTCTGATGCCTTTCTAGAGCTTCCTTGTTAGGAAACTGTCGTTTACACAATAAACACGCCATGATACTCAAGTCAGTAAATTTGTCATTGAGTTCCTCTTCTGGATCGGAATCATCTTCACCATATTCAGCTACTATCCCACCCCTTGTAGGATCTGAAAAAAAAAGAACACGTTTCAGGAATTTTTCCATGGATATAAACAACTCTGAGAAACATAATCCGATTTTTTTTTTGTCTATGCAGGCGTATGTTTGAAGGGTTTTCTCCAGGTGAGATCAAGCAGTTTCTGCGAGATTGGCTTCAGTCAAGAAACACTGATTTAACTTGTCTCTTATTACAGAGCCCTGTTCCAAGATTTACATTGTTATTACTAGTTTTACCTGTAATCTTGATCTCCTGTTTCATACTAAGAGCTGCAAGAGGACTAGACGCTGCTACATTATCACTAATTTCTTGAGTAAATCCAGCTGCAATGCTCTTGGCGATTGTGAGTGATGTTGACGATGATTTGGGGGGTACTCCAAATGGCTGCAAAATTAAACAAAACAAGACAACATTAATTTTTGAAAGAGAATTTCTAAGTAAAAGTACATGTTCTTTGCCTAAAGAGGAAACTGTATCTTACCACTTTGAAGATATCTGTATCAACACTTTTCATTTGTTCAGATGGTGATGAAGTAGTTGTCCCTTTTTTAACATCATCACTCTGAGTCTTGGCAGCATTCACAGACTTGGCCCATCTTTCCATGTCTTTTGCAATCTTAAGAAAACAATGTCAAGTTCAGTTCAAACTAGCCAGCAAATGCAGAGGTATTTTTCTTTGTCACTTCTTGGGTGGGAAAAGAGACAATGAAATCTGTATTTGCAGGCTAATTTTAAACTTACAGTTCAATTTCTTTGAGTCTGGCCCTTTAGTATAAGAGTCAGACATAGAATGTCTTGCAACCTTTTAATTCTTCGTACATTTTGAATGTACCAGCACAGATTATCATAATGCAAACCAAAACCCACAAATAACAGGAACTACAGTGGAGGCTCTTACAAGGCGACACCCTAGGGGCGTGAAAAAGGTATCCATTACTGGAGCTGGCTGCTTATGAGAATGGTTCTCTAAGTGGCTACTGGAGATGTAAGGGTTAAATGGCCACTTATGACAGCTTTCCCAACTACAAATAATCATTAGAAATGCAAAAATAAATAAATTTTTTAACGGTTTGTTAGTGTTTGAGTATATGCAGGGTATACTGTTGTTTCCAATTGACAATGCTGTAATTCAGCCACAAGCATAAAATTCAAGCGGTATGTGAAGGGAATGTGAAAAGAAAAAGCAAACCTTGCAACTAATATACACTGTACGAACAGTGATATATGAAGTTGATATATTTAGAGGCAAATAAGATTTTATTTCTGCTTATGGGATCTTAAAAACAAAGCGGAAATCAGTTTATTATTCTATCTCGTAAACCCCAAAAGTGTCCATGGCCACATATGGGAATGTAAAAATACAGAGTTTGTATGTGAGTCGGATTGGGGTTTTGTGAAGGCGGCACTAAGTAGAGCTGTCAGCATACAAGAGTGTCCTTTAAGATCTGAGCTTCCACTGTACAAAACTCCCAATAGGACTGTATTGTTTGGTGCTTTGTGTCTTTTGTTTTATATTATCTGTGCTTGTATGAAAAAAAAACCCTGAATGACTGGAATTTGAATGGAATCCTATGGTGTTACCATTCTTGTGAAATGTTGTTGCCAATACAAAATATTATTTTGAAATTACAGACTCATTTAAACACACAAACCTTTTTTGCTTGTAGCGACTTTGCTTTCTTCTGTTTTTCTGCAAAATGAAATATGCCTGTTAAATAATACTGAAACTTACACTGTAGTCATATGAGGTAAGTTACACTGCCACCATAAACAAACATACATACAGTACCTTTTGTTGTTGGATCACTGTTTGCAGCGTTTTCAGCTGGTGTGGAGTTTGATGACGTGGAATGGGCTAAGGTCCTAAAAATAGTAAAGAATTTAAAAAAGAATGTTATACACTACCAAGACGTCATCAACTGTGTATATGTGTAGGTACAATAATAATATTGATGTGATTTGCAAGTTCACTGGAAAAGTTGAGTCACTGTCTTTTGTGCAATTCCATTTACTTCAGGTCATGAAGAATTGAAATTAATTAATTATTAGTTGTACTTTTGAAAAACTCTTGAAAAAAAATGGCAACAAGTCTTTGGAATTAGGTCAATATCACGATTTTAGTAAATTAACCTTACACTCTATGCAGTACCTGTAAAGCCAGGACAAAATGTTGCAAAAAAAGCCCTCACAACTCTAAATGGCATAATTTTGGATACCTCCATGGTAAGATCAATAATTATATTGATTTCCCTCATTACTCTTCAACTAAGTTGCTCAAAATAAGAAGGAAAACAAACACACTATTGCTTGCTGGCTGATTATCTCCTTTAACTGCACTTCTGAAACCTGAGGCATGCTTGACAGTTTACTTGAATGAATCTGGAATCTTGAAATTAACATCCATGGCTAAACAAAGCTTCACTCACCCATCAGCTGCCACTGGAATGTACTGCTGTGTTTCTGCATTCCAATAGAGAAACTGACCTGTAGCACTGTTATAGTAATACTGTAAAAGCAATGTAAATATTATGGATAGTTTGTTACAATAACTGAAAGATTTTTCGTGCACTGATTGGTCGAGAGCTATGTTCCATACGAGTACAGACCATGTAAATGACATGATGGTGCAGGTGCAATTTGCTTTTCTCTCAATGGAAATGGGTGTCAAAACTGTCCATGTTATCGTAAAAAACAAATCGACAACATGACGTCAAAATGTTCAAAACTTTGCAGTGAAACCACTCACCTGTGGCTTGTGGTTCCATATGAGTTTTGGGTTTTAATGCCATTTCTATGGTCAATAAGAGTACAGACCATGGAAAATTGTTGTCGATTTGTTTAACATTTACACTGTACCTGCTCCAGCTGGTTTAAAAGCACCCCACTCAAATGATGACAAACAAAAAATCCAAATTAATCAAAACATAAAAACACAACAGACAGGATCTTCAGAAGGGTTTAACCCTTGAACGCAAAACAACAAAAACAAACCCAGTTGGTAATAACACACATCTTAATTTCATTAAATTCCAATTCCAATTTTAATATCAATAAATTAACCTACGTTAACATTCTTTCTTGCATCAGACAAATTTTAGGATTACAAGGATTAAGGACAACCTCGTCACTTAAGAATTTTTAACAAATAATACATCATAATCCTCAGAAACTGATGCAGAAAATAATGTTTTATTCATAAGCAAACCTTTGCAAAAGAGTCAGTTTTACTGTTCACATACCTGGGTATTTGCATCGTAATATAAACCAGTAGTTGAGTCAAAGTAATAGCCAGTTGATGGATCATAAACATAGTTTGATAAAGACTGTTGTGTTACTGTTGCACTGGGCTGAGTCTGCACAGGTTGTTGTTGATACTGTGATGTGGTAGCTACAAGTTGTTAAAGAGGAAAGAAGAGTCTCAGTAACTTAACAATAATCTTAAACCTAATTCTTATCAGCAGCACTGTGTGCATTTTTCATTCAATTATATGATAAATAACTACCTTGGTCTTGAACAGCTGTATTCTCTGTGCCTGACACGACTGGAAAAAAGATGAGAATTATATTTATCTATTATTTGAATTTCAATAAATACTGAAATGCAGGTTTTACAACTACAACAAAAGAAAAATAGAAAATAATCATCACAGAAGAATCACAGAGGATAAGGACATTATTTTACTGTAATACAAATAATATGAATATTGTTAGTTATTGATATGAATTTGAAACAAAGAGAAACAATGTAATGTATTAAAAATAACATTAGATCTATGGAGAAGAAAAAAATAAATATATTTTTTTCCCTTTTAACTTTGATTTTTATTTCCACCAAATTCTTATCTTCACACTTTGGAACGGCTTGGGTGAAAGGTTTCCTTTTTCTACAGGTACATATATTGGATTGGAAGGCCTTCCTGTACATATGGTAAGAAGAAAAGGTGTATGGTAGAGGAGAAGGTTAGGGTTAGGGTTAGGGTTAGCCCCAACAATCAATCAGTCATTATTGTTAGTTTACCTTTATTAGCCTGAGCTGTGACCTGCTGTTGATACTGGACAGAAAATAAAACAAATTACAATGTAAGGTGAATGGTTCAAACTCCTCCAGAAAAAAAACAGTGACAGATTATTTTATATATTGGAGTGTGGGAACAGTCACCAAAAAAAATTCAATCCCTAGCTTTTGCAATCGGCGTAGTTAAGAACTCTCAGATCCAGTCATTAACATACTGACAACCTATATATTAAATCTTCCTAAGAAACAGCCCAGATGCAGCTGGAGATCTATCAATGGGTCCGAAAAGAGAAGTGAAGGGATTCTCTTAAAAATGAAGGTAACACTGATCTGACATAAATAGCAATAATTAAAAACTGACCAACTGTTGATAGGAAGCAGCATCATGGGAGTCGGCTGTTACTGTTCCCATGGTACCTGCAGCTTGTGCTTGAGCCATAGCATTGGCTGCGACACTGGATGGTTGTTGAGCCTGTGATGTAGTGGGTTTTTGTGACCACTGTGCTTGTTCTATGGCAGCAGTAGCTGCTGTAGCACTGAAAGCAGAAATCATAGAACTTGATAAACACATGCAGCTTGACTCAAATAACATGTCCGCTTTGTGATAATTATGAAGAAGAATGACAAAAATAGGAAGGATGAAATGTTCACTGTCTCATAAAATGGAGTCTTAGCACTGAAAAGTATAAGCGCTATATAAATATTTTATTATTTATTATTTTTATTATTATGGAGTCCTTGCCAGCTTCCATAACATATTCAGTCATGATCACATAAAGCAAAAAGGATTAAATGACCATATCAATAACTTCAGCAGTAGTTAATTATTAATTATTATTATTATGGATGTCATTTACCTGTTTTGTTTAGGTGGATTATCATGTTTTGCATAAGATGCAGTAACAATTCTCCCATCAATAGTAAAATGCATGTTGCTGATGATCTCTAGTAATTGACTTGCTTCCTGGAAGATCAAAGCATATTAATGTTTTAGTGTGGTTTTGAAAGACGGATTTTTTATGTCCCTTATAATCCACTGATTTCAGGAGTCCTTAACAAAATGACATTTTGGAATAATTTTATAGTTTCATGTTTACCTCAACTGAACCAAGCTCCACAAAACAAAATCCTCTTGATGTATTGGTAAGTTTATCTCTTATCAACCGAACATCATAGACTGGAAGAGCTGTTATCTCCACAAGGGCCTTTCGAATCTAATACATAACAACAATGTCACAAAAAATTAAGGAAAAATAAATCAATATTTCAAAATAGACTTAGATTAGTGAACTTATGTCACTGCAAGGTACATAGTACATGTATTTAGGCGGTAATTATACAAATTTTACACCGATAAAATCTTTGTGATGTTGTATGCTAATGCAATAATTAAAATATTGTATAAAAAATCTTTTCAATGGATTATATATAATTACATAAAATACATTATTCTTAGTATTAATGTCTTGTCAGTAACTTTGCTTATGTTGTGAATGGCTCCCTCCTGGTATAAGATATAATAGAGCTGAAACTATGGAATTGCACTTTATCAACAGGAAATTTATATTACACTTATACCGTATTTATTCGATTAACTGCCCTGGGCGCTTATTAAATTTTTGGACCTTGAGAGTGGGCGCTTATTCGAGGTGGGTGCTTATTCGAGGCTGGGCGCTTATTAAATTTTCACCATTTCCAGCAAGTGAAGTATGTTTATTTTGCAACAAAACAATGAATGCTAATAACAAAACGCGAAGAAGTAACAAGGCAAGCTTTCTGTAAAATACTCTGAAGAAAACTCCGTCCTCGGGGAAGTCTCTTATTAGAATTTATTCACTCAAGTGGATGGGGTGGGGGTGAGCGCTTATTTGAGTTTGATTGGGAGGAAGAGGGGGTGGGCGCTTATTCGAGGCTGGGCGCTTATTAACTTTTTCTGCCTTTAGGATGGGCGCTTATTCGAATAAATACGGTAGGTACATTTTGGGGTCTGCTTAACGATACATGTGTTATATGGTAATTTAGTTCCTATAATTTCCACTATTCCTTGAGCATTTCTACACAACTGCCATATAACATACAATAAATAACAGCAATGTCACATGTATATCATGAAGTGTGAACTCGTGCATTTAATCTTTTCATTTTAGCAACTGAATGTCTGAATCAAATGAAAAACATCTTACTGATTCATCATGAGTTAACGTGTCCAGGCCTTTTAGAATCAACACTGATGAAATAAAAGGTCAAGAATTACAACTACAGTGTATACATTGTAGTAATAAAAATAACTACTGTAAAAGCATCCAAAGGACAATTAAAATCCTTAAGATTCCCTGACACCATTAATTTACAGCAAACTACCAAGACGGCAGCATAAAAAGGACAAACCTTTGCATGGGTTACTCAAAATCTCTTTGTCATCTACTAAATCTAAAAAAGAACAAACAAACAGACCAATCTTAATAGTTTTTCAAACTATGAAGATGATGTCTTAACTCTTTCCCTAAAACACTGACATCGCCTTTTAATTTGCTAGTTCCCATATTTCCACCTGCTAATAACTCCTTGTCAGGTATCCAGCAAAGCTCAGTGAACTTGCTCTTTCAACAATAATCATTGATGGCATTGTAAGACCTCAGACTGACCTGAAACCTCTTTTGGTGCTCCGCACTTGAAACAGGAAAGACGCATCTTTGAGGAAAAATTTTGGCCACCACACTATGACACAGAAAGAGTAAAAATAATGTTGTGAAGACTTGTCATGGGTTTAATGCTATCAAAAAGAAACATTTCCATGGCATTATGGAAGGTACAGAAATTTAGTATTACGGAAAACTTATAACATGTACCTTGCTACAAATCCAGTCCTTTTCAATGGTCTTTGCATTACTCTTGCGTCTACTGTAATCAGCACAGACTGTGTGTCCATGCACATAATAACGACCCTAAAAAAAGTAATGTGACTTACTTTATGGTGTCAATCGTAAAAAGATTCAGAACTTAATGCAAGATTAAGGACACCGTTAGATAAATTTTCCATGTCAAGCTCATCAAGTAGACAATGGTGGTGCCAAGCTGAGAGCATTTACCTTCCACCAAAGTGGCTTGGGTTCAAATCCTAGAGGCAAGGCCATGTTAATGCCTTTGACCTTGCTCCACAAGGTTTCTTTCCAGGTATAACTCTGTACTCTAGTTTACCAGCAAACAACATTTTTAAATTCCAAATGGATCCGGAATGGTAGGTAAATAAACACTATATGAAATATTCTATCACTAAATCATTATTCATTTATTATTTTTCTTATTTCATCCACAATTACTTGTAGGAACATAATATACCCTGTGCTTGTCCATCCAATCTTGAGCCTCAGAAACACTTTTGAACTCCAAAAACCCAAATCCTCTTGAAATACCTATATTGCACATGTACATGTAGTTAATAAAATCAAATAATACAGTTAACATGCAAGTCTCTATTTTGTTCCAAAACAGAGAACACAAGACTTCATGTACTGGAACATTAAGTACTGTAAGTACTGGTAATTAACAGAAACTAGATCTCTTATGTAGATTTACCTGTTCTGTGGCGAACAATTCTCAGATCTAAATATTCTGTACCGTCTCTCTGTAATGCTTCCATCATCTGCAGGAAAACACAGGTGGGTTACAACATTCAGCGTGTTAATCAAGATGTAAAGGTTATGGGGATTCAAGTTATGATAACCTAAGAATGTCCCATTAACCCAACATTGATATACAAGCTATGGACACTGCAGCACTAACATGCATATAAAAAGCAAGAAGTGTGGTGGATTTACTGGTATGCAGAAAAAACACACAAGTAGAATTACACTCAGCTTAACTACACACAAAATGCATGTATGTGTTTATCTTGCATGGTCACTAAATACTCTTTTTTATGACTTCTCACAGCGTGCCGCCATACTCACATCCTCCTCCTTAAAGTCTTTATCCAATCCATGTAATATAACCACAGAAGTGGGCTCATCCTGACGACTGTCCTGCCACTTTCTGTCATCATCATCTCTATCACGTCGTGAGTACCTGCTACGAGAATACTCCCTGTCTTGCCAGTCTCTATCACGATCACTGAGCTCATGCTGTTTGTAAATAATGTTGATTATTCAGTTGAAAGTTAGAAAATACCGTAAACATTAATTTTATTTTGCTTGAATTCTCATGCAAGACCTAAGAAGAGTTGTATCACAGAAGAACAGAAGATATAAAACTTTGTTTCCAGTTGTTTAGCAAAAGAAATTTGAATTGCCATTAATTCTGAAAAACAAAATGTTTTCTTAATCGAAAGGTGTTATGCTAGCTGCACAGCTCAATAAAAAAAGAAAAAACAAAAAATACTTTTACAATAACAGAAGTAACACTAATTGCTATAATCATTCACCATTCTGTTCATATCTTTGGTGCTATTACAGTAGTTAGAAAGCAAAATGCACACAAGATTCTTGTTCAGTTGTGTCTTTTCTGTGTAAATCATAGTGGTTATTTATATCAGAATTTGAAATATCATGCATAAAAGACAAGGAAAGTGTGTACAACTTCATCACTGTTATAATCTTCTGAATCCCCTCTCTGCCGACTCCAGTCTCTGCTGTATCCTGCTCTTTCCTTGTTGCTGTAGTCCCAGTCCCGATCCCTGTCATATCCTCTGTCGCGATCTCTAGCCTTATCATAGTCTCTGTCTCTGTCACGTGACCTTTTATAATCCCTGTCTCTGTTATATTCTTTATCGTAATCATCATCATAACGATCTCTGTATCGATCCTGTCCATCACGTTCATACCGATCAGTATCACGAGACCTGTGCCTATCTCTGTCTCGATCTCTGCTGTAACTGGTCTTATCATAACCATTATCTCGACTTTTTGTTGATTCTTTGCTACGCTCCCTTTCCTTGTAATAATCTCTGTCACGACCAAATGGATCTGGTCCAGCCCTGTGCCTTGAATCTGGACTTCTCCGCCGGTCCTCTCTTGTATCAGACCGACCATCCCTAAAACGGCTCAGCTCACGACCAATGTTGCGTTCGAGATCACGGTCTCTCCCATCCTGATCTTGGTAACTGCTTCTGTAATCTGAGCTTCGCCGCAGATCACTTGTGTCATCTTTAATCCTACATCAGTGTTTCAAACCAAGGATGGAAGGAATGAGTATCACTGAAAAAACACTGATTTATTGACCTTACTCACCTCAGGAATAACGGAATGACCTGTGACTTTGGCATATTTACCTTTTAAGACTTGCTTAAAACGAATTGATGATGGATTCTACCAGAATGCTTTTTGGTTAATTTCTCTGCTGTAACTTGATGTGATTCCAGATAGGCCATAAGTAAACCTTACAAATACGGTATGTTGTGCTCTCTGGAGATTGCATGACTGTGATTGGGGTTTCCAAACTCACTTTGCAGAACATTTAGAAACATCAAATCCTTTCTAAAACAACTATTTTATACTCGGGTTTATGTTGACCACAGAGAGTAATCTGGGCGAGAATCTTTAATCGGCAATGCTCAATGTGATAGTGGCAGAAAATCAACATTATTGTTACTGTACTTTCATATACACTTAAACACTTTAAACAACACTGCAACATTGAATAACGATATACATGAAGTTCAGAACCTTTGAGCGGTGTCTTCCCGCCTTTCGTCCATTTTGTAAGCTTCAATCTAGGAAATAGACCACGCAAAACCGTGGAGATGGAAAACGACGTACACTTGTAGGAACAACCTACAGATCTTGTTTGAACAGCAAACAGCGACCTGCAATATGAGGATAAATGTTCAGTAAAGTAATCCACAGAGTGAAACAGCATTCCGTAGAGAGATTCAGATCGGCCATCAGATCGTTAAGCGAAGAATCAACACGACTTCGACGAAAAAAAAGCCGTAAGTGGGAGGCAATTCGTGGACGATGCTTCGAATATTCCTTGGGGTTCTTCGAAAAATCCAGTTCCTAAATCAGTATAAAAAACAACTGAAAAATAAAGAATTAGCTGTAGAAGTTCCTGCAATTTTGCTTTTACAGAATACAAACCTTCGTTTATTTGTGAAAATGCGGCAAAATATGTGAATTATATTTCAACATTGTACACGAGGAAGATTGTTTTTTGCTTTGCCAAGGGTGGCTACCAAGTTAGCATCGAAGGCCTGGTTACAAAACTTTTCACCAGGCCCAATTAAAAATTATAAAAATGGCGGACGAGGGAAGCAATGACGACTTGAAGGTTTGAGAGTTTTGAATATAGTTTCACGGCTTGCTGCATGCTACTAGTCTTCATTACGCAATTCAACATGGCAGGGTATTCTATAGCTGTTCCTTACGGGTATTACTTAAGGAACTTCGCTTCCTGTGAGCCTGCCTATTATAAACAAGATCAGTTCACATCATCTTCATTACTTCATTCCATTCACGGGTTAAGTTAAACTCAGTAAATTGGCCTGCTCCAGATGTATAGGTCTTCATAGCTCAGTTGGTTAGAGCACTGCAACGCTAACGGAGAGGCCATGGGTTCGGATTCTGTTGAAGTCCTGAAATTTTTTTCGGGTTAATTTGCAATAGATCTTTTCAGCTTGTATGTTTTGTTTTCCCATTACACACCATGTGACGTTGGTACCCCAGAGAACTGTTTCTGTCAAATGTCATCTTATTCACATGCATCCACGTGCATATGTATACATAATTAATGAAAAGACAAAAGGCAAATTCCCTGGAGAACATCACATGGTCTGAATTGGGAAAGGTCTATTGCTTACATTGCAATTAACACTGCGACGATCATATCTTCATTTAAAATTTGTATTTCTGCAGTTCATGTCATCTTCATTCTTAACTCAATATTGTTGACTTTGTTTAAGCTGATAGTGGTACTTGGAATAAGAGGTTTTCAATCTCATGTCAAATTTCCGCTTCTTTGTTTCACATGGGAGCAAAATGCAACTTTCCAAGAGAATTTACCATAGAATCAGAAGTCCCTTGGGGCTTTTTATAAGGTCATTTCAAATGTATTCAGTTCCCTTGAAGTTGTTCATTTAATTTTCCTCTGCTTTTAGTCAGTTGTTTGTGAGAGGTTAAAATGGAAAAGTGTTGTTTCAAATGATACAATTTCACTTTTTAAGGGTGCTTTTGCTTCTTCTCCTAGCCATTTTATGGTTCTCAGGAAAATGCAACAAATTTAGTCCCAACCCTCCCTTCCCAAACAAAAGGGGGTGACAAATTCCACTAGGGTACTCCCCTTAATTTTCCACTTTAGAAACAACAAGGAAACTAGGCTGAGTTAACTTTTGCAAAGACTTCTGGGACAGTTACTAGAAACAGGGCAAACAAATTGACCAATAGCTGATCATCCCCAGTAACTCTCCCCGAAGTCTTAACAAAAGCTAGCTTCTTGTTTTTAAAGTGGCAAACGGCCTGGAAGTGGAGGCTCCACCCGACAGGGGCGTATTTTTTCAGGCTTCAGGTGTATCAAAGGGTAGGGGTTTCACTAGTTTAAGTATACGAAAGGGTAGGGAAATCTGAAATTGCGGGCTAAAAGGGACATTTTATGGCCATAAAAAAGACAAGAAAACTTCCTGGTGGAGTGATGTATTCATATTTACTAACCCTAACCCTTTTTTAGTCAAAAATGGTATATAGAAAGGTAAGGGGTGGAACTCTGGCCCCCCTGGGGGATACACACGCACCCAAGTGAAATTATGCCTGATCACCTACCAGAGTCTACTGCAGTTCAGGATGGCTCATATAACTTGAACTTTGTTAATGAATGAGTAAATAGGAAAAAGAGTCAAAATTTTGAAGCAAATAAAACCATCCAGACATTGTTATCTTATTACTAATTTTGATGTGGAAAATTTTTTGTATTGCTTATTTCAGTTGCTTGCAACAGTAATATTGGGCTGGTTATTCCAGTTGACATGTACTATGTACTTGTAACAATTTGTATTTAATTCTTGCAGCTAAAGGAGGTGGCACGTAAATTTAACAGCTTACCTGAAAGGCAAGCGAAGGTGAATTATTTACTTGCTTCTCAAGAGAAAGCAGAAGCAGCCAAGGTAAAGGTCAACTGATAGCGGTAGAAAGTGAAGCACTGCATTTTAAGGGAGTGGTTTATAACTGTTATACTACTACATGAGAAATTTCTGCAATTTCATTGGTTTTCAGCTTAATTTGAAATACCTACTTGTGAAAATTATAACCCTTGTGCGGGTAGTAGTATAAACAAATAATAGCATTATTTGTACGTGATATTTCAAAATTGTTTCAAATTTCACAAATAACCATTTCAAAATATCACTTGTGGTATTTATGCCAAGTCTCACTAGAAATCATGCTATTACCTATAAAAATTAAAAACAAAATTACTTAATACTAGAGGTTTGCCAGTAACTTGAACTTGGAGAGAAATCAAGAAAAGAAAGCTTTGTCCTTGTGAGAGACTACATAAAATACTAACCACACCACAACACATATTTTGTATGCTGTTTTGTAGATGTAAGAATAGTACTAATATTTATCATCAAAAAACAAATTGTATTTTTTTCTTTGGGCAGGAGGGGGGGGGGGGTGTAATATTAGGAAACAGTTTACATATTGAAATATTATAGTAAGACTCAATAGGCATTTATTAAGTCTTTTTTGCCAGCCTATATTCCTTGCTTAATTATATCAATTTAAGCCTTGCATTTACATCAGTGGTTTACCTTATGTGTTGGCTTTTGCAAGTTGAAAATTTCTACATTTCATAGTTGACTTGCAACATAATGTTCCTTGACTGAGTTGGTAGTTTTTGACTTACATTTGTTTTACTTTAATGCACAGGAAGAAAAGTCCAAGAAAGAAGACACTGTTTACTGCATCTGTCGCACTGCTGACACCAGTCGATTTATGATGTAAGCTGGTATTTGTAATTTACTATTGGTAGGAAATATTACAAGATCAGTTACATTGCTATTCATACTGGATAAATCTTTCCTGACATTTTATTTATTTAAACAGAACATCTTAATCTTACTTACAATGCAGCTATGTATATAACATGGTAATGTAAAGGCTGATTTAGACAGTACAATTTTTGCTTACGACTGTCGTGCGGGACTAGCATACGTCTTGACTTTTGACCATCCACACTTGCACAATTTTCACAACGACATCCACACGTGTGGTATGGATGTCGTGGGTCTAACTTACACGACACGATCTGACATGAAGTCAGGATGTATGCTAGTCTTGCATGATAGCTGTAAGCAAAAATTGTACCATCTAGATAAGCCTTAAGGTAACCCTAACCCTAATTTTATTGAATTTAAGGTGAGGTAGCAAACAAGTATTTTGGCAAGCAAGGTTAACCTCTAGCCAATGCTGCCAGTGCTTTTATCAATCCACACATGTGGCCTGCTGGGTACCCCTCAAGTCCCCTTAAGTTAACAGGGCTTCATTGTATTGTGACATGACTTGGTAGATCACTGTCTTTATGTTTGAATTTTTGCAGGTTCCTTTAATTAATAGGCAATGAATTCAAACTGTCTTTGTTGAATAACAAGTAAAGAGAAAATCATTACAAAATAGTACGCTGATGAAAAGTGCATTGTAGAGGCACAATATTTAAGGGACTGTGTGTATAAGAGGCCTTCCAAGAGGGAAAAGCAACAGGTGACATGGCCCTGAAAATTGACAACAATCCTCTCAGAAAGCACCGACAATAGACAGAACAGGAGGACAGCAACAAACCGTTTTTTAAGTAGTGAAAGTGACATCTGTTCAATTTTGCATTTTGGCTGTTTCAAGAGCCAAATAACAAACTTTCATTCTTTCCAGATGCTATATTTGCCATAAATTACAAATTGAGTTTCACAAAAGTTGATGCCAAACCAACAGAGAAATTTTCATCTGAGCTAAAATGCAGCAGTGACATTTTTTCCTAACCTACCAGGTGACAGGCAGTCTCAGAATATGACTGACAAAGTGACAGCATGACACCCATTGGAAGGCCTCATACTAGTGCATGAAATGGTTTTTCCCTTGAACAAATGTGTACATGATATTGCAGCTGTTGACTTACATTTAATATTTTCTCTTAATTCTTTCATTGTAATCTTCAATGCTTCATGATCTTGAGCAGTGATACCCTTCCCCACTTCTCCGTTTTCTTTCAAATGTTAGTTTAAAAATGGTATTAATGATTTGTTTTACTTTGTTTTGTACAGCTGTTGTGACAAATGTGATGATTGGTTTCATGGCGATTGTATTGGTATTACCAAGCTGGAGGCAAAAGAAATCAAGCAGTTTTACTGCAGGGAGTGCTTAGGTGAGTTACCCACCATGTTCTGGCAGTAAATGTAGAATGAAAATTTTCCTTACCTCTGTACCACAGTCTTGTATCATATTGTAGAAAGTTACTACTATTCAAACCATGATCTAACTTTGACTGAACTTTGACTGTAAAATGTAAATTATTGGACAATAGTTCTTTCCAGATAGTATTATACCGGTGACTAAATCTTCATCATTTAAACTTCTTCCTTTCTTGAACGTTACAATTTTGTGCGTCACTTTTTTCTCTTTTCTTGTACAGAAAGTGATTCAGATCTTTGTATAAAGTACAGAGTAAAGAAACCAAAACCAGAAAAGAAAGATAATATTGTATTAGAGAAGAAAGAAAAACAGCACCTGGTTAAGGATGAAGTAAGTTCATTTTGGTCACAACATGCAGTCTGTGATTTGTAATACATTATAGCTGGACATTGAACTTTATAGCACATGTACACTCAGCCCATTTGTTTTGTTGAGATAACATGACAAGAGCCAGTGCAACTGAATCAGGTTGGACAAATGAAAGCTTGCTTTCTGCCACTATCTTTTGTGCTGATCTTTGATTAATCTGACGACGGTATGGTAAGGTATGGTAAAGTACATTTCGTATTGTATGGTGTAGGATGGTAATTGAGCTTAAAAAGAAACTTGCTGACTTAAAATTGACAGTGTCTGCCTTTGATAATGTTACTTGCCATTTATTGTCAGGTTTTGTTTACTAATGTCATGTCAACTGTTGCCAGTCAGTACTGTAACTGATTTTGATTACAAACACTCAAATGCTTGGTAACTCAGAACTTGCATGATCTTGAGCCAACATTGATTTCCCCTAGGTTTTATAGGCCATTTTCTATATGATTTTCAGTCCTTTGATAACTTGAAAGTGTAATGAGCGCTAATATCAAAGTTTGAATGTCCCTAAATGTGGTGTGCTCTACCAAAACATATCACTCTGTTTGCACTTCTCTTCACAAAGAGATTTCACATCATTTGAGTAAATAATTTTTTACTTCCTATCCCCCTAAAGCTTCAACCTTATGTAATTTCCCTGGAAAGGTTGAGTCTTCAACTATAAAAACTTAAATGTGACATGTACATGCGGAGCACTGATGGTTGGTGTGAATTTTCCCTGTTTGTGCAAATGGCTATTGTTATTTATCAACCCTTTCAAGTGATGAATATTCAAAAATGCGAGTTTCTCGAAACTCAAAACTTCATTCTAGCGTCTCGAGACTCGATTCTCACATCTTGAAACTTGATTAGTTTGAGTTTTGAGATTCGACAATCAAGTGCGATTCTCAAGTCGAGACTGTCAACTTACTTTTGAGGGGTACTGTATGTACTTAGGCAACCTAAGTTTAAGACTGCTGCTTAGTGTAAGACTGACTTTCACATTTACATGTACACAGGTTAGAAGTGTATGTACCAGGTTCAGTGTTGCATTAGATAATTGAATAATGTGCAACATGAATATTCCTAACTTGTGTTTTTGCTACTAAAATAATGAGATAAACTACTGTCACTATAACTACAGGGTGATCGCAAGAGGTCACGAAGGACATGTGGAGAATGTGTAGCTTGTCTTACAACAGAAGACTGTGGCCAATGTGACTTTTGTAAGGTATGGACACTTGTGAGGGACCATTCTATACTTGTAGCTAGTGGAGAAAAAATTCTTCCTGGCCCAAAGTCCAGATTATAGCAGTATGAGCCAAAGGAACTTTATGATTGGCAAAGTTAAAGCAAGAATTGATTTTCATACCATTTGACACTTTTTCTTACAATTTTTTATTTATTTTTGTCTTGTCTACAAACTTACGTCAAAAATTTTCTTGTCATGTGTCCATGAAACAGCAGAGGTGATAGGTTTGAGCAAAGGGTTATTTAGGTGAGGGATGTGTGTTTTGCATGACTTTTTGTGTGTTTGTACAGGACATGAAGAAGTTTGGTGGACCTAATAAAATGAGACAGAAATGTCGCCTGCGTCAGTGCCTTGTCAAATCAAGGGTGAGGATATTCTTCTACGTTGTAAAATTTGATGTTATTTGGAATTTATTCACTGCACCAACACCTTTGGTTTGTAGTGAGGTATTTGTCTTCAGACACATATTTATTCAGATAATTTATGAGTAGTTTAGAACTTTGTAGTTTGGTTAGAAGAAACAAGTCATGATTGCTCATTATTTCTAGGTCCTTTTAAGAGGAGGCACAGTGTACCGCGACATACTTAAGGAAGAAGAGGCAAGAAGGGAAGATCTTGATGTTGAAATAGAGGTAAAGTGTTGATCATTCAACCAGGAGGAGGCAGCATGGCTGAGTGTTTAGAGTGCTGGAATTGCAATCCAGAGGCTCAAAATTAAATCCCGCCCTAGCTGCTAGTTGGATTTTGTTTTGTTCTTAGTAGTCTGGATCACCTCCTCACTTACGCTTGTTTATATCCAACTGGGTTTGCCTTCTGCTTGTTTGGATTCTTAGCCTTGTTATGCTTATTTTCAAAGTATGGTTTATTTGTGGGCCACAATAAAGTCTACTGGGTTACCAGTAATTTAAAGTCAATTTATTTATATCATTTATCAGCTTGTATGCTCTTCTTCTGATGGGCGGATGAGGGATGTGTGGACTTTTTTGTTGTGGTCGTCACATATTATTTTTTGTTACATGTAAAAACAAATACTGGAGAACTTGAAGGTTCTGATCAATGTGTTTGTCTGCTGTGAATCAAATCAAAAGAGAATCAGAAAACTTTATAACCCTGTAAATCTTTTAAACAGAGTGTAACACCAAAGAAGCAAAGAAAAGCAGTGAAGATGAAGCATGCTAAATCTTCTCAGAACAGAAAGGTTTGTTAGCTCTTTCACTGTAACCTGTATGTGTATGAAGAAATCATTTACCGAGTTCAATCAATCAATTAATTGATTTATTTATGTCATGATGTGAGATGGGGTTGCCCAAAAAATCCGAGCTGGAAGCTCATGTATAAAACGCATGACAACAAAAATGATTTTAAAAGATTAAAAATGTATAAAAACAAATAAAAATCAATATATCCTGGAATGTTACGTAATAAATACTCAAAGCGACATCCTCCTGCATCCCACTCATAACACTCACAACATTCACTCATCGGCTATTTTGCTTAGTACAGAATTAATGTAATATGCTAAACCAAGGCTTAACCTGAAGCACAAAATATCTGTTATAGGTGAAAATTAAATTCAGGTTAAATTTTTTAAATCTAGGTTGATTCTTAATTTCCTTTGTCTCCTAGCCCTGATTATTCATGAATAGGGGCAAAGAGACAAAGGAAATTGAGAATCACTTTATATTAGGTTAAAAAATTTTAACCTGGATTAAATTTTGACCTGTAATGTATCCATTTCTTGAAAGGAAAAACAAAGGCAATCAAATGAAAGACCACGTAAGAGAAAGAGAATAATGTCTATTGAAGACAAGATGAGAATGTCTGCTGATTATTCTGAGGAAAGAGATAAGCTGGATGAACTTCCAGGCTGTAGACAGTGCTACGGATCTGGATGCACTAAGACAGCTCGTGTGGGTTCTAAATACTGCAGTGACGAGTGCGGCATTCAGCTAGCTGTCAGGTGCCCAAATTCTACTGCAGTGAATTTTCACTTTGTTACTTAACAAAGTCTATAAATCATTGACTGTGATTTCCTCCCTAACTTAGAGGTTAGAGCACCCAACTGGTTCTGTGGGACACTATCTACTGAATCCAATCAGGGACTATCGGGTGCATTAGTCTGTTGTAATACTCCTCTTAGCTACAAATATAAGGCATTGAGACTTAGGCACAGCCTTTGTTTATGTGGTTGAACAACTACCCTTTAATATTCGTAACTACTGTAGTTATTACACTTGCCTGGACTCCACAAATACATCACCTTGATTTACCATAATTTCCTACCCAAAACTGAGAGCTGTGCCAAAATAACTAGGCAAGGGTCCCCAATAGGTTTCTCAGGATCTGGGATTTAGTTTATTTGAAGGCCAGGTAGAGGAAAAGGGTAGTGAGATTCAGGATTGAAATTAAGAATGGTAGGCCCAGGCTTCTATTTTAGGCTTCCCCGCCACCATCTTTTGCTATATATTTCCTGCAGTATGTATAACCTCTAATGTGACAAAATAAATAAATAAATGAATAAATAAGTAAATAAATGGTATTTGGGATTAAGTGATATCACAATGTGGGATCCAGGAAATTTTGTAATGTAAGCTACATGTAGGAACATGTAGTATTGGGTCAAATTCTGTCAGGGTGTTGATTGTAGTTGAGTATTAATATTATAAGATGGCAAAAGTAATAATATGATCAGGTAAAAGTGCAATGTTTATCAGAGATCATTAGTCAAATAGTTGAAAGAGAGGACAGAGGTTATAATGGGTAAAATACTGATGAAAAGAAGTCAACTGGCTGCAAGGGACAGGATAGATAATTAATGCTTGTTATTTAACAGACGTATTCAAGAGATTTTGCCACAGCGCGTGGCAGAGTGGAAAAAAACTCCAAGTGTTGCTGATCTTAAGGCTGAAGAAACTCTGAAGGAATTATCTAAAAAGAAGCAGGTACTGTTAACTTGATTTTGTTCAGTATTCAAACTCTAAAACTAAGTTGCAAAATTTAATATGTGGATTTAGCCAAGCCTAAAAGAATAGTTCGGCCTATGCTAACTGTTTATTTTTTAGCTATTTATATTCTTTAACAGTTCGCTGAATATTTTTTCAATTACACACATTATTCAATTTGTTATCACCCAGCTGGCAGAGAAAAAAGCTATAAGACACCTGCTAGTGCAGTATTCTTTTTCGATTTTTTTTAGGAAGCTCAGGATAAGTTGTTAGAACTTGACAGGCTGAGCAATGAACTTGAAGCTTTTGTAGAAAAGACCAAAAATGCTACTATTGAAGAAACAGAGGTAAAACTCAACTTTGTTACATTAATAATTTTTTTATTGATTTAATGTAACAGTTCTGTTCTTCCTTTTCACTTTATAAGGTTATAACCCTAAGTCCCTATGCAATAATATTTACTGGTGATTTTTACTGTTTAACAAAGGTCCACAAAAAGACTTTGCTGTTGTATAAAATAATAATATATTAATCAGAATATAAAGACAATTGATTACATAGACAGGGTGCAAAGAAAGTCATTTTTACAGCTTGCCATTTGGGCAAGCTGAATCCATGTACAGCTGTCTGCTTACAAGAGAGTGTCTATTTATAAAGGCTTCTACTGTCTTTGACTTGACATTTTTGCATGACTAACTGACAAATTCTAAACCATTGGCTTGAATTTGACAAACCAAACTGGCACTAACGAGCCATACTAGTTTAAGTGTGCTTGATCTATCAGTGTGCAAAGAAAGTAGTGTCCGATAGCCTGGGGCTAATGGATTTTGCTATCAGGCTAGTGAATTCTGTTCTTAACTTGCCCGAAGGGCAAGTGAAGTATTTTGAGGAATTCAACTTACAAAAGAACAGTGAAATCAATTCTGCTCATCAAAAAATTGGGGGACTAGTTAAAATGAGGTTTGGGCTAGTAAATGCTAGCTACTAGCCCCATTTGCACCCACGTGTAGACTCTGTATTACTTATATAAATACATGTACCATTCATTGCTACACCCATAGGCAGTAAAATTGAGCAATGATTCATATTTTCTGTAGCAGTGTTCTTATTGTAAGCAGTGCAAGCTCCAATAAGCAACCTCATACCGTAAAATTCCGAAAATAAGCCCCAGAGCTTATATTTTTCAAAGGCCCTTTTTGAGGGGCCTATTTTTGGAGGGGCTTATATTCGGAGGGGCTTATCCACGGAGGGAAATTTGCATTTCAAAATCGATTGGGCTAGCCGTATAGCTGGAAGTAAATTTACCGTTTTTACTTTGTTTTACTTTGCATTTGAGAGCAATTTTCCAAGTACAAGCCCCCGGGAGGCTTATATTTGGAGGGGGATTTAACGGAGGGTTTTTTGCGTTACCGGATTGGGGGGGTTATATTTGGAGGGGCTTATTTTCGGAATTTTACGGTATCCCATATGCTGCTAACAGTAATGGTTGCTTATAAGAGTCATTCCTGTTACCGCCCAGCTCTAGTTACAGACACTTTTGCTGATTGAGGAGGTTGTCTGCTTACGGGAGCTTTTGACTGCATAAATAAAACCAATAATTACTTTATCTGTTCCTTCATTAACAATAATTTAACTATGAACTGCATTGTGTTAGGCACAGGATAGTGAAGCAGATGCTGACACAGATCTTCAGATACACTGCATCACCTGTGGTCTGCCACTAGCCCCTAAAGTGGCCCTTAGACACATGGAGAAGTGCTTCATGAAGGTACGTGAAGTAAAAGTTAAGCTTTGTTAGCCTTTGAGGTAGCTCTTTTGGAGGAACTAACCTCCTGTTTCCATGAGAAATCTTGCTCATATGTGGAAGTTGTATGTAGCAGTATAGCTCTTAATAAAGAGGTTTGATTGTTTCCTTTAACCCATTCGCTCCTGGAGATTTTGCCCAAAAACGCGTTTTGAGGCTAGTCGAGTGGTTTTCTGGTCACTGTCGTGCTATACAGAGCTAAAACTTACCACAAACCGGTTTACAGGTTGTACACTTGGCGGCCTTCTGATCCAGATGCAAAATATCAGCTTGCGAAGTTCGGGCATGCGCAGAAAGCAAAATTTCGACATAGTTTTTGGGTTTAAAAGTGACACAGCAGTCAGTTTTACTTTTCGCTTTCTCTCCTCCCTCTTTTTTCGCTTTTCTTGCCTCATTTTTTTTTTTCTCTTGCTGGGCATTTAGTAGGCTTCATTTTGGTGGGAAGAGTTTTTAGGAAAGCTTTTTAGGATCTTAGGATTAGGTGAAAGGAAAGGTAGGTGGGTAATGGAACAAGATTTTCATAGAGATTTTCAGGTCCTTGTCACGTGTTTTTTGCTTCTTTCTCCGGTGTCCTTGACTGAATTGTGCTCATTCTGGTATGGTTTGAAAGATCTCTTCACTCTGCACAAGTTAGCGAAGAAAGTTGTCCTTGACCGTTAAAACTGATGACGTCACAAAGGGTAGAAAGGACCTGGATCCGCACGGGCGGTTACGGGCGGTTCAGGGGCGAATGGTTAAAGAAAATATTCCAAACCTAACAAAAGCACTTGCACCTTTAAATTCCCACCTCCAGGTATACATGTACATGCTAAGGGTGTTATAGTCCAGTGAAAATCAGGAGTGTTCTGTCATTCAGTGTATTAGGAGAGTACTTTAAAAAATCTCAATAGTATGAATATTAATGTATATATAAAATTTTGTTTATGGCTGGCCCCATGAGCTGGCAAGAAGAGGCCAATCCTTTGTTTTGGTTGGCTTGGCCAGTGGACGATATAGGTCTGTCTTGCCTGCTCGCGATAACTCACTTTCTCCTGCAAGAAAAGATTTTGCCTTGATCATATAATAAATCGTTTTTTAACCAAGCTTGTTTGGGTCAATATAGCTCCATATTGGCTATGTTCTATCTGACCTTGACCCCATCTCAGTCTATAAGATGACCCTCTTGCTTTTATTGCTGCTCAAGGCACATAGAAACTTTGTGAAGGTTTAAAGCTTTTGGAAATTTTTTGTTTCCTTTTCGTTTCCTGCAGAATGAAAGTTTGACGACATTTGGGTCCATCTACAAAAGTGCTGGGTAGGTTATGTCATTGCTGTTGTTTTTCTTTTTTTGACAAGGAGTTAGTGCACCAACTTAGATCTACGATTTTAGTACAGTTATTCTCCACATGAAAATAAATTGTTGGTAGTCCTCATTCTTGCTGGGAATGCTCCTGTCAGTTAGGGTTGAAGTGTGTGGGGCTGCCAGTTAAGGATGGGGTGGGTGGGGTGCATGCCAACTCTAGAATTTGGTCGAGTCACGTAAAAATGAGGGGGAAAATGGAGGTGCGGACGACTCAAAAGTTCCCCTCCCCTTTTTGTTCTTTTATCCTGACTCCCTCTCCCACTGACTGCAAGTTTTACTCAACTCGATTCTTTGTAGCTGTCACAAACAGATACACATACTGTGTGATAATCTTCAAATTACAATTAACCCTTTAATTTTTCTCAGGAAGCTCTTCTGTGATTACTACAACTCACAACAAAAAATCTACTGTAAAAGACTGCGAGTTCTGTGCCCTGAACACACAAAGGACCCAAAGGTATATTCTAGTTAGTTTTACCGTGGTTTACCTGAACAGAGTAAGGTAGAGTGGAACTCTTGCATCCCAAATATGAAAAAACATAAGTGTACTTTCTTGAATGCATTTCATGTAATGTGCTTGCTAAAGAGGAGGGAGGGTAAGTTGCTTCAAGTGATAGAAACTTCTACTACTGTTTATACAGTAAAACACAATATTATTCAGTAGGCACAAAGTGTTGCTGTTTTGTTCATCACATATTATCTCTTTGTTTTAACAGATATCTCCCACTGATGTGTGTGGTTGCCCCTTAGTTACCAACGTCTTTGAAGAAACTGGGGATTTCTGTCGGGCTTCCAAACGAACTTGTTTAAAACATTACTGCTGGGAAAAACTTCGACGAGCGGAGATTGATCTTCAAAGAATTCAACAGGTGAGGTTGTGTGTTTGTGATTATGGCGTATTTAATAGGTCAGTGGGGGGGGGGTACTCACCGAAGTTTTATACGGGGAGTCTCCGCCCTGAGGTCCACACCCTTTTATGAAACATTTTGGACAGAAAAGTACCCTGGGTGCCAGAGACTTTTCTAGCGCGGTTTCCGGTTTCTGTGCTTCGCCGCTCGTGGCTTCGGCCTTCGGCTAACACCGAAAATTTCCGCCGCAAGCGAGAAAACCCTCTGGTACTCAGAAAAGGTACCTGTATCGTTGTTAACCTTAGCTCTACTGACAGATAGTGCCCCTTTGACATACCTGGTTTAGAACAGTAATACATTCCTTTATCTTCTTTAAATGCTCGTTCTTTTGATGTGAATAAATCACTAAACTAGAAAATCTACTTCTCTCTTTCACATCCATAAAATGCATCTGTTAGCTCTTTTTGGTCCTTTTACAGATCGAAATGACAGATTCCCCTCCTCTTTCATATATTTCAACCAATAAAATCCTTACTCTTTTATATACCTGAAGCCTGAAAAAGGTACCCCTTTGGGGGGGAGCATCCTCGTATAGGCTTTAAATGAAGCACCCCCTGGTTAATAGCTTTAAAAAAAGTTGAAATGTCGATTTTGTTCATTGGATAAAGAAAAACAACCTTTTCAGAGTTTTCTAGTAGGAGCAGTATTGTAGAATGCATTAGACTTCTTAATTCAGTCTCTACATTGTCATGCCAAAGGGTGGATTTCCACTGTCGCGTAATTATCACGTGCGTACGCGCGTAAATAAAAATAGAGGCGATGTATGAAAGGTCTCGGGCAAACGTAAAAGCTGAGTGAGGTTCAAGTTTTACGTTTACGCGCGACCTTCCGTTCAATGTCTCTTTTATTTACGCGCATAATGTAAGGTCGCGCGTACACGTAAAAGTTGAACCTCGATCAACTCTTACTTTACGCGAAGCCTATCATAAATTGCCTCTAATTTATATATGCGCGTAAAATTTACGTGCGTGTCGCGTAAAAATTACGCAACAATGGAAATCCACCCTTAGGAAGCAACATTATAATGTATAGAGTAAAGATCTTTTACGGATCACAGTAAGGATTACCATGTAAGTGTCCGGATGGATATGACAAGTAGCCCCCGCTGGTTTTACTTGCTCCTATTATATATTTCATTTTTGTAGTGGCTCAAACTCGAAGAAGCGTTCGAACAGGAGAGATCCTTGAGGTACAGTGCAGCTCAGAGAGGTGGTGTGTTAGGACTCCTATTGCACCAGACGATAAGCCATGAGTAGCCTCCACTCTCTCCTGTCGTTCCTGTTACGTACCGGCGGATGACCTGTGCTTGTGGATTACGCCTTCCTCGAGGGGCGCAGCTAGAGGAGAATCCTGGGGTGCCTGTGACCTCTCCACCTGCGACCTTTAGAAGAGACATATCTAATCTCTTCCCCAAAACGCCAGAAAATCGATAAAGCACAGTCCACGTTAAAAACTTGAAATTTGCGGTTTTTGAATGACGGTATCTATGCATGTATTTTGCGGACGTATCCCATCCCCCTCCCCATCACACACACAAACGCGCTCACTGTACAAGCTAAAAATTTCACTTTTTTAATCAGTTATGGATCGTTGTCGACGTGACAATCTGCTAGGTGTAGGGTGTGACACAGTGTGAATCCTCCCCCTGCCCCCTCCCCACTTAAATGCTCGTTACGCTCTTGTTCTCTCCTTTTCAGAGAGGAAAGCATTCCAGGTTTTACGTCCCTTGTAATTTTTGTATAAAATTAAGAATAAAGTAATTATTTTGCCAATGTCCTTTTTTTTGTTTGTTTCGGTGAAAGCTAGTTACAATTATAACATTTTTTTTTTATTTTGCCAACCTTTAAGTCGACCCGCTTTGTGGCCTGCTATAAAGCAGGTGTATTTTGCGGCGCGGTGCATGATTTTTTTTCGGGAGTAATGCTATCCCGCCATCGTGGACGTTAATACTACCAGAGAGTTGGCGCGTGTCAAAAACTGACTTCAAGTGAGAGGTTGAAGATGGCGGCGGCGATCAATGTACCTCTGAGGTTCCGTTGAAAAAACGCACTTGTACTTGGTGAGAAGTTTTTAATGAACTCGTTAAAAAATGCAGTAAAGGACACTGCCCGCAATTCTAAAACCTATTTCACTTTCAACAGTTCCGTAAAGTGACAAAGTGGGGATCGCGAAAGTAACATTTGTCCAAAAGTGACAAACATTGGGTCTATAATTGGCCACAGAATAGTTCATAATAGGGTAGGCCGGTAGGGGTTTTAAGCTCGGAAGACCGGCAGCACAATGATACCCAGCAAAAATTGAACCAAGTACCCACCCCCTCCCTACGGGCGGATGGGTGAAAAGGACACTGCTGTCTATATATAAAATTGCTCTTGTTTTAATTGATGTTTGCTCTTGTTTTTTTAAAGTTCTAAGATTCGTTGAAGTGGTTAAATTTAGAGCCAATTATTTGTTTTAGTGGCTCTTATCACTTGTCACTTGGCGTGGGAAGACCATTAGAGATGCGCGGGATATGGAATCTAATCAAACTATGTAAATAAGATATGATAATCTGTATATTAATGAGAATTGTTCAAGTGGTAACCTAAGTTGATGTCGTATCAGACTCTGATCGTACGAAAGGCAAGGCTTACTTAAGAACAGGTAAGATACTTGAGCAGAACAATGTGTTGAACGATCATATAGAATTCCTGTTAGACGTTGCTTAGTTATCAATCTGTATGGTTTGAATAATGCTTCACGAACAGCCAGCTAGCAACCCTACGAAGACTCTACGCATAATTCATTAATTGCAAAAGATTGCTTTATTGACTCAAACGCGGATTTGTCATTCTAGTTCCCAGATTTCTGTAGTGTCATTTACGCCACTTGTTTAAGTGGAAAGCTTCTCTCGTGATCTCTCATAATATATTTTAGTTGGCTAACCTAACCTTTTTTATCTGCGCCTTGTTCGTCTTTCATGGCCACGCAGCCGTTGCGTGACAAAAGAAGATTCTCAGACTCCAGTCAATACCACAGGTAACCCAGGCTCTGTGATAGTACCACAGTACGTTCCAGTAAAATTACAGTGTTTGTATGGGGTAAAAATATCATCCTAAAATTTCTAGGAAATACTAAATAAAGATCAATGAAACTTACTCTGCAGTTAATTGTTGTTGTCCTTATTGCTCCAACGAAGTTTCGTGATAATTTGCAGTAATTTGTTCAAATTCACTCTATCTACAATAATAATATACAAGGTACGAAGGAGATGGGTAGCCTGCGGGGTTAGTATATGGCGATAGGGGGGAACACTCCCCTCTTTCCCCTTCGTGTGCGCGCGTCCTCGAAAATCATCTCTTCGCCCTAACAAAATCACCGCCTACCACACAGGCTTGGCGAGGGACGGAGCGTATGGTGCCTTAAAGCTTCGTTGGGCCTTCTCCTACTCGTCCTCTTTCGCTCCGGGGATCGAGTAAAGGAGGGCCTGGAAACGAGGTTGAGTTGAGTCTACGTGTGTACGTGGAATGAAAACAGCCAGTGTAGCTTACAGTGTAGCAGACAAGGGGCAAGGAAAAAGGGAAGATTGGGGAGAGAAATCGAAGATGAGGGAAGTGAGTGCCGGATCGTCCGGGTTGGTGTATTCCTGAATAGGAATGTCGATAACCGTGTCTGGCGTTTCAACATGTGCGGTAGTGATATGAAGTCAGTCACTGCTGGGTTACACCCAGCGCCTGGAACGATCCGCCATGGCTTACTTATGACACGACTCCTTTTTTCAAACCATTCACTGTGTCATGTCACGCCTTAATCTTGTGAACCATTATTGACTTTATTGGACGTTTTTGAATTTTCCAGTTCCAATGAGCAGTAAAAAGTTCCCAATTTTTCAAGAACGTGAAGGCGAATGGACGTCACCAAGCACATTCTTAATTCAAGGAGTTCCGATTCTCCAATTTTTCACCCCAGATCCAGCAGTCCTGTACAGTTACATAGTAAATTTTGAGACGAGAGCAGAAGATGTTTTTGTTGTAAGTTATCCTAAGTCAGGTATGCAAAATTATTTTTTTAGAAAAGAGACAAGCCCCCTTTCATTCTCTAAGGGAAAAGCCGTTGAGGCCGACGAGGTTGCCAAGGAAGTCGGGAAGAAGAGTGGGAAGTGGGGGGAGCGGGGGCTACTCCTTTAAATGTAGGAGGGGTGTGGCAAGGGTTAGACCAAGGAAGGTTTTCAAAATCAAAAATTGACACCCTTTGTATTGCCCGTGTCATGGCGTTTTCAGCGGCCAGTTTATTTTTAGAACGATTTAATAATGATAATAATAATAATAATACATAATACATAATAATAATAATGGATTTATTTAACATTTCCACTAGGTGGCTCTTTATCTGCTAAAAAAAAATAACATTTGTAATATAAAAATTTAAAAGCGGTAAGATAAGTAAGCATTGTATATTGAGGTAAAATGTTACAGCTTTTATCAGCTTGATGTTGATAGATGTGTGACACTAGTGGGATTTCAAGCTGCGTGGCTGCACTAGACCTAAGAGTTCAATTGGCCTTTCGTGAGAAAAAATCGCCATTGGGAACTGACTTCAGCAGCTGCCATTCAAAATGTTCTCTAACAGGTAACCAGTTAAGCTTTATGATATCCTCTCTTTCAACCAGTTTGCCTACAATAAAGCACTTACGTGCTGTTTAAATTCTTTGGAGGCGTTAAACAATGTGATGTGGTAAATTATGATAGATAAGACAATTATAATACAACTTGGAGAGAACTAGGGCGAAAAAATTCCTCGATTTCTTTAGGATTGCAAGAGTGCGATAGCAAAATGCTGAGACTTGCTTAACACTTTCTTCCCCTTCAAGATGGTGGTCAATCAGGGGTCCCTAAAAGTTTTTGACGCATAGTTAGAATATCTTTTAAGTCATCGCTCCGTGAAAACGCCGGTACATCCGTGACACAAGCTTGCAAAAGTTCGGTTTTTTATCAAGCTTACTAAATACTTGGGGTCAATACCCGAAGTGGTCATAAGAAGATTTAAACGTAAGACGGACTGTCTTAGCTCTGGTGAACTCTAGCTATCGAAACGTCAACTTTTGATTATTTTCACGGTGGCAAATTAACGTTAACAACTCACTTGATAAAACCATATGCCCCAGGCCCCCACTAACGCAGTACCACAGGTTCTTTTGAAACCTATCCCTTGATTTTAGCAGTACACAGTTAGATGGGATTAGTTAGATAGCTAGTTGCCATCTTTTCTGTTGTTGTTGTTCAGTTCCTTCGACATGGCTTATCTTTCCTTTTAAGGGACAACCGGGTTGCAGGAAATATTTTGGCAACTTTTTAATAACGGTGAAAAGAGTTCAAGAAAGATTTTCGAAAGAGTTCCATTTTTAGAACGTGCAACTAGCCCGGATCGACCAGACATCCGGGCTCTCCCCAGTCCACGCCTTCTTCATAGCCATCTAACATATGACGTCATACCTAAAGGAAATCAGACTGCTACAATCTGCAAGTATATTTATATTGCACGAAATCCAAAGGATGTTGCAGTATCGTTTTATGAATTTATGAAAGACCATGGTTCAGAGGCAGGATATAATGGTCCCTGGGAGTTCTTTGCAAAGCTGTTTATGGAAGGAAAAGGTGAGGTTTAATACCAGACTGTTCATGCTCGAAGTAAACCCCCTCCTTTAATATATTGTGTTGTTACTGTTTCATGTGTAAAAATCTATAGAAACTGATAGGCAAGAAAAAAGGCAATATGCACCAGCAACGAGTGTGTAATTTTCTCTTGTTTGTTCACGAGCAGAATTTTGCAAGGATATTGCTATCCTTCATCTATATAACACTGCCCATTATAGAGTAATTTCTCTTTCTTCAGCGCAGCTTGCAGTGAATTGTTCATCATAGTTTCCACCTTGTTGTCATCACTGTTGTTTAATCACCAAGGTGAAAAAAGGAACTCAGACAAACTGTTTTTTTGTGTGTGTAGTGTCCTATGGTCGGTGGAATGATCACGTGATTGGCTGGTGGAAACATGCGGATGATCCCAATGTTTTATTTCTGAGATTTGAAGACTTAAAGAAGGTGAGAAGTGTTTGTAGATGATTCTTTCCTATTTCAGCTCAGTTTAGTTTCTTTACGGGTAGAGAATTAGTACGCGCTACCATATAATTAGTGACAAGTTTACATTGTAGATTAGCATATATTCTGTAAACCGCTTTTGTTATCCTATCTTAAGAAGTTCGTTTGTTGGTTTTAGCACAAAATAATGCAATGTGCAGTATCCCTTTGATATGCGTAAAAACTCAACAGAGATAAAGATGGAGATGCTACGCCTAAACTTGTAACCTATCTATAAAAGTTTAAGTCAGTTGCATTACTTAAGTCAAACTTTAGTTTTGCTTTTGGAAGCAGCTCACCCCAGTAAGATCGGGATGGTTATTGACTGATCAATTGTTTAATTTTTGACCTGCAGGACTTGTCACGCCAAGTTCGGATAATTGCCGAGTTTCTTGAAAAACCAGTAACAGAGGACGTCATAAACAGAATAGCTGAGCAGTGTACCTTTAAAGGAATGATGATGAATGCCTCAAACTACTGGTTAGGTGACAGTGCAGAAGGACCTAAACTGTTACGTAAAGGAGAGATTGGCGACTGGAAAAATTACTTTACCTCAGATCTGAACGAAAAGTTTGAAAACGAGGTTATGAACAAGATTAAAGGAACTGGGCTGGTATTTGATTTTGGAGTTGACTTTCAAAATTCTTGCGATTGTGCGAAATAGTTTTGTAACGATGGTCAGTGCAACAGTGGATATGTAAACAAACAAAGTTCTTTAGATATACCTATTTGAATGCCACAAAGCAAATCTGTGTTATCAGTTAAAATAAAACACTGTGCCGCACAACTCCGACACTACTCATTTGTACAAATTTAGTTATAGCACAAGGTTCTTTATTAAAAGTAACAATAATGTTTTTCAAGCTGTTTCTCGAAGTATTTCTGAGTCTCTTTTCACACTCCCAGCCAGTTGAAACCAAGTTGTACTATATATTTCAACATTAACAAATCTGAGTTTTACCAGTTCTACCAGACGGCAATACCTTTATTCCAATTTTGTCTTTGATCCCACCAAACTCCGCACCGTTACTGATGTAAGTATGCTGCCGTCCTACCCTGGAAATACAGTAATTTTTTAGCCTTTTTACCTGGCCTACTACTTAGGTGAGTTTATTATAATTTGTATCATTTTTTGAACTGGTAGTTGGCGTTTGAAGGGAAAGGGGGAACAAAGGTGACGAGAGCGCTTGCGCGCCCTTTTGTGCACTCGTATGCCCCGTTTGTGTACTCGCGCACCCTTTGCGTACTCGCGTGCCCCATTTGTGTATCCTCGCGCCCTACTCGAGCGCCTTTTAGACTCGATTTCCCTTTGTGTACTCGCGTGCCCTTTATGTACTCGTATGTCCTTTGTGTGATCGCGCGTTCTTTGTGTACTCACGCGCCCTTTTGCGTACTCCCACGCCCCGTTTGTGTACTCACGCACCCATTTTGTACTCGCGTACCCTTTGTGTATTCTTGCGCCCTTTATGTACTCACATGCCTTTTATTTTCTCGCCTGTCCTCTATTTATTTGGCGCCCTTTAAGAATCGAGTGCCCGTTGTGTACTCGCGCCCTTAGTATACTCGCGCGCCCTTTATGAACTCATAGGTCCTTTAGGTACTCGCGCGTCCTTTACTTACAAACGCGTCCTTGGTGTACTCGCGCGCCCTTTGAGAGCTCGCGTACCTTTTATGTACTCGCACACCCTCTATATTCACGAGTGCCTTTATTTTCCCTATTCCTTCGTGTGAAACGCCTGCCACGGGGTAAGATCATATCACAGTGCAGTCCGGCTGATCGGCAATCATGTGGATATCTTTTGAGAGATTTCTTTGGTAAACAATCCGCCTAGTACGGTGAGAAATCAAATGTTATAACATAGCGCGCACTTGCCCTATATAAGTCCCATTGAGCCGCTATGAAAAAAATCTTTATTTGCGCACGCCAGTCTTGTCATAGGAAGAAAGCTGGCCACCCACTAGCCCACCCTGTGTACTGTTTTTGTAGCTGTTGGTCATCCACAAACTAAGTTACATTAAGTTTTCCCGGAGTTACAAGATGCATTGATAATGAGGGTCAAGGGGAAATCGATAAAAATTTAACTTGTTTTATCGTAATTGCTCCTGTGTGCACTGGGTGTTGTCCCAATATGATCACAGTCGAGCTTTGTATTCATATGTAGTTTTTCAGACGTGATTGGATAAACCTTCGACACCTACGACATGGTTTGAATTGATCGATAAATTATGAAACTTATTAACACCCGGCTCTACAATGGGTTGGTAACACATTTAGTAATAAAAGAATAAGAGCTAAATAAGCGTTGCTTATACAAAAGTAGTGTAGTCCTAAACAAGTTGTAGAAAAACTAAGAAAAGGATCCCTGACATAAGACAAGTGTGTTTATAAACCTTAAGTTTAATTTTTTCACGACAGACCTATCAAGACACTTTCAAAAATGGAATCAGGTAAGGTTAAAAACCACTTGAAAACTAGAAAGCTTTAAAACCGGTCGAATTATGAAAATTGACGATTAACAAACTATTTTGAATGATCGAAGGAAAGACAGTTGAGTATATCTTAACCAAGGAATGAAAATGTATGGGAAAAGTATTAACCTTGGAAATGATTGAAGTTTTAAAAAAACCGTTTGGTCAAAAAATAATGAAAAGATATAAGCTCTTTTTTTTCTTCAGTTTTCTCGAAATTTCCAAAAGAAAATTTAAAATCCAGGAGATATTCGGAGGAATTTAATTTATTGTTGAACCCCTAAGAAAATTTCGATGAAGCTGGTACAATTTATAGATACGAGAATTATGGTAAATGAGAATTTCATTTTAATTATTCAGCTCTTTAATAATCCAAACAAAACATAAAAACAGAAACACCTACGGGGCAATAATAATAAGAAAATATCACACGGTATAAACTTGTCAGGTCCTGCGTCTCAACAAAGTCAATAAGATGCATATTTTACAGCAGTTTTAGTAGAAACTGTGCTTCTGGGTAGGTAGGGAAGTGAATTACAAAAGTTTGTTTTTAATTATTCAGCTGGGTCGACAAGATGAATTTACCACCGAAATAATTCAGGCTGTTGGCCATGGTTTTATATTGAGCTTTGGTCTTTCCTTAATGAGTTGTGTGAAGTTTAAATACTTGCCATTACTTGTCTACTGGTGAAGCGGTGTTACTGCTGGAGATTGGTAACCGAAAAACCGAGAATAAATTAGTTAGAAAAAATTCCTTGTTTCGTTGGCCAACTTACTTTAACAGTAAATTAAGGTAGTCTTTCCGTTCAGTGCAACCTTTCCTAAGCTTATTTCGTAAAAAATTCTTCACCCGATTCTCAAGTGAATAATGTCACCGGCAGTCCATTGATTGCGAATACCTCCCTTGAAGCAGGTGATCGCGGGTGGCTGTCGCATCTCGCTAAGACGCGTGTGGGGATGGGCGATCGAGAGAGGATATTATGCATGGTAAATCTAATCTATAATGAATTGCGGATATTTTCAGTATTAAAAGATTCAGATGAACAAGAAGCGCAGGATTATCCTTATCAAAATGAAGGTGATTGTGAGATTGAAAGTGCTAGGTCATCAGCAGATACGGTCCTGGACACCACCCTAGAGGACAAGCAAGGTAACTTTAGTATTGGCTAGCGCCCGCCCGAGTCTGTTCTTTCTCATGCAAAAGCTAAACATATGAGTTTCAGTACGCAGGTCTGGTTGCTAAGTGGAGACAACTCAAATACCAGCATTTCTCAAATTTATGTAAAAACACTAGGCCGACAAATTCAGCGACACTTTTCCAATTCGATGAAATGTCTTCGCTTTGGCATCAAGATTTTCAGTATTTTCTCGTCCATGATAGATAGCATGTTTTTATGGTAGATAGCTGAGTGGTGACTTTTTAATAACAATGTTCAGCTTAAATACCACTTTTTCTAGAGTTGTGAGGTTTTTCTCTCAGTTACTAAACATTCCGACTAATTAAATACCCATTGCTGCTTGTCGATGGTTTATTTTTGGTCAATAACATACAGTACGGTACCTCGGCTGAAGTTTTTTCTGTGTTTGCCTGCCATACTTCAGGGGCACCCAACGGGAAATTTTGAGAAAAAGACCTAGAAACAACAACAAAGCGTGAATAAAGTTTTCTGAGACTATTTTAAGCATTTTGGGAGATTGCTGGAAAAAAATTATCTGTTCCTCACTCCCAGCAAGACTGATGGAAGAGTTCCCAGACAGCAAACTTACAACCTGCAACCTGACTTACTGGGAAGTTTCATAGCGTACAATTCAGATCTTGAGTGGTAAGTAACCCATACAAGTAACCCGTAGCAGCTATTCTAGACTTCAAATCCCCTCTGACACCCTGAATTATATTTTTCCCAGCAACACTTTCCTTCCAGGGACTATTATTTCTTCCACATCTCCCAGCCAGCAAAAATGTGCCTGAAGAACAGATATTTTGAGGAACAGATCCATTGGGTGCCCCTGATACTTGCAGCCGGAGAAGAGCAAACGCAGTTGCCCGCGCCCTGTTCCCTCTCTCCAGCTAAAGACACGCAAGCTACTTTATTGTCTCCGTTTCAGCCAAGGTAAAGAACGGTAAAAAACAACTACTGGTGCAAGATTCCCGCCGAGCGACTGGTGATCCTGGCACGGAGGACGAAAGCAAAAGCGAAAGGGAAATAAAAACCGCATCGACGTCGATAAAGCCTTCAACTAGCCAAACTTTATTAGAGGAAAAGTCAGGTTTGTGAAAATACATAAGCCGAATCGTTAAGAAGGCGAAAAATATTTTTAATATTCTTAACTTTGATTTGCTTGGTCTGTTCACTGATAACCCCTTTTTCTCACGCAGCTGAAGTGGACTCCGAAAGCCATCTTGCCTCATCACCACTCAGTCAATCTGTTACGAGCAAGACATCCCACAAAAAAACTTCTTCACAAGTCAGCTTTTTCTCACGAACGACGAAAGGTAAATTTCAAAGGTTTTTTTGTTGAGTCCATAAAACTGAAGATGATGAGTTACATAGCTCCTAAACAATTTATCCTCTCTTGCTCTTAGAGGACGAGCTCCCCTAAAAATGCCTGCTTGGGAGGCTATAACCTGCGTAGCAGGCGCTTGGAAGTAGTGAGCGCAAGAAAAAACGGGCGCACGAGAAGGAGACACGCAACCCCTCGCGTGTCTCCCTCGCGCGCGCCCGTTCTCTCTTGCGCCCACCACTTCTACGCAGGCTATTACACGGAGACAAGCAACAAGATACTACAGCCTCGGGAACCTCAGGTTTTCTAGTTCCCGTGATTGGATGTATTTCACGGCATGTAATGAATGTTTATATGTTATTTTTGCAACATAAATGTAGAAGTTTTAAAACATTTAGGTCCAAAGTTATATGTTTCCAAATATTTCTTGAATACTAAGTCCTCGAGATATTCCTTGAAATATTTGAGTTCATTTACAATACTAAGGAAGTTAATTCCTTGACGTGAATAATTGGAATAATTATTTTATCAGCTGATACAAATTAATAATAGCCTAGAACGAAAACAGCTTCTTTTCAATTTCTAACCAAAGTTTGGCTTTCAGTTATCAAAACGGAGAACACAAAGATTACTTTTGCATTGTTTGGTGATTGTGTTTTGTTATCTTGTCATTAATAATGTATTCACTTCGGCCTGTTGGATATTTAAAGATTAAATAAATCCTGCGGACTCTGGCAGTTATGCAGTAACTTATGCTATGTTTCAAAAGCAGCAACCTCTCCACTTAAAGTTTTTCCCGAAAGAGAAAAATAAGATTATATAAACCCACTAAGTTAAAACAAAATTGGAGATCAGACGACATTTTGGCGGAGGTAAGGCAGTTTTAAATTAAAAATAAAATAGCCTTGAATTTTTAGCAAATCCCTTTATGTTACTTGAATAAGCAAAAAATCTACCAGGTTTTTTCGCGATCCAAAGATATTAATTTAATAACAAAGAGGATAATGGCGGTAGACCGGTTCGGTTGGGTAAAAAACCTTTGGGGATAATAATGTTAAACCAAAAGGCAATTTACTAGGCTCTTAGCAACGGAACTTTGATATTTTGATAACATTCTTGGCAGTAATGTTATGACTTTTATCAGTGCTCAGTTTACTACACTGACATGTGGTATTTTTAATAAGTATTACTGGGGCAAACTACTGCTACAGCATTAAAATGATTCCGTATTTTTGTTAAAAGCCTACAAAGTAAATTTCTCTCCCTAATCAGATTGTTTGTGGTTTGATTTCTCAGCTCATTAATGTTTCATAATTTTAATTCTACCCTGAATGATTTGGTCTCGACGTAAGATGTTACAAACATTTAATTCCTTCACCGCAAATGACCATTTTGTAGATTGTTTTGTGTCCTATCCCAGAAAGATGAGTCGACTGACCCAGGTGATTCATGAGCACATGCCAAAATGGTGGACAAAGTGATTTTCAAGTTCAGTCTTACCTTGATTGTTCTTAACTAAATTTAAAACATTTTTCCTACACCGATATTCGGCCAGTGAAGTTGACTTCATTATTTTCTAGTCATATCCTGTTCGCATTTTTGTTTAATTTTTGCCGCTTATGAGCAGAAAAGGGTGCAAATTGGTAGCGAAAGAGAATCTATTGAACAAGGATTTATTGCGATTTGCCTCCCATTGTTTTAGGTGAAAAGAAAGTAAAGTGTAAGGACTTCTATTTACTACCTCGGAGGTGGAATAAGAAACAGCAACCAGCAATGGATCGCCTTTTATACGAGATTGCTTTACGCACCCAGCACAAAGCTACAGCCATGGACATTGAAGCCAGGAAGTTGGGTAACACTGTTGACAGATTAAGGGACGAAAACAGAGCGCTGAAAAGACTTCAGAGATCACAAAAGAGGGAGATAAATGAAAGACACGACTTTGTAGATATGGCAAATCTATCACTGAAAGGATTTCGCAAAGATGTGAGATTTAGCGAAGAAAACTGTGTTGATGCCCATACCATGTACAGGTGAGACTACCTTACGAAACCATGACGTCATTTGGGTGGACGCTTTTTTTTAAAAAAAGTGTCCTAATGTTTACAGTACAGACAGGCCAATATACGTGATATAGATAGAATTCGAATTAACCTTTCTTCAGAAGTAGTTCTTTTCATCACTGGAAACGAAAATTTTAATTTCTGTTTTGAAACGCAAACACATAGCTAAATTCTAATCGGCAGTACAGTATTCCATCCAGCTCCAGTTTAACTGTATTTGTGTTACCGTATTTTCTGTAATAATATATAGATTTAGCCAGAGCTAAAAGCTAAGCTCCAGGAGACTTGCTTCCATAGCTCAAAAGGAGGTGGCGGTGCCCAGCGGTTTTAGTGAAACCAAGGTTTAGGTGGGGGTGCTCAGTCTCACGGGCTCACAAACCTCCTTTTGAGCTGTGGAATCTAGTCATTTCCTGCAAAGACAAGCAAATTTTCTTACCTATGGTGCTCCACCGCGCGCGCGTCGCGCGTGCGAGAGCTCCACAAATAGCCGTCCCTCGATTAATTATTTTCATCGAATAATCGCCCCTCTTTCATGGAAATATTTAAAACATTCGCCTCCCCCAGCCACCTCGCCCACCTTTTCTCCGTTTTATCCTCTCCCTGTTTACACAAACTTTTTCATTTAATCGTTTATATCGACATTAAAAAGCCCATGCTCAGTTTACTTGATGTGATTTATTGAAATAATGGCCTCCTTTTGGTGCGAAAAAAAGAATAAAAATCGCCCCTGCCAGTATTATTCGAGAAAATACGTTATTTTCGCGTCAGCAAACTATTTTTTTTTTCACAGAGTTACTCTGTTTTCACAGATTTCGGTTCAGTCTAATTCATGTTTTTTTAAGCGTAATTTTGCTCTAGAATTTTTTTAACAAAGCGTTCGAAATTCTTGTCCGAAATTTGATCGAAATGAGAGATGAAGTGTCCTTAATTTTTGCAAGGTTTGGCTTCAAAAGAGCGCTACTTTTACTGAAATTAGTTTATCTATAGAAGCTATTGTCCAGTTAATTAAGTTCTTCTTTAATTATATAAAATGACTCGCAGTTCTTTCTTTGGCAAAAGGGTAATGAATTGTTGACGCAACACCTTTTCTTCTCTCAGAAAAAAAAACAAGAAACTCATGCAGCTTGAAAAGGAAGGTGAAAGACTCGCTAAATTAGTAGAAACTGGCTCCACTCTTCCAAGCCTCGAAGAACTGGAGGGGAGGATAGAAAAAGCTACAAGAGAACTGGATAAGAAAGATGATAAAATAGTGGTAAGTCTTGACCTTCACATGACAATTGAATAAAGCGTCATCAGTCTGCTGAGCGGGAGGTCGCGGGTTTAAACTCCGGCTGGACCAGCCAGAGGAGGAGGGAGGAGGTTGGGAAGGAGGTTGTTTATTGTGACGTCTACAAAGAATGAAAATACGTGATTCATTGTTAGTAATGTAACTAAATTTTTCTAGATTATTATTAGTGCTGTTTGTTCTATATTTTGATTGTCATATGCATGCTTTTGCAATACTGTAAAATGATGCGGTCATGCAAATAAAGCAATTTATTACTATTACAAATGATTAGACATTCTAGTATTCTCAGATAAGGACGAAAAACGTAGGCCCCGTCTCACAGCTCTTTCACTGTTCTGATTCTTATGGCATGTAAGAGAACCCACACTGCTGTTCGTAAAAAGTAGGGGCGCAGACCCCGGTGATGTGGTACAACCTTTCATGGACTGGGTGGGTAATAAAAGGGTTGATATCAATTGGGAAATAAGTCCTCTTTCATCCCCTGTCACCGTGTTGAGTCACCATGGCGAATTCAATAAAGACACCCATCTTATTGACTGAACACAATATTACACAAACTTTTACAGTTGTACTGACAAGCGGTAATGATTCCTGCCGTCGCTCGTACGGTTAGTCCGAGTTAACTATTTGAGTAGGAACCATGTGTTAGGCTACTAAGGCATAATGCGTTAAAACGTCAGTTAGAACTTTCCAAATAGTGTGTGTTACCTTGAACATTTTTTGTTATTTCGATTTTCTAAGCGAAATCTTACTGAATAATCCGACACCTTTCTCCAATAATAAATCATGATCAGTCCAGTGTGCTTAGCTATAGTGCGCAGGGGTTCTAAAAGTTAGTTGTTTTTTAACTCGTCTCAAATTGCATAAGTTTCTGAAATGAGTACGTCAGCCTTGTTAAAGTCATTTTAAGAATTTTTTTTCCTCACAGGAACTACAAATGAAACTCGAGGAGCAAGACAAAAGGATCAGCCAGGAACAACAAAAAGAGAAAAGACGCATTGCCAAACTACAGCAGGAAATAGGAAAAACTGACAAAGAATGTCAAGAGTTAACTAATAGAATAAAGGTGTATAATATATGCCACCACCACTTCCCTTTATAGTCTGCGTAAAAGCCTCAGAGCTTGCATGATTTAAGCTAGGGTAAGACGGCCTGGCGTTTGAACCGGTCCGAAGAAGCCGACAAAATGCAATTATCAAAGGACGTCAGGCAGCACTTAACGAACAAGCTACTGCTGTGAAACGCTACATTGCTACGGCATTGCTGCGGAACGTGCTGAAAAGCGATGTTACGCGTTTTACTACCCACGTTCAAACATGTCTTGCAGCAAATAAAGGTTGCTGCAAGTTGCGTGAATACAGACTTCTGATTGCATAAAATTACGTCACTTGCTGCAAAACAAATTGTCTTGGCATGGTCCGCAACATTTACAGATTTTGTTGCAAAACTGTAGAACTACTCTCTACTCTCTGCAACAACTTTTCGCATCCAGCAACCTAATTTGTTGCGAGACAGGTTTGAACGTGGGTGGTAAAACATTCACTTTTCAACTCGTTTATCGACAGTGTTGCGAAACAAGATCGATGTCAGTTTGTTGCCCGTTTTACCGCCGCACCTATAGACCGTGCCGGGTGAATAACGTACTTCTTTTGAATCTGCTGTGCAGGCTATTCACCATTTGCGCATCTCCATTAATATTTCAAAATTTGTTTTTAATTTCTCCTGGGTATTACAGTCGTCCCAAAAGCAATTGGAGACAACGCTTATGCTTATCCAAAATATTAGGGGTGAAGAAGGTGTATTGTGTGAGATGTACGAACAGGGAATGTCCTGGATTGGTGGTTTATTGTCATTGTTAGCTATATTGATCAGAATTATCAAGGCATATAGATCAGTCATTCTTTCTTCGTTATATCTATTTTCCTTAGGCGGCTGAAAGAAGAATTAACAAGACAAATATATACAGTCGAAAGCTTGGTACCTCTACCCAGGTCCTCCCGGCCATTACCTGGTATCCTCCCACAGAAAAACAATCCGCCAACACTAAAGTTCAGAAATGGCTCAATAAACACACGTCATAAGGAAGTGGTGGATAAAGAATAGACGACGAAAGAATGCACAATGTGTGTGACTACAGGTCCTGCAGTGAATCAAGACAAACTAGCACATCAAAACGTGAAAGCACGCTGTAAACTGACATAAACCCTTCCTGTCAAACACGACTGCGATGAAAGAGCAATGCGATAATGTAATGCAATAACGTACAAAAAGCTAACAAAATAAACAAATAAATAAACTGCACCATTAGCTTTTTTAGCTGTGAAGTAGAACATTAGCAGAAGATCTCTAATACGGACATCAAAGACATGCAGAGCCAACTGTCCATGTCAGAAACGTTTCCGTATTACAGAGATAAGGATTGTATGACCGTATATAACCTTGGGGTTAGAACAAGAGCTATGGTCAGGAGGTTTCACTGTAATTTAACTTTAATGAAACTGCTCAATACATGAAAGTGTCAAAGAATGCCAGATGGTAGCCTATCATTTGAGTAAACCAATTAGCTGCTGCAAGCGTGTCGACAGATAAGTTTAATTTGGGTTTACCGGGAAATCAACTCCAGCTGTGAGTGTCAGAGGAGGACCAACTCAAGCTAGACTCGTCCCCAATTCATTACTCACTAAACCTCTCCCTAATGGTGCACAGGTTGTGATAGGAAAAAAGAGAGCGAGGGAGAGAGAATTTTCCTTCCTTTTTCCCCCGTCACTCCCTGCTCCCGCCATGCACGTTACGAAGAGGACTGGGGACGATTCAGCCACTTGGCTACACAATAATAGCCTGTGTACAGATGCCCTCCCCCACTCCCCTCAGAAAAATCGGGGAGAGAGACTCTCTTCCCGATTTTTTTCTGATGGGTTGTGGGGGGACATCTGTACACAGGCTACACAATTACAATGGTATATAACGTGTTTCGTTGTGGATTAACGTACCATTCTACCCCAAATTTGTAGACGCAGGCAGGAGCCTATCACTTGGCGGCTACTCGCACAGAGCAGGACTGGCTTGGTTTGGTAATGAGGGCTCCTGGCCCAGGGTCGTTTATAACGAAAATATATCACAATAGCAAAAGCCTATAGAAAAAAGCTGACATTGTAACATGTAAAGGTTTTAACAAAAAGTTGACGAATAAATTGTAAGTGCATATCCTTCACTCTATGTGCCCATACATGAGGTACCTTTCGACAACTTTTGACCGAGTGTAATCTGGGTCGAGAAGAAACCAAGATGGCGGCTACATTTTGGCGCCCTAGTTAAAATAGTAATAATTAGAAGGACGATCACTCCAACAACACGTCTTTGGTTTCCTTGCACAGTTTGGTGGCTCATTTTTAAAGTCTGATTCATTTAACTTCCCAAGTATAAGGTGCCTTATTCAGTGCCTGGAAGATCAAGTGGATTAATGAAGCTGCTGGGAAATTGCCTGGGGAAATTGCATTGATCTCGTGACAGGTAAGATGAAACGATGAATCTATGCAGCATTTTTAAGCAATTGAACAAAGCTTAAGAAACTATGTTTAGAGCAAAGGATCTTGAGGAAGGTTGCAGTAGTTTGAATTACGCTTTGTTTATACACTGTGGGTCTGAGCTTGGGATATATTTTAGGGGGTGGACTGGAGCGGGGATAGTGTCATTGCATCTCTAATTTGTTGAATGTGCCCTGTTTTCCTAAAACAAGATGTTTTCTTAATTATTAAGCTCTTAGTCTGCCTACAAGGTTAAGATTTGCTGGGTATTAAAATTCTAAATTGTTGAAACCTACAACCCCTCACCCCCTACTTGGCTCGCAAATCTTTATACTTGATGTCAAGATTATTATGAGCGAAAACAATCCTCTAATCTACGCCTTTATGAAGCATTTTTCTTAGAAAATTCAAGGCTACACTCAATTCCTGAGCAGAATGTACTGAATTTGCAGACCTTTAGTATTTTATTTTAGAGACCATTCTTAAGCACTTTTAGAGGTCCTTTGTCTAGAGACACTCCATCATTAGAGCTTTGTATTCTATTCACAGTTTATTTCTATAGCTTTCATACATACATCACATCGTTTACACATTTCACCCTACACTTTCTTTGCATATATATAGCGTGCACAGAATATTTTCTCATCAGTGATGATGCCGTTGATCGGTGAAAGCTTGGATTTTAGTTTTTAGTTTTTAAACAGCAGCTTAAGGCCTCACTAGAACAGTTTTATATATAACCTATTTACTGTTCATTGCTGGCCAAGGAGGTCAACAGTTTGAATTCAAGGCTGTTGCTTCTACTTTTGTGGCATTCACCCTAGAACATAAGTAGTTGTTACATTCCTCAAATGAGAGAAAAAATAGCCTCCTACTATTTTTGTAGACTAAGTATTTTTCAGTATGACATGAGTAATACTGCATTTACCTAGGCGGCATCCACGAAGCACCTTATCAAATTAATAGCTTTAGGACATGGTTTGAAATTTCACGTGATCAAGGAGAGCTTTGAAATGACTCATAAGACTCAAGCTTTCCATGTTAGAGGAAGGGGGCTACAGCTAGGAGATGGCAAGGGGAAAATGGAAGAGGAGAAGTGGGGAGATGGTGGAAAGCCTGTAGACAAAATATTGAGGGCACTTTTCCACCTCTTTCCGTCATCTTGTCCAAGGTCTGTCAACAAGGTCATTTTGAGTGGAATGTAAAAATAGTTCATGCAAGACTCAAATACCATTTCCCAAGTGGTAAATCTTGTACAAGTTGGTGTACTTTGAAGCCAAATACTAGCTACATTTACATAGCTGATGACCCTTTAGTGTTTCCAAGTGAATTTTACTCCTTAAAATACTAGAATGGTCAAGGCTCGACTGTTGAAGTCTTGACTGTGTTAATGAAAGCAAAGTGAGTTGTTTTTAATGATTTCTCCCCGTAATATACACTGAGCGACAGGACGAAAGACTGTTAAACAGTTGTACACTTTTAGTCTGGAAAATTGACAAATTATCTAATGATGGTGTCTGTGTCCACTTGCTGTTAGGCTGAACTTGAAGTGAGCAGGGCCAAGAATCTCTAATGAGGGCAACTGGTTAAGGATTTCTTTTCTAAACCAAAACCTTGCGTAGTATTTATAGATAGCTTTCCAAAACATTGCACAAAACAGAAGTCGCATAACAACCTGTTTTGTACTTGATTTTAATTTTTTTTACCAAAAATGCAATAATTCCTTGTAGCTTTTGAATCATTAAACCAAGTAAACAAAACGTCGCTCATATAATAGGTCTGACATCCTTTTCCTAATTATTTCAAAATAATCCCAGTCAAAACTAAGTTAGGTGTTGCAACAACCTCAATTTTTTTGCCTGTTGTTTTTAGTCAACTGGAAAAAAAAAGCAAACAAATGTTGCGGTTGATGTTTGTCTAAGTTAATTTTTTCTTTGATAAAAAAGAAATCTAAATTTTTAGGTGTTCAACCATCAGGAATAAACAATAACGACTGGTCAATTAGCTTGATTAATCAAATAGCTGTGGTAGTCTACTCTGTTTTCTTGTTGTTAAGAAGAACGTAGAATAGATTACCATTGACTGTGCAATAAATCAGTTTATTTGACCTAAATAGTCAAGGCTCGGATAGTTTTTTCAACATAGCGTCATAACTTAACTAGCGAATCTTAACTCCCACTTGTAGAGATTTTCTTGGTGGTGACTTCAATGGACATTTTAAAATTGGGTTTCCAGTGTAGGACTAGGACCAAGTGATCCGTTTTGTTTTAGCCTTTTTTAAATCTTAAAAACATATTTGGCCGTCCTCAGTCCTTTATCGGAATCCCATTTTAAAGTATCCATTTCAGTCACCACCATTTGACTTTATGCAGCTGCTAGAGCTATTGTGACGGTCGTCATGCAAGGCTGTTGAAGTCGGCTTGCGTGACCATCGTGACAAAAGCTTAAAATCTCGAGGGAACTTAAGATTGGTTTAATTAAATTATTATGCCGGAAAACATCACGACAAGCATAAATAAAGACTCAACATCGAATCCAAATTTTTCCGAAAATATTAACCTTTATTAGGTTTGCTATTCTCCTAAGCTAATTTTTCCTAAGAAAAATAAACCCTCTTTTCCAAAACTGACTGATTTTAACTGAGCCTGGGTATGGTCCCTTGAAATTCAGCTTTGGGAGGATTCGCGTACATTTGATAAATTGGGTAGGAATAATCGTTATAAAGACTGAAAGAACGCAAATTCACTTTTTGAGCGATGTTTTTCTTGCTGTTCGGTCGTTGGACCTTAAACTCCCTTATTGTGTCCTCTTCATCAAAGATAATTAAAACTGATATAGAATGGCTTTCCTTCCCATCTTTATTGAATATATGCTGGAAATAAATCACTAATAATTGTTTTCCCACCTTTTTGTTGTGCTATTGAAAAATAGCTAGTGAAGAAACAAGCTCCCTATTAATGTCGAGGAAACAGGGAATCTAACTGCGAAAAAATAATTATTAAACTCTAATTAATTAAACTTCACAACAAAATGGTCTTACTAGACGGGTTTACACAACTTCATTTATTTCATGGTCTTCTCGATAACGAGGTATACTTTTACAACGAGAAATCATTGGCTGTTAAATTGCATTGCCAAAAAGAATTCACTGAGTGCTCCTGAAAAGAGGACACCTGGGGCCTGCCGCACAGAATCGGCAGTCTTCGACTGAATCACCAAACCTTTTTACGTTTTTCCTTTACGAATACAAATGTATTGTAACCTTAACAATGTCCGGATCGTTCATTATCAAATTTTTGACGTGCGTAAGGAGGCCGTTGTTCAGACGTCGATCTTGCTTCATGTTCATGTTTCCTTCAAGGTATTTCTTGAGTCGTCGAAGGGCGGAAAATGTATGCTACGAAGTCTCCAATGGCATGTACAGTTCATAGCAAATTTAATCTCATAAAATGCTGAGCACCTCTCTAAGGCGCGTTTTTGTAACAAGAGTTTGTGGAAAGCTGGGCTATCCGAGATTTTGAGGAATAACAACTTTTACAAATGATAGCCACATTTTT